TCCCTCACCAACTTATCCAACTAAAAATAAAATAAAAAAATAAAAAAACCGAACAAAAATTTAAAGCATCTAACAAAGTCGATTACCAAATCCCTAAACCCCGTCTTATCCAAGGTCTTGGTTTTGAAGGTCCAAGGAAGAGAAGACACGTCTAAAAGGTTCCACAATCCACAATCCCACAAACTTCTTTGTCAACAAGCCTCGGCCGCTTCATATTTCGTACGTTCGTTCTTATTAAGAAAAAAAAAAACTAATTATCCCACATAACATACATATCTCATACATACATCCCTCTCGCTGCTATCTCTTACATACTAGTTATCACCACTCCATACTATCTACACCCTCTCTCTCTCTCCCTCTGTCACTCTCACTCTCACTCTCACTCTTACATACTCTTTTTTATTTTCCTTCCAAGACCCTGAGGGTACCCATACGGAAAGATTAGCCGCTGTTACATACAACCAAGAGTTTAACAGCTCATGAATAGCTCATGAATATCACAATTGGACAGCTTAAGCTAGTGTCTCGGATTTGACCAGGTTCGTGCAGACCTACAATGACTATGATTTTGCTTCAGGTTGTCAGATGAATACCTACTCACTACCCTCCCACCTTTATTACCTTACCTTACCTTAACCATGTCTACCCGAAGAGTCCGGCATAGGCTCCGATTCCGTGGACAAAACTACAGACCGCTAATGAGAAATAATTATATTGTAGAACGACTCAAGATCCTTGTGCCGACGAATCGGTGTTGCGTCTTTGCCACTTTTATGTAGAAAGTTTTTTTTCTCGATCTTTTAGACGCCCAACCTGACCTGCGTTTTCGGTCGCCGAGCTACCCCATCGTCATCTTTTTTTTTTAAAATCCTTTTTTATTCAACGCCGGTTTGCGCTATTCCCCGCCAACCAACAAACCAATCCCACCAGAACGATTTCTACTCCGGTACCAACAATAAATAAACCCCATCAAGAGCTACTACTCGGTGATGATAGGAGAGGCGCATCCCTAAATACCTTCCTTCCTTTACCCTAAAACCTCTCTTCATCATGGCCGGCATACATGATGATCCGGATTCGGTGCCCGCAACGCCTGATGAGCTGATCGATAGGGATGGCATGGGCAGCCCCGGTTCACCTAGCTCTATTAACTCTTCAGAAGCAAGTACACCTCTCGAGACGCCTAACGAAATTAACCCCGAGGCACCTAAGAGAATGCCGTCGTTGCGCTCCGTATCCGATCCCCAAAACCCGGGCCATCCAATGTCTGCTTCCTCTACTCACTTAGGCGTTTTGTCCAATGCGAGGCGCCCCGGTGCTGCTGCGCATATGTCGAGTGGACGCCTACCCGAAGACCTTAACGCAAAGATGCGAGCTTTCCACCTGTCGCGTCAGGGTAGCTCTCCTCTGAATTCACAGCAGGCCACCCCACCCAGCGGGCCTTCCCCAGGCGGCCCAGTGATAGCCGGCCTACCTGGGCGCCTTCAAATGTCTGGGAGTATTCAGAGACCTGGCGCGCCCTCGTTTCCAAAATCTGCCCCTTCGGTACCCTCGATGCCTCCAGCAGGTGGTGGTTTAGCAGGGAAGAGGCGGTTTGGTTTTAAGCTTGGGGATATGGGCGGAGCTACGCCTGCTTCTCCCGTATCCGGCGGTGTCAATGCCGGCCCCCAAGCGACGCCCATTCAAAATGGGAATGCCCACATGTCACAAATGAAGCAATTCGAGGAGTACATCGACTCTGAAAAAGGATACCTGACATTTAAGGGTAAAGCGATTATTACTAATAAGGGAGTCAACTTTTCGGATGGGTCCGTGTTTAGAATATCGCTTGACGAAGTAGAGAAGCTCGATGAGCTAGGGAAAGGTAATTATGGCACAGTTTACAAGGTGAGACATACGAAACCGAGAGTTCCGCGCTTCGGTCCTGGCCTTTCTGGATTCAAATCTGCTTCCTTGCCAGGTGTCCCTATAGGCACGCAAGACAAGGTAGACGCCGAGACTAAAGTTGGATCTACTACCGGTGTGGTTATGGCTATGAAAGAGATACGCCTAGAGTTGGACGAGGCAAAGTTGACAACCATATTGAAGGAATTGGTAATATTGCACGAATGCGCGTCCCCATACATAATCGAATTTTTCGGGGCTTTCTTTCAAGAAAGCGCAGTGTATATGTGTCTCGAATATATGGATGGAGGTTCTATCGACAAACTCTACTCGGGAGGAATCCCGGAAAATGTGCTTCGTAAAATTACGTACTGCACTGTAATGGGTCTCAAAGATCTGAAGGATAAGCACAACATCATCCATCGCGACGTCAAGCCCACGAATATCCTCATAAACACTCGAGGGCAAGTAAAAATCTGCGACTTTGGTGTAAGCGGTAACCTGGTGGCAAGCATGGCCAAAACCAATATCGGATGTCAAAGTTACATGGCACCAGAGCGAATCTCTGGCGGAGCATTTATGCAAGCTGGCGCGGGAGATGGCACATACAGCGTACAAAGCGATATATGGAGTTTAGGCCTGACAATCATCGAATGTGGTATGGGGAAATACCCCTATCCTCCAGAAGTATCTTCAACAATATTTAGCCAGCTCAGCGTAAGTAAATAATCGGGCTCTAGTTTGCAAATTTTAGATAACCCCTAACATTATTCTATAGGCAATCGTCGAAGGAGATCCCCCCGATTTACCGGATCGATATTCCGAAGCCGCGCGAACATTCGTTCACGGCTGTCTCAACAAGGTGCCTAAGCTTAGGCCGACATATCAGGCACTATTAGCTTCCGAGTGGATTGAAGACTTGACGAAGCCGGAGACCATCGCGGAAGAAGATGAGGAAGCAGACGAGAATGATGTTAGCGCCGAAGCGGTTGCCGGCGCGGCGGAGAAATTAGACCTTAGCCATTCAAGCACCGATGACGCGGAAGTCGCCGCATGGGTTAATGGAGTATTGGAAAAGAAGGAAAGTGGACAGTATGGTGAGGCAGAAGGGCAACCAGCGCTCCACCACGCTCCTCTTGATGCTGTGAGCCCGTTAGCCAGTCCACAGATTGGGAAATAGAAATGGCATGGTACTTTGCGAAAGGAATTCCCATTAGATCACGAAAAGCGAAGGGTAGGATTTTCTTGCGATATGGTGGAGCAGGCCCTCCGCGATCTTCCCTCACAATTACTTTGAGAACATAGCATTATTCGGCGTACAAACTTGGTTCAACACATAGCACAGCCAGGGGCGGCAACACTGTCTCAACATTTTCTCACGTCTTGTTCTCCTTCCGCAAAAGGGTCTCTTAGGGGGTTCTCGATGATCGAAACGGCATTTTGGACGAAGCGAGGAGTCCCTGTATACGTATTCGGGGTAAGGAAGGGATAGGCTGTTATTTAAACCCGGGCAACTTGGAATGAATGACGCGACACATACGCGAGGGATCCGTGTGATATTATAAAAGCGGCCAAGGAAAATCGAGAGATTCAGAGAGGGCTGGCTCTTCGTTCTATGCAACACATTGTACACTTTTTATTACTATTTTTTTTTATTACTCTTCTGATCTTAATATTGGCATCACGCGAAGGGAGAGAAATAAAGAGAGCGGGATATTTCAAGAAATCTTTTTTTATTTCCGTCTTACGAGAGATGTCTTTTTCTTTCCCCTTTACTCCTCGATTTCTTGTTCCATCGCGGTGGATAATAATCTTTTGCAGAGATAAGATGGGGAATTCGCATTCCGCACGGAGTTATAAGGACTGGAAAGAGGTAAATACACGGAAAGAATTAGCTGCTGAGGGAAAGGGGATACTTGGACGGTCGAGGCGAGGCAAGGCAGGACAGAGCAGATTGAAATAAAGGTTCTTCGATAAGGGGGGAGTATTGTCTGCTAGGGTGTAATCCGGGGGCAGATAAATAAGACTGACTGACTGGCTCTGAGGTCAAGAATATTAGTTTCGTCGAGTGGAATATAATAAATACACTATGAGTGAATTGAAATGAAATGGTAATGTGGTAGAGGAGTAAATAGGTATATACGATGCTACTGCTAGGACACGAGATTGGAAATGTGTGTGAGGTGTGATGTGTGATGTGGTATGATAGATATATTATAACTTAAGAAGTATATAGTTATTATAGACTGGGTAGAGCATATGAAACGTCTACTTCTTATGAGTATAGGCTAGTTCAATTTGGTTTATATCAATATTAATACTAACAGAATACTGAGAGAAATCCTAGTATTCCTCTTCAAGATATGCAAAGGGGGAGATTCCTACCCTCTGGGCGAAACACGGATATGTACCTAGGTAGGTAGTCATTAGCTTATATAACCTTCTTACAGCAACTCTTCTAGGGCAAATCTGAGGCTAGATTGTTGACATACTATTCAAGTAGTAGACATCTGTGATACTGTAGACACAGCGCTCGAGCACTAGTAAGCCCTAGCTATGAGAGATCATCTCTCAATCACCTACAATCAACATCCTCTTCACAACAACATCAATCACAAGTATTTGCTCCTCACGATATAGCTTAAGTCTGCAAATTGGCCAGATAGTCTCAATCAATTAATCATCTACCATAACGACCGAGTAAGCACAAAAGTACCTGAAGCATACATAGAGCATAGGCGTAACTTATGGCTGTGGTATCTCAATTATTACATCCTCCACTATTCATCCATCCATCCATCCCTGCCTCTTTCTGTTGGTCTGTTCCTTGATATTCCTCCGTATCCTTGCTCACGGTACCTCGTACGTAACTTTGCGTCGGTCATTATCGTCGTTATTATCCATTATGCTAAGCTCCGTGTAAAACGCGTAAAACTTGAGGCGTGAGGTAGTATGCGTACTCTCAAAATCTCCATCCGTCCATTCATACTGCTTCATCTGGCGCAATCTGTTTTTCTTGATTTTCTTTTCCCCTTTTTCGCATGTATAATTTTTGGTTTCTTCATATAGTTCATACTTCCTACTTAGGTTGCTATAACCCATGAGATCCTCACTTAGGCATACTCCTCCTTAACACGTCGGCCGTTCATGTCGTAGCTTCGGTGGCTCCGCACACTCCTCTGACGGCCCCATCTACGACCGGTATGACTCTCACCGTTGCTACCACGGATACCCAGACAGAAGAGTATTGTGGCGATCAGTAAGGCGGCCCAGCTACCCCAGCTGAAACCGAAGGCCCATCTACCGAGGCTAGCATCACGGCCGCTCGCAATAAACGCATTACGCATCTTAACGAAGACAGCTGTCATCAGCGACACGGCGATGGTGTGGAAGAACAAGGCGACGAGAGCTCCGAGTCCTGCGATGGCCGAGCCTAAGCGTCCGCAGCATGCCACGAAGCCTGCGAAGAAGGCAAGCACGGAAAACACGAGCGCGATTAAGAAGAAGACCCAGCCGAACCGCCACATGTAGAAGAAGTAGGAGCTCGTAGTATCGCCACCATGGGCACCGATCAGAGAAGAGGGCGCATTAGCCGGGTTTGCGGACCAGGCCCAACCTAGGGGGGGAGCAGGCCATGCGCCGCTACAGTCGATGTTGCCTTCACCGCAGATGTAGAAGTAGGTCCACTGGGTGACGGAGCGGGCGCCCGTTATGCCGCCGGTCTGGGCCGACAGGAAGTAGGTTTGTCTTAGGGGTGATGTATCGGTGACGGCTGATAGGATGACGAAGAACAGCATCACTAGGGAGCCGCCGAGGAATATGAGGGAGAGGGGCGCGAGATATGCGTCTGGAGAGTTATTAGCGATGTTGCAAAGCTAGAAAGTGGTTGCGGTGAGACTTACTTGAACGCGCCATCTTGAATGCTATTGACCGGCCAGGCCTGACAGCAGTGCGTAAATGTTACTTGTGGTGTCAAGAAAGATGATTGACAAGGAGCTAAGGGTTGAAAATGTTAGACTTTAGGTCGCAAACTCTGAAAAATAAAAAATAAAAACAACATTGAAATTTAGGTACGTTTGGCGGAGACGGGGCAGACTAAGTAGGGCAGCTGGCAGCTGGCAGGGTAGTAGAATAATAAGGGGTAAGTAAAACTTTATGCAGCACGTACCTGTTTTTTTTTTTACACTTGTTAAGACACTGTTTCGTTTCCAGGAGAAACTAGAGCCAAGACACAATTTCTTAGATTAGGTTGTCTTAGATACGAATCCGGAAGAGGGTTTGAGATCAAAGGCGGTCGGGGCAGATGGTTTAAGGGAATAGGTATCGATATAATCCAAATATGGATTAGTATTAAGGGTATACGAGTAATATTATCGTAAGATCGACTAAGATTTTCGCAAGGTTGTTTATCATAAACCTAGAAAAGGGGGAGGAAGACGGAAACGAAAACAATAAATAAAATAAAATAGTTGAAGGTTTGAAAGTCTCTCTCTCTTCCGATTGAGAATGTGTTGATCATCGAACGAAAAGTTGTTAAAGGTTCGTCAAAGGGTGGGCACGAGCCAACGATTAGTGGGGTAATATGACGACACTGACGAAGCTATTGGAAGAGCTTGTTACCTAAATTAGACTAGTTCTGCCGAATAGCCTGATAATACTGATAATACCTCTGATAATACCTGTACCAAAGAAGCTGCATCCGAGTCTCTCTTCCCGGCAAGACCCTTCAACTTTATGATTGCCCATTCTATCATTTCGTACCTTAGGTAAGGTATTTATTAATTAATATGTATGCATAACTACCTTATAACTGCTGCACCGTTAGTTGAAATTAATTTCCTTTATTACCTTGTTAGTTAATATATAACTTGCAACATCTTTTACTCATACGTCATTTATATAGCTCATTCAAAGAAACCAAAAAGAGATCAAGCTGGATCATCGTGATAACATAATCCTGATGATCACCATGATGCCGAGTCGTCGTCATTCTCGCGAGGCTTAGGGATAGCGATAACGTGGTACTACGTTTGCGGCGTGTCCTCCGAGGCATCCGACATCCGAGTCTAGAACACCGTAATACGTACCTAATTCTTTTTCTTTTCTTTTTTATTATTATTGAAAAGTCATCGTGGTGCTTATGTAAGTACTTACACTACTGGACATATCGAGCTTCTATTGGTTAAGACATTAGTGAGGGCACCAAAATAGGGGTTACTTTGAAATGGTCTTTTATATCCCTATATTAATACATATGCTGTGATGACTCTATCGTCATATGGTAAGGCTTGAGTCTCTCAGCCACAGCCTGTGTATCACGACCACCAATAACTCCATATGAACCATAGCATCATTGTTGATAACGAGTGTTTTCAAAACTTAGAAGTTTATATAATTTAGTTAACCGTTGTTTACAAGTGATTCTTAACTGGACACATTGGTAAGACCTATAATATTTCCAAGTCTTGCGAATTTCCCTTTCCTTCTCATTCGAGGTTACATGTGTAAGCTGAATAAAGTCCAGGATATACTAACCGCGCTCTTGCTAGCCCCTATTAATAAGTATTGTTAGTAGTTTTGTACGCACCTAACGCTATAGAGGACGTAGACTAGTTGATCAACTTACCACATCACTTAGACTGCTTTAAAAATTGATATGCAACTTATCTTAAGGCTATTGAGATGAGCACAGGAACTAAATATTACGCCAGCCCGGGGCGTGCGACGTCTACAGGTACGTAGTAGGAATAAACTAAGAATGGCTTTGACTAGCCTCCTTTATTGATATCTCATGTTAACACAATGGCTGCTTAGGTGCCTAATTGGAGTCTAAGGAGTTTCTTTTCGTCTACTCCTATGTTCTATTATATCCAAATATAATAATGAAATTGTTCTAGAGATCTCCTTTTACATATAGCTGTCTCTACAGGCAACTAATAGAATATATGAGGTTTAAAGTCTACCCGTTTATAAATAAATCGGGCTCGTCACAATTAGACTTTAGGAGCTTTGAAGAATCACAAACCATAAACTAAGAGAATTAAATATTGCGCCGCGAAACCCTAGGGATAGATGATAGAAATTTATTTTCAAGGTAAACTGCATAGTGCCCGTGTGAAGGAGGCCATGCGCTGTAGTCATTTATTTCTAGCCCTATCGAATCAACCATTTCTTAGCGCTCCCTCCCCCTGGGCATGTTGGCGAGACGATACTACATGCTCCTAAAGAAGTAGCCATGTCTATCCCACTTGTTATTTTCTATTTACTACTTTTAACTTGGATAATCGTCGGGATCACCTCTGGCATGTTTATTCTTTATGTACAACGATGCTACGCCCAAGCACAACAACCCGACGAATCGGATGAACATACTTTTCTGATCCAAGGATCAAGGCTGCGAAGATCGGGCTATCTTTCTGATGATGAGCTGAGCTTTGATGGGCCGAGCTTTGATGGGCTGAGCTTTGATGGTTCTGTCAATTACGATGAATCTCTAATGCCGGTTGAGATAGCGCCTGCCAATAGGTTCGAGTGGTATATGTATATTGTCTGATGAGTTCCATGCTCTGTTATATCACTACTCGGCTGCTATCTGTTACGCGGGGTACAGCCGATACGTTTCTCATCAAATACCGTTATCATCGCCTGCCCTATTGGCTCAAAGATATGAAGAGAGGAACGAAGGAAATATCCATCGCCGCTTAATGGCTCGACGGAAAGATACAGCGGAAAGATATGATAGAGGCTACAAGGTCCCCTATAAAAGCGTTGCCGGATGCTGGACGAGAACCATATTCTGTTGACGGGAGGGAATATAATGTCAATCATCACTATGGAGGATACGGTCTGGATAAGAAGTGCGAGACGAATCGCATTATAGCATGGGATATTTACGTTTGACGAGTAATAACTCTACACCACCACCATCACTACTACCACCATCATCAAACTGCCGCCACCGCTAACACTACTATTCCTACTACTGATGCTATTGCCAAAAAGCTTATATAACTTATGCTTATATTTATTTCAACCACTACAGGAGCAATCTGTTCAAACAGCAAACCCCGGGATAAGAGATTAAAGAGTTTAGGAAGTGGCTGTATAAGTAAAGGGAATATTTTGTCCTTAGATTTAGAGGTAGCTTAGACAATGGTCCATATATATATCCTATTACTATTATTTATATATCTACTTCCGTGTTCAACTTTAAAGATCCAAACTAACTATACGTCCCGTCCAGAAAACAAGCCTTGTTGGTTGAGTTAGTGACTGGGACATCTAGTTGGATATCAAGTTATAAGGGGTAAAATATTCTGGGATACAACAAGGACGGGGTAGCGATATATTTATGAGTTATAGGCAAGATACATGGCACTCTATTGTTTCCATACTACGTGATGATAGGTTGGTAAGTTTACGCCTTGATAGTTAGATGGGCCATTTCTCTATGGAGATGAAATAGTATGTATAGATGGTGTTATGAATAATAATATAAGTATTACCAATTAGCCCTTCAAGGTTAATATACTAACTGCTATATTTACCGCTCTTTTGGGACCGGAAATGCCTTTTCTTAATCTGCAATGTATGATACTTCATTCACAGTTATAGCAGTACTCCTCACAGTGAATGATTCATTGTAGTATATCGTAGTGTTGCTATGTCATTGACTATGGTTCTACTTAGGCATGTGTACCTAATAAATAAATTAATGTAGACTACACCTGGATATCACAAAATTAATATCGAAGACATGGGAACAACTCAACTACCCCCCGGAGAACTATAAATCCGAAATAGGACATGACTGAACTATGTAATACTGAGGAGTATCCTTTATCTTAAACGTCTCATCGAGAATCTACACGATAGCTGTTGGATAGCAGGTCTATACAAGGGGACATCCCCCCCTATTCTGTGATGAGACATGAATTAAAACAGCCATCAGCGCTAGGCCCGTGCTTCTCGATTTATGCAATTCGATGTCTGGCATATAAGCACTCGCTAGGATATGAGATACAACATAATTAGACATGATAAAGTAGGTTATTGTCTATGCTATCATTACTGTCTTATGTCTTTAAATTGAAAAATAAAAACTTGTAATTGGGGGTTTAGACGACATCGAGAGAGAGCCTAGCTGATAGGTGCTGTCATATTTCGAACTAACTGGAAGAGACCCTTAAACATTACCACTAAACATTATCAAACCTCTTGGAGATGGATGAAACATTGTGACTAGATTCTGCAATTGATGAATCCCGGCATGTGTTAAAGCGTAGAAATTAGCCAGTTGCTGTTCTACTCAGCCCGGGTATAAGGTGGCAAAAGACTGCCGTGCTTGTGCCGAGGTCTTGTGACATGGTAATAGGTCAAATTCGCCGAAAAGCTCCTTGGGGGAAGCTGACAGAAAACGATGCTCTCCATATCAGGAACCAGCTGACTATGCCACGACCGCGTATTATTGCAATGGTTCTACTTGTTGCTTGTTCAGGCACGAACTTTCGTATCCATGTAACATTTGACAGGAAGGCAGAGGATCGACGGGATGTACATTGAGAGAGCGTTTTTCGTAAAGTAATCCCAACAGATATCGACATGGAAGCGTCGGGGTATTTGCTATTGCATTCAGCTAATCAGCCCTGAAGACGGGATTGGCAAGGTACGTTTCCTTGTTTTCTCGAGATCCTTTTGGGGGCAGGCGTTCGACATGGTGGATACGGAGTTCTCTCCGTGGTGCTGGAGTTGAAATGCCCGACTAGAGCCGAGGATGGACGGTAATCTTGGCTGAAGATCTTTTCCGCCTTACATGGGATTGATTTGTAAAGAGAGCCCACGCCGGGCCGTCGCGTGGCTGGGCATAGGGCGCACACTCCTTCCTCATCCCGGACGTTCAATGTTTAGGATGCATAAACTGGATGTTGGGCCTGCTCACTTACATATGCCATTGTTGGACAAATAGTTGGACAGGTATACACCGTTACACGTAGTCTCGGCTCCTCTTCTCCCTCATCCATGGTTCGGTAGTGTCTGGTCCGAACGGAGCCGCACGAGATTACTACATACCTGTCTGCTGCGCATATACATAGGAGATAGGTAAGATACATATGATAGTTACATATAATACTTACGATACTTACGATACTTACGATACTTACGATACGAAGTGATAGACCGACAGTGAATTAAACACACTCCCTGCCCCGCCCCGGAGCAGATCATTCACACTCAACTACCAATCAACCCGAGGCGTCCAATAAGCGAATTCCGTATTTGGCAATGAAGTGTCATAACGTTCGGCTCTTGACAGGTTTGTACCACTGAAGTACCGGGCACTAACAGGAAGGTATACATACCCCCCGGGGGCTAGACTTTAGAGTAATTTGGATATAACAGATATGTATCTTGCGGCTGATGTGAGAAGAGAAAAGGAGGTAGCCATCGATGATCATGTGCGCGATCTATTATGCGGTGAGCGAGGCAACATAATGTTGTAACGCGCAAGTGCTTACATGTATCTCTCAAGTATCAGTTAAAAAGGAGAGACTTAATATTTTCTACTATGTATGTAGGTAGGTATCAAACGAGAGTTATTATGTATAATATGTAGAAGCTGTTTGAAAGGGGCGCAGTTGGTGATGTTTTTATAGCGGCTTTGACGAAACGAGTCGAATTCGAACGCGAGACCGAATAATTGTACATTAAGTACCTATGTACTTGGTATGTAAATCTAGGATAGGAAAAGAAAACGGCGAGTAACAACCAAGTAACATAATAACTAACAAAAAAAAACAAGTCTAAATTAGTGTAATCTTTGTTACATGTAATTATGTACTTTTCAAATGCTTTTTAAATCGCCAAGAAATGACAGCTCACAAACCAAAGATTATGATGGGAAACAGGGATCAAGGCTTTAACACTAAGGAACCCCCCCTGCTGGATCGTCCCGTGCCATGGACCCATCGCAGCTACCCCCTCGTCACCGTCACGGACAAAAAAGTGGTCTAAGCTCAAGCTATCTTCACCTTGAAACTTCCCTGCTCTTTCTCTGCTATAGTGTACCTACCTAACCTACCTACTTTAACATACCTAATCTTTACAGCGCTAGGAACAGGGCCAAGTTTAGTTGAGTTAGATACCTAAGGTTACCTAACGTATACCTTACCTAATATAGTAAGATTTACATAGGAACAACCTCAATTCATTCTCTTTTTTTCCATCTTTCAACATTTTCAACCTGGGCATTGCTCCGCTTTCTATTATTATTAACCTAGGTACTGTTAAGTGCAGCTCATAGTCTGCAGTAGTTTTTTTTTGCAACCCTGCCGGAGAAAGCAAGTCCTAGGTTAAAAGATATTCCTCTCTTTTATCCCTATCCCCCCTTCTCCTTCTCCTTCCCCTTCCCTTTCCTAGAGCGTGACATCCAATGCCGCTCCGCCACATTGCTATTCCCTCGTGGCCCCGGACCACGCCGCCCAGGTACCCGACCTATGCCCTGGCGACCCGCGTCCAGTCAAGGCTGCAGAAGGAACTACTGGCCTGGAAGGCCCTGAAAGACGACCCATGGCGACGACTTCATGCCCCGCCTCCGCTTCCTACCCTCGTCTCCTTTATCCCGGCGCCCACATATACTCTCGGCAGGCGGCAGACCGAGCCGCTATCCGCCTCCGAGTTCGCGCGTCTGCGCGCCCCTCTCTCCGTATCATTGCCCTCCCGTAACGACCACGAGTCCATCACCACCGCCGTCTTTGCGCCCGAGGTCTTACACGCGCCCCGCGGCGGGCTAACTACGTACCACGGTCCGGGACAAGCCGTACTCTGGCCCGTCATAGACTTGCGGTCCCCGCTGCATGCGCACTTCTCCGTGCGTGACTATACCTGTCTGCTGGAAAAGACTACTATTGCAACGCTGCGCCGTGTATACGGCGTTGCTGGGTTCACGACCTCGAACCCGGGGGTATGGGTGCGCAAGGATGATGACTTGTCGAGAGACGAGGAAAAGATCTCGGCGCTAGGTGTTCACCTTCGGCGGCATGTGACGGGTCTCGGCGTAGCGGTCAACGTCGGTGTCTCGGTCACTGGGACCGAGGAGACGAACCCGTGGGCGCGAATCGTAGCGTGTGGATTGGGGGATAGGAGTGTTACGAGTATCGCCGCGCAATTAGACTTGCTGCCTACTCACGAGATTGCACCTGAGGATATCGCGGCTGCATGGGCTGCCGAGTTCGCTGAGAGGCTAGAACTACCTGGTGCCGCTGTGGAGGAAGAGGACTGGGAGACGTGGGAGAAGGAATTGCAACTCGAACCGGTGGGACCAGGCACAGATGCTGGGTTTATCGAGGGCCAAGTGATGCAATCATGATTCGTACTATACGCTGCCGCCTTGAGTCCCTTATTATCTATCCATATGATACATACGTCACGTCTATGATGCTCATCTCTTCAACGCCTTATGCGAACGAATCACGTGTTCGCGTACTGAGCCAGACAACGAAGTACTGAGGATCATCGTGGGGGTTTGATCTGTACGGACAGATACCACGAACAATGGAACAGCTGTTCCACGAAGCAGGGCTGGCCACGCCTCTGCCAGCTTAGCCCCAAAGTCTCCACGCCAGGGCCACACCCCTCCCGATCGATCTACACACGCGCTGGAGTATGGGTATACACACGTACATACATACATACATACATACACACATACATATTTATGCGTTGGGATTGCTCATAACCTCCCAGCCCCGAAAAGTCAGCAGTCAGTAGCCAGCAGCCAGGCCTACGTATACGCGACCCTCCCCACCACCAAGCCTCTAACTTAACCAACACCAGCACTAGCAACCGGATATCCGCTAGAAGCGCTCGGTCGGCGGGCGGGCCGCGCGACGGACGGGCCGCTCCTATCTATCTATCCATCCATCCATCTGTCTTTCAATCTGCCTGTCTCGAAGGAATCGTATATATGAACGAATCAATCAGTGAATTACGTGCTGCAGACACCATTATCAGGGATGCTGGGATATCTCATGCAGCGGTCCGCGGCCGATGTCGGCGTTACGTTGAGATTGAAGGATAAGTACTTACATAGGTAGGTAACTAAGGTTTTTTTTTTTCAGGTTGGGACCTACAGGATAGGATAATACCTACTTAATGTATGGTATGGTATGGTATGGTATTGTATGTACTGTGCAGAAAAGCTTTCAGGCAGGGGAGAAAAAAAAAAAAAAAGCACGTACGCATATATATTTAGCTGGGTAGCGAGCGGCAAAGTGCAGTCTTCTAATCAGAAGGCGACGTGGCTTACCGTCGTGGTCTTGCTTTGCTGCACCAAGAATTGGCTGCTTTAGCCAGGCATGTAGGGAGTGAAAAGTGAGTGACCTTATGTAGTTACTAGGATCGAGGATGCGAAAGGTGTTCAGTTGTTTGGTGCGCGGCCGGGTCTAGCTAGTCGAGACCAATGAATCCTTGCTCTTCGTTGGCTCGTGCTGCCGTTCTAGAATTCAAGGTACCGCAGCTACTTCGATACGGCTATTGGACCGTATTTACGAAGCATTTATATTGTACTGATAATACTGCGAAACATCATTACGAATATCACGAGTCATAGCATAAATCAGATTAAAATCTCATATTAGATTCTGCTCGAACTTTATTAACTCATCTGCGTTCGGCTTTGCCGATTATTTCGAGGGGCTGCGGATATACGTGGAATTTTATCCTGCTTGCCCCTCTGATCCGTATTACATACCAAACTCGTAGGCCTTAATTCTTGTATTAGGGATACCGGATACTCCATCTCATTATTTCGTGTCGGTGGTATAAATGGCACCGGCCGGCAAAACGGCCGCGTACCTCGCAGTCTTTCATTACCAAGTAACGCCGTGGGTGTAATAGACGGGAAGTGTCACCGCCCCCAAACGGAAGAATGCTCATGGGACCGGGGGAAAAAAATAACCTCTAACCCCTGTTCTCTTTTTTGATGACCGCGCAATGCTCGCTACTCCGTTTCCGACCGCTGCCTTTTCCATGTGGTATTTCTTCATCTGCCTCTGGCCTGTACATCTCAGGCTGGAAATTCATATTATTGTAATGGGCCACATTGAAGTGGCTGTTTTTGAAGGTGTTTGTCGTGAAAGCTGGTTCATGAAACGTGTTGGTCTCAACCAAGTCGGGGAAGTTGTATTTGCTAAAGCGCAGAGGATGCAATGTCATGGGGGTTGCCGGCTGTTGCTGCGGGGGACTCGGCTGTGGAGGCGGAGGCCCAGTCGCTAGGCTATCTGGAAACGGCTGCGGCATCCATGGCGATTGCGGAGAAGGGGCATAAGGATCTGTCATAGGAGACGGTGCGGACGGAGACCCCAAGGGAGATATGTCGGCAACACCAAAACCAGGTATCATAGCCAATGTACTCATGTCCACCGGGAAATCTTGAAGCGGCATGTCTGTACTTTCAATCTCTTGATGCGTGAAGGGCGTTGCCCGATTGATCGACAGTGTAGTTAGTGCGGGCGGCATGGGTGAAGGTTGGACAATAGAGTCGCGATATAAAATATCGTAATGACCTGGACGGTATAACAGGTAGATTATTGGTCCTAATGTAGCGTGGTCCTGACCGTTAGCTTCTTCGGGCATCCGATGAACATTGGCTTCCACGCCGTTGCTCCGGTCTAAGTAGACAATCTCGAGTACGATATTCGCCGGTTTGAGTAGCACGTCGTGAAGTAGCACAACACCTACGTGGTCGATCTCCCGGTCAATAGGCAGGATGGTATCTTGAACGTAGCTCTCGGCGCCACCTGTTATCCAGGGCTCGTAATGGGCATAACGACCCTTCAACCATGACGATGCGAGCAAGCGCTGATGGTAGACGATGGATTGCGACTTCTCAGGATTGTTGAACGTATCCATCACAGCCAGCATAGCATCCTGGCCGTTAGACATCGCTCCGATGATCTCATTGAATAAGTCAAATGTTACGGCAACCATATCCTCGAACAACCAGACACTATGGCCTCCAACGGTCTCGATGAACTTGTTCAAGCTTGTTAACCGAGCCAACTCGCCTTGAACTTGATTTATATCGCCGCATCGTACTAACGTTTCGAAATAACCGAAAGCGATCGCTACAACGATATAACAAAGAGTCAACTTAGGATACTATAAGTCTGAGAACTAGGTGAGATGATGGAAAAGTTGAATATTGTCCCCACTAGGTTGCCTTATCTTCACAGAAGTAGATCATCGATCGATCGAAGAATATTCTAGATATGACCCAGATCCTAAATTGACTTGGCTACGCATGAACTGCGGGGTATGCGTACGTGATGCAGGAGGATCCTCGAGATATATTAAGTAGGAAATATGTCGGAACTCACCTCGCCAACCACAATTACCGTCACCTTGGACAGGGCGATAGTGGGAATAGGTCTGGGGTAATGCCTACGACATCACGACGAGTCAATTGGAAGAGTTCGATTGTACTGCTAGAGTTCGGGTTTGACTAACCATAGTTTTGGCGACATATATAGGATCTGCTTTCGCATACTCCTCCGTGATTATCGTGCTTGGTCGTCTCTCGCCGACTAAAGGACTCTGATTCTGTATGCCGTTGAAATGTAAGCGTTTTGATGCTTTCGGTGGAAACGAGGAGGGACAATGTGCAAAGCGCGAAGTGTGATGGCGATATGAGCTACATATATAGCGACATATGTGTAGATGGGATATATGATAACAATAAAAGGGGATCGCAGCAAAAAATTACAGTACTTACCAGCTGAGGTTCGAATTCGCGAGCTGCAGCCTCCTGCTGAGCAAGGTCTGTTGGATGTGGTGGTTCCATCTTGATGTTGCGATGATTTTGATGTTGATTGTGGGGTATCGCCGGGTTGTTTATATTGGTATTGGTGGTGTTGTAATGAATATGACCCGAATTGCTTGCGGGAGGTGGTATTAGAGGATTATGGTTATGGTTATGCCCGTTATGGTTATGGTTATGGTAGATGGGAGAGGCGAAGAAGTCGACGGCTGCTGGTCTACCGCTTGCAACTGCGCCAGCACCGCCAGCTTGCGCCGTCCCGAATTGTCCCAGCGGAGTGGGCTGGAAAGCGTATTCGGGAACTTCTGCGTTGGCTATGTGGATTCCATAGGGAGCGTACGATGAATATGGGGTGGGTTGAGGCTGGAACATGCCTGTGCCTGGGCTTGATGAGCCAGAGCTTGACCCCAAGCTTGGGAGCTTCGGGTCATGAAAGCTCTAAGTACGTAACTAGGTGGATGGTCTTTGAAGTTCGGGGTGGGCTTCCTAGCTGCAAGTAGCTCAGAGCTCATAGATTAACTTTAGTTCCGTCTGGATCCGCCTGGCTATTTTTGTGCAGGGAATTATTAGGGCTTTCTCTTCGGGCTGTAACCAGCAGCGACAGATAAAAGAGAAACGAGAGTAATAAAAAAGAAGGAAGCAGGAAAGAGAGAGAGGAGAGAGAGATAGAGAGAGCAGGAGATAGGAGGAATATGAAGAGGGAAGAGGAAGAGGGAGAAGGAGGAAAAAGAAGGAAGTAAGAGAAGACAAGAGGGGATCCAGAGAGTTGGTAACGGGCGGGTTTTTGTCTAAAAGGAAGATGAGCACCGAGAAGCGATCAATCAAGTCCATCAAAGTCGGGGTTACACATTCAGCGGTAGTGGTACCGACCCCCCCTGCAACATGGGGTTGCTTATGTGGTAAGTGAGAGGTATCCTAGGCGTAGGGAAGCTATAAGTTACCTAGGTACCTAACCTAACCTAACCTAACATACCTTCCACTACTAAGGTAGGTACTTGTCTATATACTTGCTTGTATAATAAAATACTATGGAGATACATACCTACTAGGTATGTACCTACATACATTCAATGTTTCAACGGGAACTTCCCGTTTACCTCTTAAAAGATAGGTAAAGTGCAACTGGGCAATATGTACTGGGCAATACTTAACCCCACTCCCGATACGCGTGCATTTACCTACATCTACGTCTAGGTACGTCTACGTGTAAGTACCTAATGTACTTTAGAAGGATTGTAACTACATTATCTATTGCATGTACACTTTTACTCCGTACGTATTGGTATGTAAGTTCTCTAGAAACTCCTTACGAATATTTTACCTAGATATAATATAAGTCTAATATATGTAATCGATGACCTATCCAATTTATCTGCAATATGTAAGTATGTAAGAAGACAAAGTCCACGACTTACACGTGCAGGAGTACGGCAGACCCCTGAGAGTGTTACCTAGAAAAATCCCCTGTAAATTAGGATACTCCAGGTATGGTATTACCTACCTATATGTACGATGTACCTAGAGGTAATTACTTGAATACTAGGTACCTAGGTACCTAGATAAGGTCTGTGCGTCTATGCTTCGAGCTAGGTTAGTGTACATAGTTGGGCTTGACGTCGGTTAGCGATCACAAGAGATCAACAGGTAAAACGGTTAGGTACCGAGTAACACAGCGATACCTAATAATATCATAATATCAAATAATATCAAATAATGACAACGGTGTATTCCGTATACCTATCGCCAACTTCTGCCTTCTAATGTTAGAAGAAAGCCACTTTTATCACCTTGCCGCTTTTTTTCTATGCATAAACCACACCTTATAGCCTTATAATTCATGTTGAATACTTATAATTAATTTACTTAGACAGATGCATAGATAATGCACTATATTTGAACCAGTTAAAACTTCTCGGCCAAATGTCCTATGTTGCATTTTCGACCTTGTGGCTTGTCTGGCTTGTCTGGCTTCCATGTCTGGCTGGCTGGTGGCTGGTCATCATGTGTGATGGATTCTACATTTCCCTACCTAAGAATGGGGGATGGAGGATGGTGGATGGTGGATGGAGAATGGACTAATAACCAAGGCGTAAAAGACCTAGACTACCTAAATCTATGTAATTATTGGCTAACCTGATAGTAGTTCGTCTAGATGGTCCATCAGTCTACTATTTTTGACATATCACTTCCAAGTACTGCAGCTGTACTGCGGTTTATTTACCTGGTATAACCGTACGTTGAAGTAGAATCCTTCACGCTATCAAACCCGAGAACTTTTACCCAGATCTTTCCTTACCCCAGACTGGTGCTTACGATAGATGCAGCACCATGCTCTGATGGGTAAGGTATATCGAACGGCCAAGACCACTACGTACTGACTACGTACCTTCTCTCATGGGTACCGGAGGATCGCGAAGCACGATCGTTGCGCAATATCGTCAACTTTACACGGTATCGGGGCATGGGAGCTGAGTAGTGTATCTTCTAATCCCTATTCGTCGTTGGTCTTTTGTTTGGGTCATTTGATTGATTTTTTTTTCTTTGACGATAAAAACCGGCCAGAAAGTATGGGCAATATTAGACTAGCTTTCCCGGTCAGCCCAGGAATCAGGATTCTCCGGCGCCAAAAAGGAAATCTCTCCAGCGGCTGAAGCGTTACAGAATTGCCATTGCCAGCCGGCCCGGAAAATGCAAAGCAGATGCAAAGTAGATGCAAAGAAAAAACAAGCAAGCAACCCGTAGTAGCAAGGGAAACGTCATTTGGTGGCAATTATACCTAAACAATGGGTGATACACGGCTTGCCTACCTACCTATGCATACATACCGTATATACGTGTTATACTGTCGGTTCATGAACCTAACTAGCGTAAACTTCATGCGCGTGGGTCGGGATATGTGTTGGTGGCACAAGACAGACCAGCACAAAAGAAAAGCCATCGTAACACAGCATCACAAGCGAGGATGGAAAGCATGTATCATCATCAAGTCGTCCTTAACGACGCCGAACTAGACCAATTCGCCCACCAATCCGCATCATTCTCTGCGTGACAAGCTTTTTGAGGAGTACTATTAGAATTGGTGCTCAGGTGAGCCTCATGATGGCGCGAGATGGATACGTCGAGTAAACTACCTAGGTAAGTAATGCTTTATTAAGAAAACCAACTCAGAAGATGTGGGAGCAGCGCCGTTATTTCTGACCATAGACGGACCTGCGAGGGGAAGGCCACGTAGGATCCTATGGGTCTTTTTGCCTCGTCCTTAAGAGGATTCGATTAATACTCCCGGAAACCTTAGGGCTGAAAAGACGGTGTGAGATGAAATCATGTCTAGGTATATATCTAGGTATATACTTTCTTCGAAGAACAAGACCTTGACGATCGCCCAATAACTGGCAATAGTAGGTTGGGATTGGTAATAAAGAGCGGATATATCTACTTGGGGCCTTTCTTCACGCAGTTCATCTTATAAGTCAAGCTAAGACCCGGGCTTATACCTATCTGATATCCATCGGTTGAAGGATCGTGGGTGAACTCCAACGGGGGCCCATGCCAAGTGCTACCTATTACTACGTACATAATATATGTACATTCTAGCTTTAACCCCGCCTTCCCACCGCCACCACAACATGGTACTGGATCAATCTAAGACTTATATGGCGATAAACCAGCACCGATATGTACGCCAAGGGTTAATAGGTTCGGAGGGTCGCAAAGTTGTCGATACGCTATGTTTTTATCACTAAGCGAAAGCCTTATACGTCCCTTCGAGCTCTAGAGATATTTAGTGGTACCGAGTATATGTTCTGCAAACCGAATCGAAGACGTCGGCAACATGCTCCTCCATTAGTATCATCTATCGAACATCCGAGATTTCTTCCAGAACATCTTACCTGCATGCACGTCTTACAACCAGATTATTCATACCAACCATGTCTAGTGTTGGGGAGTTCAAAGCCTCCGCAGACGACTCCTCAGTACCTTCTCTAAACCAACTAACTTCAGACCTTTTTGATATTAAACCCGGGAGCGGTGGACTAAGAGGTGCTTCGTCTGTTACCGTGGGGTGGATCAATGATTACATGCTAGAATACGTTTTCCATTTGCGTCGAAGTCACCCACCCTCGGTCTATAGTAACACCCTTGAAGCACCGCGATATGTGGCTCCTGGAAGAGATTACGGCCGCTGCTCCTGTGATTCGCTGGTTGTCATTCCATCCAAACTGCACGGCTACTACGCTTCGGCTTCTAGTTAAAGCCATTGGAGACTAAAGCCGCTGTCGGCAGCGATCTATTGTACTCGGAACTCTCGGACCAACGACGAGTATCGCATTAACACGTGCGTTAACAGATATTAGGGGTCCAGTAAGTGGACTGCGAATCTAGAAGAGAAGCGGGAATATCTATCTGCTTTACCTCTCTCGTCACAACCTCAACCAGTTTCCTTAACGTATTAGACCGTAGGTCTTCCGGCAAGCTGCAATCTATGCATTGATTAAAGCTCGAGCTAAGCTTGGGGGCTGTAGAAGCAACCGGATTTATCTGCATAAAATCGAAGAGATCGACGCTTGGCCGTCGCCGTAGAATTGGAACGGCCTAGTTATTCGGCATGCTCATTGGATAGGAGGTAGCTCCATAAGCTATTTCTACGCCTCTATTTTTGGGCCATTGAAATGCAAGGAATTTAAGCTCTAATTTCTGGAGAGCATGCGTTGATAGATACGCGACCTAGAACTCTCGTACGTGAGGTTGGGATCGTACAGCCAACGGCATTCTGTCAATTTCCTCTGCTGTACGCTCTGTCACGTACAACCTTAGGTACTGCATACTATCAAGTATATCATATTACACAACAGGTAAAGCTGTATAGAGAGGATATGTAAGGCGTTTCCATACGAATCATATTGGTTTTTAGCTAAATGCACCCACCTTTAGGCCTTAGGATCTAAAGTTGCTTATAGACAAGGATAACATATGACCTTTTCGCATATTATTTATTAGGTATTATTTAAATCCGTGCGTAAAGAAGAGGGGGTATCTGAAACGAAGAGTATCGCAGAGCTAGAACAATCTTTCGAAGGATCTGGACTTCCATAAACCTATCATGTTTGGGTCATCGTGTATATCGAAATTTGAACATGTTATAACAATTTTAACAGCCTTCAGAAGGAAAAAAAAAAAAAAGCACGGCTATGTCGTAAGCAGACCAAGCTAACCAACGGGAGCGTGCAGAAAATCGCGATATGTGTTACGCCAAGCCGGTGAAATACCTACCTAAGTAGTATGGACGCCCACGACGCAAACCGCCGGCCGCTGATGAAATTTCACTTCACTACAAATGAAGCTACATAAACATCCACCCGCTACCTCTTGTCTTACCTCCCGCAAACGGACACGAAAGGGCGAGGTCGCATTAGAACCCAAATACCTAATGTTCTCAGTACCTACCCATTGCTTTTCCAGACTACACACATATACACATATACACACACACACACACGAGACCGCCGAGGAGCCTTGTTACGACCTGTCACGTAGTTCAAGATGGGCGAGGAGATGGATCTCCCGATAGTTCCCTTCCCATCTATAATCCGCATTATGCCGGTGTCCACTCGGCATACCTCATTCGTCAGTCTAGGATGCTCTGCAGGATTCCCGTAGCGAGCACCGTATCTAGACGCATTTTTTAAAAAAGTTTTTATTTTATTTTATTTTATATATCGCAATGCCGAGCCGATCTATTAGCACGTTGTCCTCTAGAAGAAATTCAGGGTTTCGCCAGTCCCTTTTGCGCCCCATCTCACCGTTGTTGTGCGCGCAAACAAGAAATTTTTGTTCTTTTTCTTTTTTTCTTTTTTCTTTTTTTAACATCCATGATCCGGCAGTAAATAGGTAGCCCGGCCGCCCCCCCTGGTCATGGTTAGAAACGCCGTTTAGCATTTCAGCTACCTACCTGGTAATTCCCGAAAGCAAGGTCACGTACCCCTTAGGTTTGGGTTGGCACAGAGAGACGTTACACTCGCTTCCGGGCCGTTCTACCCACCGCAGCCGTTTCGACAGCCGCGTTCGTTGATCTTCTGGGTCGCCGACCGGGGATGGGGAATGGGGATCACGGTTCTAGACGAAACCCCGAATATTGTCCTCTCGCCCTTCGCCCTCCCCCCCTTTCCCCCCTTTCCCCCCCATGTTCTAATGCCAATCTACGGCTTCCGCGTATCGTATATCATGCTTTCTCCCTTAACAGCTTGGATAATATGTATAATATATATGCAGCAAGCTTGTTTAAACGGGAAAGGGGCCAATTATATCGTAGCCATGAGACCGCCGATCAGGAGGATATTAAGGATATTAGGTAGGTAGGAAAGAGGGATAGGGATAGGCTGGTTTCCAAGACACGCATCGCGTGCATCTAGCCACCAAGCTGCGCGCCCACCCAGTCACAATCACGTCCTTTTTAATAAAGGATATTGTGATTTCCCATCTCGTTCTACCCAGATCATACATACATACATACATACCCTTTTGCGCAAAAAAGTCTTCTCCGCCCAACCAGAGCGAGGCGGGTAAGGAGGTGGCCTCGACGGGGTCATATATTACTTGCCGCGGGTGTTACCTACGGTTGCCCATCTTGCCCTCGTCGACCCCGATCCCGCCCGCGGGGTGCGTGCCTTAGAATACGACGGTGACGCTGTGGCCCCGCCACAGGTTACCTTACTTAGATGCTTACCTATCCATCTAGATGCTACGCCCTCATCTACTTTTTTTTTTTCAATTTATGACCTATCTATCTATCTATGTTTATCTCTATATGCTCATGCCCACCACCACCTCTTATATACTACCTATTACTACAATAAGTGGAAATTAAAAACGTCCAATGCCCATTTTACACTTTATTACATCAACTTCAATATATTACAACTCAACCAAATCGCAATATAAAAATAAAATAGAAATTGTAAAATTTATTTTACTCATTATTAAATAGCTAGGAAGTTTTTTCAAAAATTTAGGTGTTGAAATAAGGTTAGAATTTAAAGATGTAATAAATATATCCATATTTAACCTCCGATGTTTAATCCTTATTTTTTCAATACATTTATATATAAGTAAAAAAACAAAAATCAATTTAATATAAAGAATTCCATGAGAATTATAGAAATACCATTTATATAATTGTAATAAATATATTGGTTAAAATATCAGTATATTTACGAAGTTAACCCTTTTAAAAGTTGAAAATATTACCTTTTCCCATACAAAAAGTGATATTTTTACAATATGACAACTTCCATACTATTTTCCCACCCAAATAAAATCTCAAAAATTATTCAAAATCAGTAGAAGTAATAGAAACTCAATTATTAAAAGGCCTTATAAGTTTCATTCATTGGTTCTATATAATTATGTTAAGTTATAACCATTGAAAGTTGGTGAGTTTGGGTGTAAAATGGGCATTGGACGTTTTTAATTTCCACCCACTGTACCTACTACCTACTATATAGCATCTACCTTGCCTTTTTACATACCATACCATACCAAGAGTCGGGGAGGAACATTGGCCTTACGGTAAGTGGCGTACGGATAGGATTCCTGCATTCGCTAGGACCCGGTGCTATTTCCTATTCGCACGCTACCGTATATTATTGCGTTACACGGGACACGACGTATGTAGTTTAGGTAGTTTAGCAAGCAAAGCAAAGCAAGCAAGCAATCAAAGCGGGTGAGCAAGCGGGCAGGCAACGCAACGCCATACAAGATAAAGTAAGCCTAGCTTCGAAATGCTGTCAGCCGCAGCCGCGGCCGCGGACTACTATGTTAGGTATCTGAGAAGTCCTATGGATGGAATGGAATGGATCACACCGGCCAATGGCTCATGTTAATCTTGGTCTTGGTCTTGGTCTTGGTTTTGGTCAAACCCCCCTTGGCGCTCGTGGCTGTGGGGGGGGTGTAATAGTCACATTTGAGGGGATCGACTTTATTATTATTAACTATTATTAGTAGTAGTAGTATTATTAGTACTATGGTAGTTATTATTCATTATACTTTCCCGGAGGGGTCCCGAGACGTACCTAACTACCTACACTCGTGTCTAATACCTACAGTTTGCTAGTTGCCCGACTACCCGAGTCTTTTTTTTTGTTTTGTTTCTTTTCAAGCGGCAAGTGGAAATACGCGTTATGCGCATGCGCGGAGTCGGTGGGAATAGCCTATCTAACAATACACAATAGGTAGGTACAGCACAACACAGCGCAATACCTACATCGTTAGGTATCCTATCCCGTCGCAATCTAACCCACGCTTCTAAATACAGAATGCTTACGGCGCTGGGTACCTACTTACCCGGTAGCCGTGGGCTGAGACATCATGGCTAGTAGTCTCACTTGATTTACTTGATTGCGAGGTTGTCTGCTTGCTGTCTGTCTGTCTGTCTGTTTGTCTCGCTTCCGCAGAGAGAGGTACTATATATATACAAGAAGGTAGGAAGAAAAAAAAATAGTGTGTGGAGAGGGGGGGAGAGAGAGAGAGAGGCGTTTCCCGGACAATCGGCGACTGGATGGCGCCGCCGTGGCGCGGCGATGGCTTGGACATGCGCGCGCGCGAGACAGATAAGTAGACACATAACGGATTCCGCGCTGCCCAGAATGGCAGGCCGAGATGGCTGGGTGGCTGCTGGGGGGGAGCTGATTCGGCGCCCACCACCACCCCCCCGGATGGGACTGAGTATGACGTAGGATGTGGTAGAGTAGGAGTGAGAGTGGGAATGAGAGGTAGGAGTAGACGGGTAAATCAAGATGGGGATGGGAATGGGGGATTGAGGGTTGGACATATGGATATCTGGCGAGGGGATTTGGAACGAAGAGACAGTTGGAGGGTTATGCGCGGTGGTGAATGGGATATAGGTACCTAGGTAGGTATAAGTGGTTCGTTTGAAACCCCTATTATACGAAGATTAATAAACGGTTTACTCTGACTGGTGAATTGACAAGTATTTAATTGATATTGATCGAGTATATGGTAGCAATATAATTACCTAAACTTATTACTTATACCGAACTCTCCTGAATGTCTACCACCTTGAGTACCTACCGCACGTTAGCCCCCCCTAGAAACACCGACAACAACTATAGTTCTCATGAAACAGCAGCAATATATCTGATCGTATATTTGGTAATCAGCCCTTCTCTTATTAGTTGCGTTATTCTATAGGTGAGATAAGTTTGATATATCGCAGTTACACATGAAGGATTGAGCTGATCTAAACTCCTATTGCCGAAGACTAATACATATAATTTAAATATTGAAGATACCTTAGTAGCTCTCATTGCGTTCTTTGGACGCTATAAGTGACTTTACATCTCGAATGCTCTACTCTACTTGTGTTCTGTTCCTTTTAGGAGATGTTATCTCATGCTGTCGCGTTCTGACATGATATACTACTGTTAGTTGGTGCTGAAACCTACTTAATGGCCCTACTTTCTTATATTTCATCCTAGTACTCTCATTTGATAATAAACTTACGTTAGGCTTGGGTTGATAGTCTAGTACGTAAATGACTATAGGTGGTATCTTGAGTTAACGTCAGTCGAGTTGAAATTTGATGTCTCAACAGGCATATGGTCCTAGTGTCATAACCTCTACAAAGACTGACTGACACCAACTACTTTCAAGTTTTGACTTAGCATTAGACCCGTATAAAGTGTTGGTGGCACTTATTCCCGCTAGAGGATGTTTATTTTATATAGACTATATAATGCTTCATAAATCAAGACACGTAAACCGTACACCATGCGTAACAGAGCTTTTAGCAACACTACTATATCCTCACTTAAATCTTACTCCATACTATCATCTTCAAACACCACTAATACCGTGCCAGCCTTACATTTATCCTTTAGTTCAAGTTAGCAATCACGAGGCCTAACTAGTAAGACGCAAAGACTTACCCCTTCTTTATGCGCGAGTTTCTTGATGACGCCATCTTGTGGTGATCGAATGACTGTTTCCATCTTCATGGATTCGATACTGGACTTGGTATGAGCACACCGCCGAGTTGTCATGTCAGAAAATGGGAAAGGTGACTTACACAACGAGCGGAGCTCCTTTTGTTACTCTATCACCCTCCTTGACTTCGTTCTTGAGGATCTTGCAAGGCATCGGGGCTGCGACCGACCCTGTGACCTCTTTCAACCCCAAGGCTTTCTCGTACCATGATGGGGATACTAATGTTAATTCCGTCTTAGTCCCAAGTTGGAATATGGTGACCTTATTATCGTTATTGGGATCTCGGACCACTGTTGTTTCTATCCGAGTATGAGGGAAATAGGTTACAAGACTAGTCTTGTCGGAGCTTGAAGCGGGAGAAGATACGAGATCTTTAAAAACTTGAGGATCTTCATCCTTCCGTATGACTCGAGCGTCGAATAAGCTGTTGCCTTTTTGAGCTATGCTAACATTCACCACCTCTCCTTCTTTTTGATCGAACACATCAAGGGACTTGAAAGTAAACGTTCGTTCAGTGCTGTTTAAGCCAAAGCCGAGGCTTCCTCCATGAGGCTCAACAGCCTCCGCGGGCTGAGAAGCAAACGCGCCAAGTGCCGCTTGCACGTAAACTTCAGGCTTGATTATCATGGGATCGAAAAGTTCCTCTTTCCACTTTTCGATAAAGCCCGTCTCGACATCTCCCTCTATGAACGCCGGTGACCTACATAGACGCTTCAAGAACTCAATGTTAGTACTCAAACCTACGACTTCGTAGTCGCGCAGAGCGAGCTCCATCTTCCTAATAGCAGTCTCGCGATCCCTACCCCTGACGATGAGTTTCGCAATCATCCCGTCGTAGGCTTCAGTAACAGTATCGCCTTCAACAAAACCAGCATCGATTCGGATATCCTCATCGACTTTGGGAGTTTTCAGATGAACAAGCTTTCCGGAGTCAGGTAGGAAGCCCTTTTCGGGACTTTCAGCGTATATCCTAGCTTCGATGGCCGCTCCCCTGTCGTGAATTCTGTCCATAATTTCTTTTTGAGTCAATGGTAATCTTTCTCCAGCTGCAATACGGAATTGCCATTCTACTAGATCCGTCCCCGTGACCATCTCACTAACGGGATGTTCAACTTGGAGTCGAGTGTTCATCTCCATGAAGTAAAAGTCACCCGTATCCTTGTCGAAAATAAATTCTACTGTTCCTGCACCCACGTAGCCTACTGCCAAGGCCGCCGTCTTGGCCTTTTCCCATAGATCTAATCTTGTGATATCATCTAAGTCTGGAGCCGGTGACTCTTCCAATATCTTCTGGTGGCGGCGCTGTATGCTGCAGTCTCGTTCTCCAAGAGCAACACAGTTACCATGCTTATCTGCGAATACTTGTACTTCAACGTGTCTTGGCCGTATGATGTATTTCTCAACTAGCATAACCTCACCACCTTCTCCGAACGAAGCTTTGGCCTCTGCTCGCGCGCTTTTCAACTGTTGGATAAACTCCCCTTCTTCCATGACGATACGCATGCCTTTGCCGCCACCTCCCTTTACGCTCTTTAGCAAGACTGGGAATTCGATCTCCTTCGCAAATTGTAACAGCTCCGTTTCGCCCTGCTCACTGCCATGATATCCGGGTACACATGGTACGCCAGCTTTAGTCATGATCTCCTTGCTCCGGGCTTTGTCTCCCATGTCTGCCATGGCTTGAGCAGGCGGTCCAACAAACACGATGCCCTCTTGCTCACACCTCTTGGCGAAGGCGGAGTTCTCCGATAAGAAGCCATAACCTGGATGCAATGCCTGAATACCGTGCTGCTTTGCTAATCTTACTATTCTCTCTCCATCAAGGTATCCATTAGCGGCACCGAGGCTGATGGAATGTGGCGAGCAAGAAGCATGCTGTGCAGAGGCGTCTGGGTCAGTATACAACGTTGTAGTTTTTATACCGAGGCGTTCAGCCGTCTTGTTTATCCTCAATGCAATCTCGCCGCGGTTTGCAATTAGTAGAGATGTTATAGGAGTAATATGCGGTTGTATAGAAGAACTAGCTGATGAGAGGTAACGGGGAAATGGACCTCGGCGAAGATGTCTTGGGTTGATTGAACGCATTTTGAATGTGTTCAGATTAAAGTGATATATTCTTTAGCTTATGTTTTATATGTTTCACGAGGTGGTTATGAGAGATAGGTAGGAATAGTATATTATGGAAGTTATAGAGTAAATATATTAAGAAAGAAGGATTAGAGGGAAAGAAGATCACATTCGTCCATTCCATCTTGTCGTCTTCGAGGTACCTTAGGTAGGTACATACCTACCCTACCTAAGGTAAGATGGATGAAAGCCGTAAGTAAGCGGACCCACCCCCGCCAAAAGCCGCGGTTCTAATCCCCTGTTCCTACCTGTCTTTTTAGCTATGGTCCAAGCTCCTAGCTCCAGCCTCAGTGGAGTATTCCAGGGGTTCAGCCTCAACCCCAGCGTCATCATAGAAGATCTGATAGGATCGCTGATAGGATTATAACTTTTGACCCCTCCATCGTTAAACCACTTCACGCGACAAGAGATCCCCAACCCTCACCACCGACGCGATGGATCAGATATCTCTTAACCATGAGGCCTCGGCCGGTGATACACATAAGCAATTGGTTACGTCGCTTCCTCCAGAAGTTGTCCAATGCCTCGAAAATGCTCGCTTTGTAAGTCTCCCCCCGCCAATCCCTGCTTATTATGTTCGATCCCCCCAGGCGCTAACTTAGAACCCCGGTATAGCTTCACCTGGCGACATGTACCGATAACCAACCGCACGTGTCGTTGATGAATTACACTTATATCCCTTCCTCACAATATTCTTCTGCGCCGGTCATCGTCATGACGACGAATCCTTCGTCTAAGAAGACCAATAACCTCGTGGTCAACCCTAACGTCTCCTTATTAGTTCACGACTGTGAGCACCCTTAATTAACAATTATTACTGAAAGAAAAAAAAAACAAAAAAAAGGACCTTATTGGAAAAGGGCTAACCGCTTGCAGGGGTCTCACATAGGCCGCCAACCCAAGGCCGGCGGATGTCAGGTGGCTCTCCTGGACCCGAGAATAGATCGAGCCTGGCATCACTACTACTAAACCTTAACACGAGCGCCATATCTAGCATCAGCGCAACAATCAATGGGACGGCGGAGCTCGTGTCCCGCGGCTCGGCCGAGGAGGAATTTTATCGTAGCCAGCATCTCGAGAACAACACCTTCGACTCCGAGGGCGGCGTCGCGTTTAACACTGCAGGTGGTCTGACGCCAGGAGGGCAAGAAGATGGTGGTCGCGAGTGCTTCGTTGCGGGCGAAGAGGTGCGCGTTATATTGGTGCATATCAATGATATACGGACCAGCGACTGGAAAGGTAGCGTCAAGGATTGGGTTTTGGTTCCGGATGCGAATCCGGCACCGACTATGAATGGCGGAGGGACTGGTCTGTGAAGTAGGCAAAGTTGAGCTGCTGCTTTTGAGAGAGGTAGCTTTATTGTTTCCTCGGTGTCGCTTCGGTTCGGCGCATTTGGTGAGTTCTTTCCGAGACGAGTGGATTTTCACCTCTACTATATATTCTATGCATTGTAACATCGGGATAGCTTGTCCTATAGCAGTTTACATGGGTTAAAAACCAACTACACCTTTTATTCAAGATTCAGGTGGCGGAGAACCCCGTTAAAAGAAGTAGCCCGCTTGGCTAACTCCTAAAACTATATCGCATAACTATATACTCCATGTTTACTACCTTGAGGTTTAGTTAATTTATAATAATATTTGATTTCAAACTTGTTGACCTAATAGATGGGTCAATAAATATGATATACATTGATACTTTATCACACTTGGCAAGGTATTTAAAAGTAGACCAACGAATGAAGTATTTGGTTCATTTCTTGTCGTTATTTTGCCATCTAGATGGCTTAGATGCCTCGGCGGGCATTATGCCTGAGATGGTGATAGTCATACAATCTTCGAAGACGTATCGAAGAGTAAGCCCTCCTGCTTTCTAATATATACATGCTAGGTTGAGCTACCGTCTCAGTGGACATATTCCAAGTCCAAGAGCCTGGCTTTGTTAAAAAAAGAGGATAAAATCGTGTATGTCGACCTTAGATACTCTCCCTTCTTAATGTTACTGCCCCATATCAAGGTTACGAGGCGCGATACGCCTTGTATATGCGTATATGGTAATTCTTAATTTGTTGGATCTTGGGGTTTTGAATCGCCTTGGATCTCACGCGGCATAGGGGGCGGAGTCCGTGGTTCGGTGTTTCGATATTTTGATTCCATGATACCGACCTGAAGAGTAGTCAGCATGCAATTAATATTTGACACAACCCCCCTATGCCTTCACGAGTTTACGGTCATGACGTGAGACCAGCTAAAGTTAAGAAATATGTTTCATACCATTGATAATAATCTCCAAACAGTATCTGTGGGCTGTGCACCAACACCGATCCAATACTTAGCTCTTAGTATGTCCAGCTTGATGTCTTTGTGTAGTTTTCCCGAGTGATCATATGGGTCGGGCTTTGGGATCGGGTCATATGTGCCGATGACTTCGAGCGGCTTGCTATTTCGTGCCGTTCTATTCCAGTGGTTAGCTTGATACCAGCCGACTAGGAATATATTTGGTTGAGTTCATGGCTCATATAAATTAAACTAACCTCGCATGGGCGACGACAATATTGTAGAAAGGAGAGTTCTTGCGCCCGAAGCGCGCAAGACGAACCTTCACCACCATATTGATCGCAGTACCGTTTGAAGGTTGTAGGTTGACTGCGACTCACGAATTGATTATACTGAATTTGGTGTCGCATGCGATAAAGGTCCCAAAGTTCTAAGGTTACAAGGTTGCGGACCTCAATTCAATAATTTTGGCGGATCTGGAGGCTGTTTTCTCCGCCCTAACCAATCGGAGGTATGTTTTTGCTTAGTCAGTTAATCGTATGGTACTTACACCAGTCAAAGCCAATTAAGATCACAGCTTCCCCCAGTGATGTCAGTCGATCAGTTTAACTAACAGGTCCCTAATTCCTAAACTCTCAAACTCCTCCTTTCTCAAATAACTTCCCAACTTTTTTGATTTTAGGTTAGGTAGTTTAAATTGGTAGCCTCATTACTATCAACTTTCCAACATCATATAACAAGTATAATAATAACCATGGCAATCAAAGTAAGTTGAGTGACATATTAATACGTCAAAGTTGGAAACTGACTTACACCATTTTAGACCTTATCGGCGAAGGCTGCTGCAGCTCTGGATAAAGAGCTTATGAGCACCGGTGCCTTTTCGATCGATCAGCTCATGGAGCTTGCCGGATTAGCAGTCTCACAAGTTGGCACGCGCTTTAACTTGGCTGATTACTCGTCAACCGGTATCTAACGGCTGCTGTACAGTGTACCGGGTTCATCCTCCGAATAAAGGCAACAGAGTACTTGTAGCTTGCGGTCCTGGTAATAACGGTGAGAAAGTCCGTTGAACTGCATAGTTAAGACTTCTAATATGTTAAAGGTGGTGATGGGCTCGTTGCAGCTCGTCATCTTCGTCATTATGGGTATCAGCCGGCTATTTACTATCCAAAACAAAGCAAAAATGAGCTCTACCAGGTATGCAGGATATCGCATGTTGTCTTTAAAAGCTCCCAACACTATTACTACCCCGGAACTGATTCACATGTGCCTTCTGATTTCCCCGTCTCGGTCAAGTCATAATAACCCTTAGCCACGTTCTCAACCGCTCTATTTCATCACTGCTCCTATATCCCTAGACTTGTCTATATCAACCCTTGGTCCTGGGCTACAACGCGTATATATCGTGTTTTGTTCTGCTCGGACGATTTAATCTAGCGTCCGAGATACTGATCGTAAACTCTCCCAAATAGCGACTCGCTAAACAGCTAGAAGACCTCGAGGTGCCGTTCGTGGATGATTTCCCAGCGGCTATTAAATCGACGGATCATGTTGTGGATGCCGTTTTCGGTAAGTATTAATATCGTACTTCGAATATGCCAGACTCATCCATAAGCAAGGATTCAGCTTCTCGGGCGAGGTTCGCGAGCCCTTTCCTGCGGTAATCCGTGCTTTAGAGGACACTAAACTTCCCGTAACCTCGGTTGACGCACCATCATCTTGGAATATCGAAACTGGACCACCGGAATCCGGTCTGGGAAGCAAGTTCAATCCTGATTTCTTGATCAGTCTGACAGCTCCCAAGCCACTGGCCAAATACTTCAAAGGACGTCATTTTGTAGGCGGCCGGTAAGGGTCTTCTTACGGTATGAGAAAGCCTCTTGACTGACGTACCTCGCAGCTTTGTCTCTCCGGCAATTGCTAAGAAATATGATTTCGAGGTCCCAGAGTATCAGGGAATTGACCAGATTGTCGAGGTCGGTACTGGGGGAGAGAAGCTCTGATTGCAGAGGTTCGACTGGGGCTGCTCTCCCAAGCTGGAAATACCGGCTTGTCGAAGATGCGCATACCCTGTACTAACTGACACAGCAACCGCCGGTGCGACTGTAAGGACAAACTGGACTGGGGCATCTTCCTTCTTGCATATCTTCGCTCTCTTCAGCTATTCCCCTAGGGCACCGTAACAATGGAGGATGATAGTCTTTGCAGAACTCGATATAGACGAGATATTGTTTCCCGCAGACAGGGCACTCCGCGGTGTGCTCAGTGCACATTAAAGTTGCAAGCTGGGTCTTTGCCCTGAATTGCAAAGAACACCTGAATATGGAAAGTCCCTGAAAGGACGAAAGTCTCGACAACAACTGTTGATTTGGCATACCATCCGTATAAACGTGGCTCATTAAATGTTGGTGTGGCTTTCGAGTACAGAAATAGGACACAAATCGTCCATAAGAGTATTGTAATACGACTATAGAATCGCCACCACCGAACCGAAAAAGCACATTTGACCACTGATGTACTGCTGATGAAACCCCTGTGGCAATTACTGGTCATGGGAATACGTAACAGACAACCCCGATAATTGTACAAGAAGAGGATTTTCTTATTTCTGTCTACTCTGGCAGTTCATGTTTATTCATGTTTACAATCTGCCTACCTAACACTTCCTGATTTTTGTGCTTGTCTAATCCAGCATACAGCTAAACGGGGGCATAACTACTTCTCTGTGGTGAGCCGGAGCAAATGCTCCGTAACACATGTGATAGGCCAATATGGATCTGCAACGCTTACCTTGTTAGTGGTCCCAGTGAACAGCACTTTTTTTTCCTTAGGCTTCGACCGCCTTTAGGTGATGCTCGTAGATTCTAGATCAATTCGACCGATCTTCTCTACATGAGCAAAATCTAATCGAAATAAGCATTCACGAGAGAAAGTTCTAGGATTATCGTTAAATTTACTGATTATTGACATCGACTGGCGGAAGTGAGGTTTTGGTTAATCACAAATCCATGACGCTTATCTGCCATTGTTAGTAACTAGGTGACGATCAATACATAAGAGGATGCGACTACAGCCTTACAGATCTATCACCGGTTTGGGGGGGCTCTCTCTTTGGTGTAGGTACGTAGGTACTATACCATAGGGTTCCAGTTCGCGGATAAGCATGGAATGATCAATATTCCTGCATCTACCGTGAGACATTCTATCTGACCCGCTAATACCGACACGGTGGCGCCTGCGATGCAAATAAGCTTGCTGCATTATTGATAATCAAACCGTTTCCTTTGAGGCACCCCTCGCTTGGGAGGCACGCCATAATAAGAAAAGGGGCAACAAACGTTTCGAGCGAACCATCAAATCCCCCACTTCTAAGTCTATGCATCTTGGCCTCTCGGGATGTTCCCACATGATCCCCACGATTCGCATAGAGGTATACATCTGTAAGCTGCATGTATGTAATTCCCATTACCCACACTAGATGTTCCTTTCTTTAGCCACCATTCTGGCCTGAAACTTATGTATGTAGGAGTCAGCTTCATGCCCAACCTTCCCGCTGAGTGCAACCGTAAGGATCGTGTTCCCGCGCTCCGCCGTAACCAAACGGCCGGGGCTATAACTAATCAAATGGCGGCTTCGAACCGGCCGGTATAAATGCCAAGCTAGGAGCATTTAGCCCGCTCGGATAGATAGACAACAGATATAGCAAACGATGTCTACATTCAAGTTCGCAATCCTTTTCCTCATAGAAAGTGAAGGTTCCTCCTCGTCTGCATTGCGCACCACCAGCGTCGAGTTCGGTATGAGGATAGGCCATTTTTCGATCCCGATTCAATCGCATGCGGTTCCTTACCAAAGTCATCGAGATTGTTTCATCTCAATACGACATTGGATCCGTTGTTACCTTATAACTTTTGCTCAATATTAGGCATATCTTCCGTCATTACTTTCCTGTCTTCACTAACTATCCCTACTTTTGTGGCCTCGGTTATAGATAACCTAAGATCGCGCCTAGCAGATCATCCAGCCTCTTAGGACGGTGAGCAGGTGTGGAGATATCCACATATTAACATCCCAATGCTCGGATCACACTCCTGGATAACTTATTGGTATTTACCTGGGTGCGGTCTAGGATCAAGTAGATTTAGGGAATCACTGGGTCGCGAAGCTTGATGAGTCGAGCTAAAGCTGATATCGAGCTGGGAGCATAGCTAGCCAAACAGCCAAACCAGAGATGGCGACCTTAAGAAAGGGCCGAATTATCGTCTCTCATCAAGCCTTTGAATAACAACCCACATTTCCTTTCGTCACAGCGGCTCTTGAATATGAGTATCATTCCCTTCAGCTTGATCATAGTGACATGCTGATATTGTTTGGTACCTAGTTTATGACGGTGAGTTATCTTAAGCTTCTTCCGCTCCGCTACGCAGCTACGCAGAGCAAGCATTATTCTAAGGAGTGGCGTTCCATATCGCGTTTGGTTCGTCAATTGCACGACAGTAATGCATCAATAATGACGATCATGACCTCTTACGGATTCACTTATACACCAGGTAAGTAACTAGGCAGCTAGGCGAACCCGAGCTGACAAGCAGCCTCGTGGTCTCGCCAGCGCGCCAATCTCCGCTCGGAATAGGCCTCACCCGCTAATCCGCCGCTGACGCCGTCGAAAGTTTGGGGGGAAAGATTTGTTCGGGAATATTCGCCACTCTTCTCGCACCAACCATCACCTTGACACCCCCTAACATCCCCTAATAACCCCTGTCTTATGCACAGCCGAATCATACATGGTAATAAGCCATAATGTGGCATCTCTGTGGCTCTGTGGCTATGTGGCTGAAGCTACCCCTGTCACATGACCCCACCGAGTATCTAAGCTTAATTCCGACTTTGCAAGGTTCCACTTCGTTTCCACTCCATTTGCCACTTTACAACGACAACTTGCGAGGCCAGACGCGAATCTACGGGATTCCCATAGAGACCCATAGAGATATGTTGCAGAATTCTTCAGGAGGCAACGCGAATACGAATATTTTCCCATACCGCTAGCCACTCTCGCATGATGTATGTACATTTCATCACTGGTAGTTATCTGCCGCGATAACCCGGACTCCGAAGCATTCCTGGCTTGACTGGATATCGTAACTACATAGTTACCTATGTTTCACAACTAGCCCTACCTTAATTTTTTCCCTTAGTATTTCACCAGGTATCTAACACTAGGATGCAATGGAATAGAGCACTCAGGATGAAACGTGACTACGCTCTACGTGTTATATTCGCCTCTCAAGACACGCCTCGGGTGGCGTAGTCGGCAACTGTCCCGTTTAGATTCATATGAATTATATGGTCCTGTGGCAAAGTAATTATTCAACGCCGTGAGATATCAGTCTCATTTATAAGCTATGAGTCTAAGCCGTGCAGAAGTCTCTTACTAGACACAAAACGGGACAAGACGCGATAGTCTTTTCTTACTCTAGGCCAACTGCTGAGGTACTGGCTAGAAGATTTTGCTACATCTATGACAGCCTGATTTGATATATCTAAGTTAAGGTGGTATGGCGGATACTTACAACTTACATGGCAAGATCTACGGCTAATTAGATAAATTAGGATGAGAAATTGTAAAGACCTTTTCAATTACCTAGAGGTATGTTTGTAGTACAAAACAAATGCTAAGTTGCAACAACGTGGATGGCATGGCTTCATAGTAATAGCCAATCTCTCCAATTGGAGAATTTTGCCTAACTATGCTATCCCATCCGATTCCTTACTCCTCTCCATACATAAAACAAAAAACAAAAACCATAAAAATAGTACGACCGGAACAAAAGCTCCATCCGTCCTTGTCCCCTTTTCAAAAAAAACAAATAAACAAACAAACAAGTCGAGACTCAAGAGAGGTCCCTGCGTAAAAATGCTCCTAGAACTCCACAACACCGTACAAAAATGTCCTAGTGACCTAGGACATGCAGACGACGCGAGAGAAGATCATATCATGATCCATATATCATCGCATCAAGTCCATTTTTCTCGGAGGTAAATGTCCAGAGTCCAGGTTATACCTGCCCTGTTTTCCTTTAAGAATTTGCTGATCTGGCCTTTACTACTACCCCTTGTTAAGAAAGAGTCAAGATGGAGGTATATGCAGTTAAGACGAGCTGGGCAAGGCGTTGTCTTTCGGACTTCCTTTAAGGGCATCCCGATAGGATAGGCTTGCTAGTCGGAATTGGTGGTACTCTGGCTCTGGCTCCGACTTTGCCTTCGGTTTCGATTCCGGTTTAGGTGCCGGCTTAGACTCTGGTTCTTGCGTGCGTTCCTCCTGTTTCTTTTTTCCACGTTTTGGCTTTTGGCCCCTCTTCTTCGGGCGTCCCTTTTGGTCGAGATCCTTCTTCTTCGGCTCGTCTTGGCTCTTAGTATGGTCAATGGAGTGGCCACGGAGGCCGGTAGGAGTAGCTCCGGACGAGGCGCCGGTAGCAATTGCCTGGCTATAGAGGAGAGGCTTCTTCTGTGTCTCGGGAAGCACAGGTGAGTCTTTCTCAACTCCCTCGCGTGTAGCAGCTGCGGCGTTCTTAGGGGTGGCAGATTTGGCAGTACTGGCCTTAGCCTTCTCAACGTTTACCTTGGTTGATACGATAACGGCTTCTGGATCAGTTGGTGCTCGAGTCTTAGTTTTGGCTTTCGTTCGAGTCGGGGCTACAGTTGAAGTAACGATCGGAGTAGCAACAGCTTCTGGGATAGATTCGATTCGAGATATAGCAGGTTCTTGAAGAGCCTTGGCTCTAGTAATAGGAACAAGAGGAATCACTGGGGCGACAGCGAGTGATCGGGTGGGCTTTTGGGTCCCAGTGGGTTTCTTGCCCTCCTGCTTGTCGGTTCTATCATCCTTAATGGTATCGGCGCTGAATACTACCGGAGCGGTCGGGGCGCTAGAAGCCACAGTTGCATAGCTCACAACAACAGGCTGCTCGATACGGCCTACGGTATCGGTAGCAGGTTTTGCATCTTCACCTGCGGGAGTTGGGGCAGAGGCCAGCGGGGTCGCAATTTGCTTGCCTTTTGATTCATTGCTGGATGTTGTAGCATAAACATCGATATCATCAGGATCATCTGGAGTAAACGATATAGACAGATGCTTTACGCTGAGCGCAGAGATGTCTGACTTAGCAGCGCCCTGGGATTCATCGCTGTCCTCCCAAGCGGCATATACAGCATCTTTTGATGATGTAGGAGATGGATTTGAGAGAGAAGATGATGAGTTTTGTTGGTCCACCTCGGCGGACGCCATCCTATGTGTCATATTTGACCAGCGACGGGTTCCCTCGTCGGTTCCATGACCAGGCTCACTGCCTACAGAGTCTTGTTCCGGGACCGGTACAAGAGGGCGAACACATGACTGAGGTGTCAAGTTCAACGGGATCGCATGTTGATAGTTGAACGCGCTAGCTCGAGCCGTTTCGGATGAAGTAAGGATGAAAGAAGCTACCTTTTTTGGTGGTGAAAGGTTGCGTGCGAAGTGTTCTCTAGTAGAATTGCTATTTACTGCCGGATGACTGGCCTTGAAAGGGTAGATGATAGTTGGGCCATTAAATCCCATCAGCCAGTTGCTAAACACTGAAACGGTAACATCGTCTTGGTTCTGTGTCATCGCCACACGAAGCATGCCTTCTAGACTTGCGAGATTCTCGAGGTACTCTTTGGTCTTTGCCGGTAGAGGAGCACCGCCAGGACCTACGTTAGAGCAGAAGTAGCAGTAGCGCGCTACGATATGTCGCTCGTAACGAGTAGCATCCAGACAAGCTGGTGCTCCAGGAGCTACATCGTCACAGAAGACATTAAGGGCGACATAAGCGTCCTCGCATATGCAACAAAGCCAGTGCTCGAGTCGACACATCTTGGCTGTCGATTTCGCAGTCGAAAGAAGAAAGGTTTGTGTTGAATCACCTTGTTTAGAGGCTTTGATAGACAAACGGTTAAAAGACGATTTAAACGACCAAGGTTGTATATTGTTTGTCCTTTGAAGATGATGATGTTGAAAGGACAAGGCTGGGGGGAAGGAGGAACAGATAAAATTAAATAGAAGATCTGTTGGATGTATTTGTTAAAAAAACAACCACATCGTTTGGCAACAGCCTTTGTGTGAGGAAGGTTCTCTGATTCACGATCTTGCACTTTGTTGCACAACACTTGGATTGTCAACTAACTCATAAGCTGTTTTTTTTTGGTCTTGTGATGGGTGTTGTTCGAAGCAGGCTATTGGCCGAGTAACACCATATAGGACTAAGCACTTACTTGGGAAGTGACGAGAACTGACTCAATATGTGAGCCGGGATTCGGACGAAATAACCGGGGAGCGAAGATACAAGGCCGAGAGGTTCGCCGGTTGGCCGTTGTTTTCCGGACTCGGGATCTCCGGTATTAAGACCGAAAACCGGGCCGTATATGATAACTTCCGAGTTATAAGCTCCGGGCTCGATATGTTTATTTTATCTTAATTATTTCGGTTCTCATATGTAATAGACGCAAAATCAGTAGTTTGTAGATTTTCATTTTTATTTTTATTTTCATTTTAGTAACAATTTACTGCTAGTCTTGTCTACAGATATCACGACGGAAGCAATAAACCAACCCTCTTATATATTTCTAATATAATATGCCCCAAGATATGCTTTGGAGAAAAGCGTTTCTTTGACGTAGGTACTAGCTCGTATTTCTTATAAGGGATACAAATAACTGGCCGAAAAGCTCACCTACCGTCAGAAGTAGGCCATTAATATATGTGTAGTGGAAGCCAGCGGTACCCTCTCGCACCATCGAGGACTAGTAGAAGGGACAAGCGCTTTATTATAAATACGCGAATTGTTTCGGACTTGTCTAGGTCGGTTAACCATACGTCCTCGGGTAAACTCGACATGAAAAAGACTGCTACTGGTCTGCGTACAAATCGAACATGTTTAAACGTCGAGGCTTTATCATGCTTGTTGCGATTTTTATCGTAATAAAAAGAAAAATGAAGGACAAGGGTCGGAAATGTTCAACTGGAGATCGATAGAATAAGTCCTTTAGGCACTGATGCGCGATTGAGGGAATAGGTACCACTACCTGCCTGCCTAACCTATATGGCTGATGTTGTCATGAGCGATGTAAGCTCCCCTTATCAATGTACAATAGGCAAACTCAACATCATTAGGTACCTACTAGTATTTTCGAGTTGTCTAGGGCGATAGAGATATGTCATCTGCAAAGCATATTGTCTACCTAAGTACCCAAGGCTTTTCACTCAGAGTAAAAAGATGGAAGTAAGATTAGAACATAAAAAAATCTCCAAATTGTGAGGTAGATAAGATACCTCGGGTAGACGCCTTAGGATTTTCTGCTATCGAATTTCGGAATTTTAGGAGAAATAGTGCTGTTAATGTCTTTGGGGCTTGAAAGATCAAATGAACTCTTTAGTTATCCGATATTGATAAGCGGGATGGAATTTAAGTAAAGGGGATGTTTCAGCGTTTTTTTACATCTTTGTTTTCTTGGTGTTAAAGTGATAATAATACATATTCAGTTTCTGGAATTATAACATAAATCTCCCCCTTATTTAATTTGACCTTGTTTAGTTTGTTAGTAACTATCTAGATAGTATATGAAGTTTTATAACAACTGATAGTCATGGGTGACCCTAGATCTATCCAACGCGGTGAGAAAGATTTTCATAACACTAGGATTTTAACCGTAGTAGCATGGGATAGAACGTACTTAATCATTAACCTAATTAGGAATACGACCCTTTATGAAAAACTCGAGGAATAAAAATCAATTCTCGCCAGGGATCTTAAAGTTAATTATACACACTCCATAACTAGTTTAAAAGTTGGTTTATGTTCGTATAAGACAAATCATGCTATAGAGGTAACAACTAAAGAGGGACTTGTTGATGTAGTTAGTAATGATTATATATAGACGAGGGCATACTGAACGTGTTAAACGTAAAGAGATGATTGATGGATAAACGATATGATAGAATTTTCTTATAAGTGTCCCATTTAGGTAGGCGTATATCGTGGTTTGGTATGGTATTATTCGACCTAAGGATAAAGCTGTTTGTTCATAATATATAGGAAGAAAGAAGGTTCTCTACCTATGTCGAATTGGTCAGAGTATACCTGAGTTAATCAAGTGATCATATGCGTCTTACTTATTAAGTATAATTTCTAGGTTGAGTCAATTAATAAACACCTATGTACCTATGAGGTAGTCCCAGAGAGTTTTACTATGTTATCACTTACAATATGGCATAACTCAGCGATAATAGCAAAGACACTAATCTCATGCAAAACTACTCTAATTAACAAATCATATCTTACCACACAATAATCCTCTAGTAAAACGCAAGAAGTGGGGGAAAACGAATCAGTCGTAAAAGTAGCACACAATGCAACGAACTACATTTTCTCCCCCCCAAAAAAACCCTCATTTTTCGACACATACAAAATATGTGACTGAAATAAAATAAAATTTTAACTTAGACAATCCAAGAATTTTGCAAAAGAAATGATCGAACCCAGGCTCGAACTGGGGACCTTCAGTGTGTTAGACTGACGTGATAACCAACTACACCATCCGACCGACCATATGAAAGATGGAAGAAGAATCTTTCCATCACGTGATGGAATGCACAAGCATAAATGTGATATATGGCTGTAGCTTTGGGGAATGGCTGCAGAAATACTCATACCCAACCCAAGTGCTAGGCTAGTGAGGTATGTAGGGTGTCTAAGTGGAGATGGTGGTGGAGGCATAATATGGGGACATCAGCTATTTACTATGTACGCCGTAGCTTAATAGTGTCATAACTATGGGGTAGCTAATATATAAGTTAATCCAGGGGCGGTGTTTAATCTCGTTGTTTGACGTACTACGATGAGAGACTTGGTGTACATAATATAGGCTTTATAGAACTAGGGGACGTTTGGTGGATACACACCCATTCCAATGGCTACAGTTACTTAGGTAAGGAGGTAAAATAGAAATATTCTAGTTTCTTACTGAATTATAAGAACAAGTGATGGTAAAGAGCCGTTTAGTTTAGAAAAGCGTGAGGTGTCTTAGGGCAGGAAATTCGATGTCTTTCCAACAAGAAATTATTCATGATACGTAAGAAAGAAGATATATTTGATATTTGCATTGTGATTTACCAGTAAGGAGCAGCGCTAACCCCCCTCCCCCTACAAGAGTGGATGCCATGCTATAGCAATACCTTCCCCTATTTATCTACCCGTATACCATTTACAGTTTTGTTATGTATATAAGAGCGCGTGGACAGAGCGCGATATCTTGCGGTCTCGACAACCCGTAAGCTTCAGAATCAGCGTGAGATTTCCAGAGTATATCTTAGAAAGTCTCATGGACAATTCTTCGGCCTGGTACGCAGGGGTTGCTTCATAGTATCTAGCTAATTGTATACTGAATTTAATCTAAACCATGAAAGCCATGAATAGTAAGTCGGCGGTAGTCGATTCGGAATCCGTAGAGCTAAGAGTATCGCTTATGTCCATTTCTCCCTCTTCGAACGGGATGTCGGCGCCAGCCCTATATGATTCCTCGAAAGACCCCTCAGAGTCGGTTTGATGTACCTCGCATGGGGGAGCGGGGATACAATGTTCATGGATCTCCTTTGAATTGGAGATGATGCAATCAGGTCCGTGATCCGTGAATATACAGTGTTTTATGTGGCTTGATCCGAGCAAGCACTCGTCATCTATACGATGTCGGTGGATTGGCCGTGGGTTGAAACACGTAGGGAGAAGATCAGCGTATTTGCAATCGCAATCGTATGGGCGCTGTTAGATATGTCAATATTCTCGCACATGTTACTTGCGTCGTGGGATGACAACCAATGGCAGGGGGGACCTACAGTTTTCGCGTCTACTATTGAAACGTATCTAGGTGTGGAATAAAGAGAATCATCGTCATCTGAGCTATCCGATAGACCTTGAGAGCTGCAGTCGGAATTAGAGGATCGAGGAACCTCAAGATCCTCTTCTATGATTTCTCCTAGCGTAAGTCGACCATAGTCATGTCTATAGGGAGAAGCAAATACGCGGTAAGCGTCTAGAAGGGGTTCCGAAGGCCTAGAGTTTGTTCGGATAGCTGTATGTTGAATATCAAATATATTTCTTTTTTGGTCGTCACCAATCTTCTTGTAGCTATCGAGCTTACCCGGGTCGACAAGAACTAATCTAGCCTCTCTGGGTTTCCCTAATTGCTGGATGATAGCTAGAACCTGTGTCGTTCTGAAGGTTTTCCGTGGGGCTCCGATGGCTGTATATAAGCTGCCATCAGGAGCCTCCAAATGGGGAATCCAGCAAACCTCCGTTATGGAAACGCTGGAGGCTTCAAACGTTGTTAAGTTAACAACATGGACCTCGTTCTTCCCGCATTCGTGACCGTGTACAGTTACCCAAACGGGGAAGTGACCGGTCCTCTGCTGGTCCGTGGAGATGAATACCCCATGTGCCTCGGCCTGATACTCGTCTTCCAAGGTATCGTCATTCAGTTCAGAGATGTTATTTAGGATCCGAGGTTCATTTAAATTGACGCCCTCTAGAGCTCGAACGATTAGTGCTGGTGCGTAAGTATCGAGATTGAGAATAGGAGACTGGACGACGATATTATGATGGGCCCAATGATAGTTCCGGACACGTATGTTATAAATAGCCATGATAAATATAGTTCCTTATTGTGATAATTTTATGTAAATGAGTGGACTTCTCGGTCTTTATACCTAGGGCATATCTGAAATGTGGCCGGTACCATTATTCGAGCATATTCAGTATATATGCATCCTTGGTATAAGTGTGGCTACCACGCCCTAGAACGAGACATGGGGTTAAGGGTAAGACATATAATAAGCAACTACTTAGATCGGGTATCGTTAGGACGCATGATGAACACCTGTACAGCCTTGACAGGTAGACGGACTTGTGTTACGCCGTCTAAACCGATATTTTCCAACCGTTCCGCAGAACAGGTAGCCATGGAGGAAATAGTCATTGAAAGCCAGGTAGGAAATACTTCATAGACAGTATCTCCATAACGAAAATTGTCTAAAACGACCAGGCATATTCCTAGTCAAAGGTTGTCTAGGATGTTGTCTAGACATGAGAAGATACAATTAGAAGTCAAATATTAGGTAGAAAACAGATTGATCGGCTGATGTTTTTCATCGATATACACTGCGTAATACTAAGACTGTGAGCGCCACCCATAGCTGAATAACTACCCGACTCCAGGCACAGTGCGTTTCGCTGGGCGCAATTGTTGGTACCGAAGATAGGCTAACGTGTGTGGCTTGCTTGGAGTAGGATCCCGCTTCAGTACGTGAATATTTGATGCATATCACTAATCAGCAAGTTGCCAATGACATACTATCGAGACTCGACGTGCGGGAGGAGCGGAGATATATAAGATTAGTTCTCGGTGCTGAGCCCAAGTATGGGTTGAGTACCAAGACCTTTCCTCCACCGGCTTTCATTACTTAGCACGGTTAGTCGCCCTTCTCTAGCGGTTTTTTGGTATCTTCTTTTGATTCTTTCCTCCCCAGGACCTTCGCTACCCACTCTTCGATTTCTCGTTCAGCCTCTTCGTCAGTTCGGCCGCCAGAGGGTCCAACATGTCCCCTTGCCATGCTCCTTAAATCATCGACGCTCGAGATGTCAAAAGCCCACGATAGGCCACCTGTCATCATAATACCGAATCCTATGACATTGAGTGTGGCGAGATTTAGAGCCTCGAGAGCTATTAACGAGCCATCGGAATCTATCTTGTTAACTTGTTGATAACTCTGGTGATAAAATTTGGGGATCGTCGCTAATTGTTTTCTGACTACCGCTCGTCTTGTTATTATAGTCGAGAGCGTAAGAAAGCTCGCGCCGGCGAAATATAGGCCTAGTTGCTTGAGCGAGCGTTGCGATAGTATCGGCGGCCGAGGCCGGGGATATGGTATCGTATTCTGGGGGGGCTGGAGAGACTGTGAAGACTGAATAGATTCGGCAGGTTGTTGAGGTTGTGTAGTAGAAACCAGCGAAGGATCGCTATCTTTCGCCATTGTCATAGTAGTTCCGAATGACCACATTGGGGGGTTTTGCGGTCTATATCGAAGTTATGTATGCGGTAGAAAAGAATGAGAAACTGATCTAAACGCAAGAGAAAGATAAGTATCAAAATATCAAGACATCAAGACATCAACTTTTCTATATTAAAGAGTGACAGTCCTACGTTTCACAAGGGTACTGATGAGCCTTGTAAAACGGGCTCGGAAGAAGATGGAGGGATTTGATGTCGTGTGTGCAGGTAAAATGTGTAGGTGAAGAACCCAGAATTCGCAAAGAGAATTCCCCAACTCGAATCTGGGGTAAGTGGGGATTACATGCGATAGTAGCATAAGTCTTGTTAATTGGGTAACCTAGAGAATGACGCTATTTACAAACTCGGATAGATATACTTTTTACCTAAGTTACCGAAACATATGTAAAACTCCAGTCTCCAATTCAACTACGGATTCATAGAAGGTTAACTTAACCCTTATAGTTGCATACTAGTTTAAATTTATTAATAGCAACATTCTAAAATCTGAAATCTAACATCTAACATCTATTTGGATTTCTTTTCTTTCTACAATGCGTATTAGTACATGTACTAATCCCCATCTATTATCTTGCAGAGAACTAACCATATTTAGAAGTATTGGATTCTTGGATGTCTTACTAAAGCCGAGCCGCATAATTGTAATGCCATGCAAGCTAGGGTTAGCCTGCTAATATGACAGGTCAATTCCTGGACGACGTGTCGATGGTGATTCCTTCGGGGCTCTTGGTGAATCGAGAATGAACTGAACCATCCATTCTTTACTCGTCAGGCTCTCATAGCATTCACGCCACATATCTGAATACTCCGGAAGTACTAGCCCCAAGAGTCGCACCAGGAAGACGAGACAAGGCCGAATGCTCTCTAGCTTGAAGTGGAGCCAAAGCTCAGTTGGCGATAATTGACTCTTAGTATTCTCTATCGGGAACACTTCAGACCAATGAATTGGATCCTTGTTGTCGTATTCTATTAAATCCGCCATCCGATTTAGCGCTATATCTAAGTGAGCTAAGGGGTTTCGAAGCATCGAAACTGTCCCAAGCGGTGCTCCCACGTCTTCAACGGCGGCGTGGGCAGCGACAACCCTATTTACGAATCGCCGGTATAACTTCTTTCGCCCGTCTTTCAACCTGGATTGCTCGACTTCGGTGAGTAACTCTTCGTAAAACTGAGCGACTCGGTTAGAAGGTTCCACTCCGGCAAGAGGAAACTGAACAGATTCTTCCCGGACGTAGAATCTTGCTATATAGTGTGGAGGCTGTTCACCGTTCAAGCATTTTCGAGCAGTAGTGATCCAGTCATAGTATACTGCGAATCTACTCATCGTTTAGCTCGGACGATAACGGTATAACTTCAAGAATAATCCATATAAGATAGCCTCTTGAAGAACATGTTATGTCGCAGCAGGGGAAGTTATGATGCTCTTATGTACAAGGAAAGTGATAGAACCCGTGCTATAGGTAAGCTACCTTGTGTGTTTGTATGGGAGCACCACCGGTTATTCGACAAACCGAAGAATCGTCAGCGAACGAATGGATACGCCATTATAGTCTTGCGTTCAGCTCGTGGAGAGAAAGGAAAAAGCAAGACAGTCAACATAAAAATCAGGTGAGAATAACGTTGTGGCGTATTGATTAGCTCTCGACGCTGGGATCATCATCGTTTATGATTCTCGTGTAAGCAAGCCTCGGACTGGTATTATCATCACTAGTATCTGCAGCTCGACAGATCTGTACTTCTTTTACTACGCTTCCGGAGAAAGGTGTCCGGGAATAGGGCGGTGAGAGAATATCATATACTAATTATTGAACGATACCCTTCTTGATAGGCTGTTGCTTTTATGGCTGGGTGAAGCAAACTAGTTTAGGTACATCTAAATGAGTGTTATTGAAGGAAAGAATAGAAGAAACTAAACGCTGTGATATTGGAAGTATCCATCTAAGTGCTTATGGCAGTTCGGCTACCCGCATAGGGCCGAAAACACGTGAGCTCCTATATTGCACACGAGGTTATAAATTCAGCTAGTTACAAAGATGTAAAAGGTTCATCGAGTACATCTCTAAAGTGGATCCACTTAGGTTACAAGGTATATGTATAGTGTAACGTGCTGATTGGCTTAGATGAGATCGATCTACATAAAACACGGGAGGTTCCGACCCGTTGGATTTGGCCTCCACTTATACAATATTTTGATTTACATACTTTCACTTCCACTTTCACTAGTTACATACATTTATCTTATAATACTAACATTTAGAAAGCCCCATTACCGACCAATCTCCGGACATTATAAGGCTAAAATACTAGGTAACTACCTAGTATCATGGGGAAGGATAAATCAGCCAAGAAGAACCAATCTTCAATTCCTCCCACGACAGTTGCGGCCCGATCACCGGGTTGGCCACCGTTTAAGCCGCCTCTACCTGTTGTGCAACTTTACCCGGAAGCCCCTGTTGAGGGATTGGAGGACAAGATAATACTACTGCGAAACTTCTGGCCAAAGAGCCTTTGTCGAGACTATGTCAATTTTCTCAGGACGCTGCCCTTGACGACTACCCCTGGCCGCCCAAAACGTGGCGAGGCACTAAGGGTGAACGATAGGTTCCAGGTTGATGACAACCGCTTCGCAGAGAAACTATGGCTTGAAACAGGATTGAAGGATATCTTGCTAGATGAGTCTTATAAACATCTATGGTTAGTAAGGGTTTCATCTCACTTACAACAATGACACTTCAATAGCTCAAAGTGCCTTGCTCAACTCCCAACTAACGAATACTACTAATGAATACTCATAGGGACGGTGATGTGGTAGGGTTGAATCCCAACATTCGAGTATATCGATACTCTAAAGGGCAATATTTTGATTGTCACTGTACGTACATTTTACATTTTCTGTCTCAGATTTTTCTATACAGCCACGTTCGTCAAGTGACTGCAGACTTATGCAAAGAAAGGTTATTTAGTCCAAGAAGCGGTGTCCATTCTGCAGCAAACTCCCTGCATTCCTCCCCCAAATAGCAAGGATTATATCCGATACTCGACATCTTATTTGCCCCTTCTCGCCACCTTGATGCATCTTCTAGCGCCAGCATGAGTTGACGGTAGTACCAAGATCACAGCCAAAAGAAGTCTCTTGCATTATCTTCAAGATGGTCTAAATCTTGTAATTGGAGCGAATTTTTGCTTCTCGCGGACCAAACTAGAACTGTTTTCTCCTTTCACGTAGGAATTATGTTTACTAATCTGTATTTACAGACGATGACTCAAATTTAGTGACTCTACAGCGCCCTGACGAGTCATCTAGCACCATCAACACCAAAACAACTTGGACGCTATTGCTATATCTGACTTCGGCGGCTGAAGGCTGTACTGGTGGAGAAACTGTTTTCTATCCTCGAGATCGCAAATCGCCCAAAGAAGAAATTGCTATTGCCCCTGAAACGGGGTTGCTTCTACTTCACAAGCATGGTGATGACTGTCTACTGGTATGCTAAATGGTATCTTTCTGGTTCTGAAAAGGCTGACCCCTTTTAAAGCACGAAGGTCGAGAAGTAACAGCAGGAGAAAAGTGGATAATTCGCACTGATCTTTGCGTAAAGAAGTGATTCGTGGGGACTTGCGCACTTGGAGGTCTGTCTCACTCATGGCGTTGACAAGTCCTAAATTAGGTAAGAAAATATCTCTGAATGTACACAAGCATTACCACCTAACAGTATCGCCTCTAAGTAGACTAATTCGGATATAAGCCAAGCGAGAAATTAGCTGGTGATTTGAAGCTGTCCCAAGAGAGCTAAAAATAACGAACTTCATCCTAAAGCCAGATCCGAACATTCCTAAGCAGATACAATCCAGTTTAGCGAGTACGCATCTCTACCGTCTAATACTGTCCAGGCCTCAGCGAAAGTCTATAGTTGTCAATTGAAGACTAGGGCAGCCCCTATAGCTATGATATTGTACTAGGTACTACATAGGGAACATCTCTACCATATTGTATCACAACATAATAAAGCCACCTATATACGCCACTTAACCAGCCGTGTCTAAGGTATATAGCAAGGCTCGTCCAATAAACCGGATAGCCACAGCTCAATGTACCATCGTCACTTACCATTCCACGTTAGAACACTTCCACTCTAGTATCGGAGTTTACATGTTTCAGCGATGGCTTCGGAAAAGGGGGGGTGGTTCCCGATACCTACGCGACGACCGACCGGCCCTTATTATATCCTACTTCGGAACGCCATAATCGTTCACCGTACAATGTTGTACAGTACCGGCTATCCGTATTACAACGGCTTGCAGAAATATGAAACAAGATCCCACCAAATCCCAGGTGACGCGGACCTTTATACGTTGCTTCAGGCTCGAATTTCATTACCCGAAACACTCTCGCGCTTACGTACTAGTCAAGCCTTCAAGCAAACACCTAGTCCCTCTCGACCTATTCCTTCTGGGTTTTTCACTAGAAAATAACTACAGAAACATGTTTTTGACCCCAGTTTACCATGTAGGCGGATTTGATGAGGTATATCAAAAGTCAATTAATATGCTCAACCTACCGTATCTCAGCTGTTGCTGTGCTGGCTTCATTCGTGACCAACTACACACACCACTAACCATACATCGCATCTGCCAGTTAAATATTATATTTCAAAATGCTCCGCTTTCTCTCCTGAATTCAAAGGACATTTTACATGGAGGGGCATATCTAACAAGTCAACCCTCCTTAGAATTGATTTTGGACTCATCTTCTCAGCATTCAGACGCCTACCTTCGAGACACGTTCACAGACAACCCTTTAGAATCCCCCCTCTCCCTCTCCACCCTTCTACAGAGAAAGCAAAATTAAATATCGAACTGAGAGAACTTTAGCCCCTTTCTAAGAAGCCTAAATATTGTATCCCCCATTAAGTTCAGGTATCAATATCCATATATCCTACAAAACCAACAATCCCCTCAGCCCAACGTTAGGTAGCCTAGCCCACCACAGATAACTTCCACCTCTTCACACCACACACAATCCACAACCCCGTTCCCTAACCAAGCCGTCGACGCCAATAAACAAGAATTATGTAATTACCTACCTAACATAACCATCAACCCACACAAAGTACCTACCTACCTACCTACCTACCCACCTTCCCTATACTCTCTCCAACAAAGTCCTACAGTCCAAAACACCCCATCACCAAACCCTGCCCCAGCATTTATCTTCTTCAATAGCCTAGACATCACACTCTTACCCCTCTGACCTAGGTAGATACCGAAGTAGGTATGAATACCTACATATAAGCCCCCTTAAACACTACGAAGCACAAAGTACATGCATAATAGCACTGTAGTCTACAGAAGGGAAATTTTTTATAGAATAAAATAAGCGGTGAATTAGAATAAATATGGTGGCTTTGGGAAAGGTGGAATAGATAGGGCTGATAGGTGCAAGATCCTGTTTACATTGCCATGCGTTAAGCACGATCATGCAGAGGATTGCACTATCTGCAAGTTAATGCTAAACTGACCTGTTCTACTATCACTGGCTGGCGTAGTAAGAGAGAAGAATCTTCGAATGCGGCAAATTACGCAACCCTACTAGTCCTTACTCGTTGGAGTTGGTGCGATAGGGACGATACTAGGGGTTATGGAGGAGAGACTACGATTAGAGTCAAGGCATATAGCAAAACATACCAACAAGAGACACAAAAATACTAGCATGCACAATCCAAAAGATCAGATACATAACTGCCCAACGTAGAGGCGGGATCAGGGGTCAATTAATTCTCATTATCATTGACCTAGGTAAATCACGAATCTTACTCGTTTGGTAAGATCGAATCGGATATGCCACAGACTCCAGTTCCCATGCGTTGTGAAAAAAAGTCAACCCTCTGCCAGATCCCGTTTTGTTGTTTTACCGAAAGAAGACCGTTTAGTGGCCGGCCAGAGTGTGGGCTCGGCGGCGGTCACGCTCCTCTGCAATAGTGAGCTTGACACCCTTACCCTTGGGTAGAGAGATCCAGGGCTTCTCAGAGCCGATAACGAAGACGTTGTTCTCACGGGTGGCGAAGGTGTTGTCAATGGCGTCCTTGATGTGGACGATGTTGAAACCTCCATCGTGGCGCTCACGGTGGGTGATGACACCGACACGACCCATGTTGCGACCACCAGTGGCCATGGCAATGGCGCCGGTGTCGAACTTGATGAAGTCCTCAATCTTGCCAGTGGCGAGGTTGATCTTGACTGTGTCGTTGACCTTGATGGAAGGGTCAGGGTAGCGGATGCTGTAGAAAAGACATGTTAGCATGCGCGGAGGAAAGGGGGACATACCAGCCATTAGTTCGAAGCTCGATCTTATCACAAGATGGGAAAAGGTGGTTCAACCAAAGCTTGATCCAACGGCTGAATGATGTCTGACAGAACTCACGTTCTCGCATCGTGCGTGACCAAGAATGGGATTCCGCCCTTGCCAAGTTGCACTCGCTTGACCTTGCCGAGCTTATACTCGGCCTCCTCGGTCTGGATTCGGTGGATGGTGTATCGGCCCTTAGTGTCGTAGATGAGTCGGAAGTTCTCGCCAGTCTTCTCGAGGGTGATGACGTCCATGAAGCCGGCAGGGTAGGTGGTATCGGTGCGGACCTTGCCGTCAACCTTGACCAAACGCTGCATGAGGATGGCCTTGGTCTCGCGGTAGTTCAAGGCATACTTCAAACGGTTACGGATGAAGATGATGAGGGGCATGCAGTCGCGCTGCTTGTGAGGACCGGCCGACGGCTTAGGGGCGTAGACACCCGAAAGCTTGTCGAGAAGCCAGTGGGAGGGGGCGCTCAGGCGCTTCTGGTGCTTCTTACTGTAGGTTGAAGTATAATTAGTATATGTCGTGTAAAATTTCAGCGATGGGAAATTCGACGTGGAGATATGCGCGTTTCGAGAGTTGCGAGAACTTCTTGAGCAGACACATCGTTCCTCCCAAATAGAATTGAAGCAAGTACAGGATCTAGAGATAATATACTTACGGTCCACGGGCCATTTTGACTGTTCAACGATGGGTATTGGAGTTATCGTGAAGTGGCAGATTCGTGTGGAGGATTGACAATTGCGACTTGAGAAAAGTTGAATTGGATGTGCCTAATTCCAAATTTTTGCAGGAAGCGAGAAAAGGCAGGTTTGTGCCCTAGTGTGATGTGGGGCCAATTCCAAAGGTGTCATGTGGTCCGTGCATGGAAAATGCAGAAATCTCTTGGCACTAGTTCCACAAGATCTAGTCGGAGGTACGTACCTCCATAGCCGATTCTAGACCATTTCGCCATTTGAGCGCATTTTCAACATACCTACTGCTAACACTCTGATATAACATCTCAAGGGGATTGGCCAAGCACACATGAACGAGAATTAGGAACGAGATAACACCTATCCACCAAGTTACTCGGTATTGGAGGGCTCTCACAGAATGCATATTGATCACCATAAATTAATCCTTACATATCAGAACGTACATACATCTGAGCCCAGGTAAACGACTCGAAAGCCCTTAAAACTCTCCCTTCGTCTTATTGCGAATATAGGATCTGTCAATACAAATTCGTTAATAAATTTAGAGTTATTTTGCTGTGACTATAAAGTCATCAGTCATCGTCATAAACCCACTTCCTTACATCCTTCATCCTACAACATGTATTGTATTCGTCCCATTCGCACCTTAGCCAGTAATACACCCGTATTGTATGTTCTGTAACGACAGGACCTTTATGCTCAATGAAGCATAAAATCAGGTACATCTCCCTGCGTAATTTCGACACCGTTCCGGGCCGAGTTTTGGCGACATCGACTTAAAACCTATCCTTCATACCTCGGGCTACCTTGTAGTTTATCCCCCTGTCTCTAGGTATAGTGCTAGTATTAGCCATATGTGCCAATCGTCACAATTTTTTAGTTCCTTGTCAAAAGGAATTCACTATTTTGTGTTCTGATATCTCCTTCGAAATAACTGGGTGACTTCATCCTGGACCACGTCTCTCCGAAGGCGGCTCACTTGCAACCTGCGTGTCATCTAGGAGGAGGCGTGATATGTCCATTTCTCCCATACTACTGGACCCAAATCCGGGTCCTGAGCCTTCATTCCAGTAAAGGTTGGAGTGAGGTTGTTGAGATGAATCTCCTGTTTCAATGAGACTAGAAGGCAACGGCCACTTTGGCATATCTTCCTTCGAATTGGTTCGATTAAGTTGGGGTTCGAGCAAAGCCGACTTAGAGACATGTAGTGAATTATCGATTGCCATATTGACAGAAGGCTCCAATAGGTTATTGCCTCGTCCTGGCTGCCCAAGCTCTCTAACTTGCATGGCCGTCTTTTCTGTACCTGCGAACTTCTCGGGGTACTTATTTCGTAACCGATCTCGCAGATCGGTCGGCTGCCTACTCGACAGGTTAAATCTTGGATCCCTCTGGATCTTGGTCCACTGCGGCCCGTATAGCTCGAACCCTTCTAATATCTCTCTATCATCCTGCTCAGAAAATGGACGCCGCTCTCTCCGATGTGACTTTTTGAATGGCCCTTTGATGCCTAACTCCACCAAATCTTCCATTTTCTTACGATGGGCCCTACTCTTCCGTTGTCGCTGGGGCGTAGGATCAGAATCATTCTGGACCGATTGCGTCTGCTCGACTTCAATCTCTTCTTCTGTCTCGTTCAGAATATTTTCGGACATGAGACCCTTCGTCGGTTTCCCCTTGGCCTTTACACTAGGCTGCTTCTCTCGGGATATATCGCCTCTAGCTGACGGGCTTGCTCGGAGCTCTTCGGGGCAACAAGTCCGAAATCTGTCTTTTAGATCACCCGCAGTCCGGTCGTTGAATCTGTAATCAGGATCTTCCAAGATATCTGTCCATCTTCCAACACCGTGCTTGCTCACACCAAGCAATAAATGATTGGTCTCTTCTTCCGACCATTTTCGTCGCGGCTTAGCAGCCCGTCGCTTAACTTTTCCCGTTGGCGTTCGTTCGGGTTCGGGTGGAGGGCTAGGATTCGTTTTCTCTTCAACCGGTTCTGACGTTTCGGGCGGCTTTGTAATACTAAGAGCTTGCGGAGGCTCGGAATGCGGACGATTATCGAACGATCCGGAAGAAATTGGCGGGAAAAGAGAAGCATCGGATGGTGGCTCGAGCAATCCCACTATGATTGGTGGAAACATATGTTGTTGAGTAGCCGCCTTCTGTTTCTTGAGCGGTTGCGGTAACTGCACGAAGTCTTCCTTTACTGGCCGTCTCTTCTTCCCAAGGTCTTCGGTATTATCTGGCGTGTCATCTAGTATCATGCGCAAATCCTGGGACGATATATGACTTAGTAATGCTCGATCCGATGGTTGACTAATGTCGGTCCTTAAGGAGACATTCGCAATGGAAGCCTCGTCTACGACAGAATGCAGCGAGGGCATAGACTGCGAAGCTAATTGACCTAAATTTGTGTCCGGCACCTCGGATCTCTGACCAACATCGGGCCCGATAGGATGGATACGGCCGGACGCCTTGGGTAGAGGAAGGACTTTGATGGGCGGGAGCTCAGCATGGTGAGGCCGTGGTGTAGCAGTTGATTCGTTCAGCAGATGAATGAGTCGCGGCTCGATAGTAGCCATCGTGGGTCGATGGGAGTTGGCAAGAGAAGGGCATTGGGAGAGAGAAAAAAAGGGTCTCGGACGGACTCTTTGTTTGCACTGAGGGGGGGAGGAGGCGGAAGGCGAGCGAAGGCGAGAAGTGAAAGTGGAAGTAGAAGTAGAAGTAGAAGTGGGATAGGCGATAAGGGGAATGAAGAACAGTCGAGACTCGTAAGAGACCAGGGAAAATAGTGAGGACACTACTGTTTTATCTGTCTGAGTGAGAAATGCCACGAGAATTCAACACAGTATTTATGATACTGTCTGTCTGTCTCTGTCTATCTTTGGTAAAAAGATGCGAAAAGGGTAAGAAGGCTTTAGGTTATGGTACGAGAAAAAGAAATAGAGAGAAGGGGGAAAATATTGAAAAAAGGTTGTAGGTAAGACTATCAATCACCGATAAAGCATCAAAATAGATCCTAGGATCTTCATATCCTCGTTGGCCCCTTTTTCTCTTTAACTTTGAGGGGAGGGAATAATAATAATAATAATAATAGTAATAATAAAATAAGTAAGAGAGAGAAAAAGGAAAACTTCTTCCTATCATTGATAGGACCAAAAGTATGGCTGCATGTACTAGGAAAATGGAAGAGAAAAAAAAAGGTATTAGTGCGGATTGGCCGCGTTTGCGTTTTCTTTTCAGTCTTCTTCTCACTGCTGCTGCTTCACGTGAAGAAACACCATTGGAACCATTGATCCCTCCTTAATGTAGAGTGACCAGTGACCAGTGACCTACCTACCTTTATGTACTAAAACCAATGCAGCAATTTATTGAACCGATTAGGTTATGGATGATGATAACTGCCTTCGGGGTGCCGGAACCTTTTGGGGGGTCAATGGCCTGCAAAAGAAAAAAAAAAAAAACTCTCTCAAAAAAGTTATTTATGAAAAGAGTGGAAGGGAAAAAAAAGAGAGAAATGAGGAGGGATGTTTTAGTTACACTAGAGATAACCAAAGCAGTGAATTTCAAATTAATCATCCTCCTTTCTCGGCTGGGTAAAATGCCAAGCATTTCTTAAATCTGCAATTGCCAACTACGAATGGAATTATCTGATGCACTGATGCACTGATGTACTGATGCATTTCTCTTTCCTTTGCGGTCCGCGGATGGACCTTGCCTCTTGTTACCGTCCATTTGATCCTTTAAAGTTTCCGTACCTGTATCATGACCCAATCGGGACAATCCCGCCTCTATCCTGCCGTTATATCCTAGCAGCTCCTTCCCCTATTCTGACACCGCGCTCCACGCCGGTTCGGTTCGGTACTTTTACGTACCCGTGGACCTTAACACCATAATCGTTCGACTTACTCATCATACCTGACCCGCATCCTTATTGTTTCAACTTCATCTTATTTTTTTTTTCCTTCTAGAAGGAAGCGTTCCTACTAGATCAATATTTGTTTACTAAATCTTACGTGGGTCTAATATCACAAGTCTAATATATATCCATCAAGTCTAATAGCTGAACGCTTATCACATGGTTTACGGCTCGATCCGCTACCTCTATTCCGTACATACACGTGGACTCTCTTATACACAAGCAGACATATCACTTACACCTAATACTCTATCCGTTACCCGCCACAATATATCTAGTTGGAGGTTAGGTAGATATCAATATCAACTATTTACTGCAAGTTTATAATATAAAGGGTACCTGGAATTATGGCCTCGCAACTACCGGCGTTCCCCCGCACTGTCTTCACTATCGTAGAGCCTATCTCTCTGTAAGCCATAATATCTTGGTTAAAACGTATATCTTTACTGGTAACTAACGTCACCCGTTAGTATTGGTGGCTTTCTCGGGCCCTTCTTAGACCCCGAATGGTTTATAGCCTCACAAATTGACGCTCCGGATGGCAGTAATCTCGCTCCGCGAGATGATAATGCGCGTCTAATCGCCCTCCAGTTAGGAAACACATATGGGCTCCTATTCCTTCTTGGAGTAGCTGTGCTATATACTACTACCGAACTCAAGGTTGTCCGTAACTATCTAATCGCTCTATGGTTTGTTTCCCCGGTTCTTTTCATGTTTCATATTGTGGGAGATAGTAAATATAGTTTTATGTTAAGTACCTAATGAGTGGTATCCTTGTCCCTGGTAGCCTTATGCCCACCATGCGGCAGGGTAGCAAGCACTCAATAGCCTTCATATATACTCTGGTACTAACGTTTCTCACGTCATAGGATCGCGGATATAAGTCACGTCGGCGTTACGTGCTGGCTACTTGGGTACGATAGGACGTTGGACGTGGGTTCGTGGAACGCTGTGACCTGGGGTAATGTTGGGTTTACTGTAAGTTATACTCCCATCCCTCTACCTCCCAAAACAATCCCAATAAATCTACGGAGAAATATTCGAGCTACCACTGACACCGATTTAATAAGACTTTCCTATGTTTAACTCGTACAGCTTACCTTCTTGGGCTCTTCGGCCCAAACCGCAAAGCCGTCGCGACATCAAAAAAGGTTACTTGAGTTAGTTCCTTAGGTACCTAGGTAGCTACCATTCTCAAAAATAAGCAATACTATAAGGCTACCTTTGCTCGATTCATACCTATGAAAGACGAAGAGCCCCTAGTAACTAGAAATTTTCAATTGACCGGAGAATTTGACCGTAATCCCCTGAAAACCGAGACGGCCCTTCTGCCTACCAGCCTGCCTGCAACTTAGTTGCTGATCTGTCCATATTTCCTCCCTGTCTACAATACCTGAAAACTGGTTCCGTAACTGCAAAAGCCATAATACTATCCCGCGCCGAAATGTTCGACTTAAATAGGTAGTAGTCACCTTAACTCTTGTGTGAAGAGTTATTTAGTGTTAGACAGTTATACTGTCTTTAGTTTTCGCGCGGCCGCTTCGCTCCGTGGGGGTTCTGCCAGTCGGATTGTTGCTGATTGCCGCTGAAGAAGGCCGGGTTAAAGTGTGCCGGCTGTTGGAAGCCCATCAAAGGCATACCCATTCCACCCATTCCGCCCATCATACCGTTGTTCATGCCGGCGTTCATACCAGGGTTCATTCCACCTCCTCCTCGTCCACCGCGCATACCAGCCCCACGCATTCCTCCGCCCATACCTCCTCCGGGCATCATTCCACCACGGAAGCCAAAGTTTCCACCTCCGCCGCCGCCACCGCCACCCATGTTGTTAAAACCGAAGTTTCCTCCTCCCATGTTGTTATTGAATCCGCTAGGGACATTGTTATGGAAACCGCCTCCCATATTGCTTGAGAAATTGCGGTTGAATCCTCCACGGGGGCCAGCAAAGTTACCGCGTCCTCTAAAATTGCCACGGTCGTTGTATCCTCCCGCATTAGAACCTCCTCGGGTTTGCCCATCCTTATTGGCTCGGGCAGGCGCATCCTTTGGTAAAGTCTTGAATGGGTTGTTTGTATGCGACGTGTATATGACTGTAACTTTCTTACCACCTGGCTGAGTGGACGTGGCCGCAGCGTGCTCTACTTGGTGCTTAGCGGCGGTTGCGGCTTCTTTCGAGCCGAACTCGATATAGGCTTGACTATAACGAGGATATTAGTAAAGGAACGCTAGCTCTACCGAATAAATAAACATTACATACCCTTTACTTTTGCCATTAACTTTGTGTTCGCTAAACGTAATATCCTTCAGTTCATCCTCGCAGGAGGCTTGTCGAATCCAACCGCGGATTTCGTCATCTGTAGTCCACCATTGCAGTTCCGAGAGCAATAAGGCGCTGGTAGCACCCGGGTCGATGGGTCTGCTGCCGGGTACCTCCTTACGCTTGACGCCTTGTGGATATGACGTGGTGGGCGTTGCGCTACTACTTTGTGCATCCATGTTTTGTTGATCGTTGTCGTAATCGTCGTTGTGTGCGTGTGTGGTAGATTCGGAATTAGAGCCGTTGGCAATAGTTATAGAAGAGTTGTTTTCATAAGCATGATTATTCGAATCATCGAGTCTAGAGTCATCGACATCCACATTGGTGTTGGTGTCATTCGCGTCGTTCGCGTCACCATAGACGTCAATCTCGAAGTCCTCGTCCGCCATATCGGAAAAGGGTTGTTGAAAAGGACGTTGCAATATCAATGAGACTAAGAAGAAAGGTAGTTCTGAAGCTCTGATGTCTGTCAAGTGAGGATGTATTCAGAGTAGATACAAGTGCCTGTCGTCTTCCACTCCATATCATCAGTCAACAAGAAATACATGTTTGAATCCTCGACCGGATAAGAGAAGAAATAGTTAAGAGGAAAAGAGATTTCTCACGGTATTAAATACGTACACTTATCAGCCTTTGTGATAGATATTTCCTATGAGCTGAGCTCCTTAAAGCAGGTTATCCTCCTTGCAAGACGATAAGGCCCTGGATAAATGGAAATATCAAAGACGAAGCTCTGTGCTTGCAGTCTTTAAGGCAGCCTTCCTCGAAATAAGCGCGTGCGCAAGGTCCCTTATTCCCAAATGTCTGAAACTGTTGTGTGACTGCAGAAATGATGGTTGTGTAGGGTAGAATAGAGTACAAGCAGCGCGATATCTGAAGTCTGAAGTAGAAAAAAGATGTAGAACGGTTCCCCAAGTTTTCCTAAGAATTGCTCGATATTATGGAAGTATTAGTAGAAAACGTATCCCCCAGTAAAGTGTCCTGTGACCTGATAATTGAACGGTCCGGGAATAATTAATGCCTTTTTCGATCTTATGGAATAGTCAAATGCGGGTTAAAAAAAAGAAAATAAATAAATAAATAAAATGACCTAAAGAGTTAAGAGTCAAAAGTTAAGAGGGAGGAGGAAATGAGTTGCAACGCGTCGTAAGCGGCTTGGGTAAGGTGTTACTTAGAGATACACATAGTCGGGTAATAGAGGAATGAGTCAGTCGGTACACTACACCTGGCAATGTTGACAGTTACGTGGTTGATGGGATGAAGCAGGATTGATTTGTGCTTGCCGTTGTTGAACTTTGGAAGTTTCGCTGTTTCTGACAGGAAACGGTTTTAGATGGACTCGACAACTAAAAACCGCCGACTGGAAGCGACAAGGGGAGTTCAAGCCCGAAGGTCTAGCGCTAAATCGCTAAATCGGTAGAACGGGCTGAGCTTTTGGGGGGTAGGTGACCCACTATTTTAGATGTTTAAATGAGGCTGCGGGTAGGTTGTGAACAAGCAACCGGTATTGGCCCGCTTAGCGTTCAACGTCCTTTGATTGTGCTTACCTAAACTTGAGGTAGCATTGCCTAAAAAGGTTATCCGTTAGGTACATGTACAGGAGGGATACCCTTAACTCACGTGCACATGCAGCTGTAGCTTTTTAATGTTTTGCTGGCCAGGCCAGATTGCAAACTACCTAAGGTACATTCGGCAAGGTTCCACGCTAGCGCATTTGGAGATAATGTACCTGAACATTTACTAGGAAATCTGGCCGAATCCATCACCACTTTATTACTTTACTTGCACCTTCAATTCTTTCTCGCTCCTTTCCTTAGCAAGCCAACAATTCGATTTCCTCCTTCCGACAAAACACTTCTTCTTTATCATTCCACGAAGTTGTCCAACTCAATCACAACTTTACGATCATCTCCACCACTTATCCACAATGTCGGACGTTCAAGATCTCCTCGAAATCCCCAGGGACTTCGTCAAGGACGGCACGCAATTCATGACGCGATGCACTAAGCGTACGTATATCCCTCGCTCCATACCCCCATATACCCCGTGTTATGTCTGTGGAGCTTGATTACCGCGAGTCGAGTAGACGGATACAAGGAACAAGCAAAGCAAAGTAAAGCAAGACAGAGGCCGAACAGCGAAGACATAAAATAAGAACGAATATGCTAACAATTTTATCTCACAGCCGACAAGCGCGAGTTCATCCAGATCAGCAAGGCCGTTGGTGTTGGTTTCCTAGTCATGGGCGCAATTGGCTACTTGATAAAACTAAGTATGGCTTCACTCCCATCTACGAAGGAGAGGAGTCCCTTACTAATATTCTACTCATAGTTCACATCCCCGTCAACAACATCCTAGTCGGAGCTGCATAAAAGATTCAAGAAATAGATTTCGAGGCGCGGAGTTGGGTTGGCTGGGATGTACGACACAGGGAGCGGTGTATAGTGAAGGCTAGGATGAAGAAAGACATTCATAATACCACACATGCTACAAAATGTCGGTACTAGTGCCGCATTATACGATATATGATTGATCATCACGGTTGGGGTCGAGAAAAAGCTATAGGTTTTACTCGATTATTTAATCACAAAGGGGAACGCAAGCTCGAGGTCATAAAAAAACGCTCCTGTATTTGCTGTACCTGCGTTGGCATCTCTCTAGCCATTGTATAAAATTGATTTTCAGTGCTTCATCAAAATGAGCGAACTTGAAGATAATTAGCCAGTGCGCCTTGATATTTATCATGCCCCCTAAATCCCCATATGTCCTTTAAAAACACAAACGCCTCGTCTAAGGTGTCCATAAGTTAGTGTCGGATAAAATATAAAAAGGAGACAGCCAAATTAGAGGCATAACGGCCGTAAAAGTAGAGAGGATATGTCGCTCCGAAAAAAACCCGTTCCCAGTCCATACTATTCGTCTCAAATTCGTTAACTAGGTGAAAATATCATCTTCTTCATTATCGTCCTCTTCCTCAGAATATCCTCCGGGGCGACGACCCGAGCCTACTGGTCTCAGTTTCTCGTCATAACGTACGCCCATACGTGGTTCAGCCTCATCAGTCGAGGACTCGTTAAATGAGTGCAACGTGACCGTACCCAGGGCGTTATCCCAGCCGTTCAATGACGATGCTGTTTCTCAAAATTAGCCTCCCACTTTACTACCAACCTAGTAGTCCCTCGAATAGGGGACGGAAATATATATAAACTTGAACTTACCAGCAATAAAAGGGGCGGTGGGATGCCAGCTTGCATCCCTAACCACTGTCGACCAACCTTGAGATCTATACCCGCCGTAGGACCTGCGTTCGGCGCCGGTCTGAGGTAATGCCTGTGTAGACTTCTGAACGTCGATGATACCGGCAATGGTAGCATCCATATTGTATATGTAGACCTTACCGTCATGGCTACCTGTGTACACATAGCGAGAATCGGTGCTACCGGGTGGCGAGAAGTGGCAGCGGATTAGGGTACGCAGTACCTCATGGCCGCGGAAGGTTACCAACGAGTTGTCATTTGGATGTGGGAACCAGTCGGCATCGTCAAACCGGCCCCAGCGGTAGTCGAATTCGGTGTATCGTGTGTGTTGCCGCGGGTTGAGCTCCTGGAATCGCGCTGTCGTGTACATCATCTTCAGATCCCAAAGCTTCATGCTCTGGTCCTTGCCGTTACTTAGTAGGTATCGGCCATCGTTTTTACTATCCAGATATGTTAGACCCTGAATATGGCCCACAAATGCTCCAGCCTCTCGTCCGTCTCCCATACTCCGTCGGTCCCAGACTTTAATCGTCGCATCGTCACTACCTGAGTATAAGATGTGAGGTGATGACTTATCCGCAAAACACACCGCGTTAACATCATCATCGTGGCCCTCTATCGTATGCAACACCTGACGCGATTCGATATCGTATACGACGATAGAACTTGCGTTCGTTCCAGCTACTAGCTCCCGTCCGTCGCCTGAGAATCGGATCGAAAAGATACCAAATCCGCCACGCCAACCCACCCTCCCATTTTCTGATAAATTTAACATGTATGGATCACCCGTGTCGTTCGGATCGGTCGGTGCTAAGCATACATTGCTCTGGATAGATGTGTACGCTAGCCACTTGTTGTCTGGACTTAGAGATGCATCTGTCAAGGTCCAAGAACCGAACGTAAATGGGACTGTCTTATAATGCCGCCAGCTATACGGGTTAGAAGTGTCATACATGCGAACCTTCATATCTTTAACGCAAGCGAAGTAGAAGTTGCCATCATCTGAGAATTGACCCGAGTAGACATTATCGTCGTAATTAATAATCATTTCGGCATCCGAGCTAGGAATCATAGACTGCGCCATCATACTTTGGTTGATCTGGCGAGATCTCCTACTCCCAATTCCTAGCTCACGATCTAGTATCCGGCGAGCTATTTGCTTCTTGGAGCTAATAGAAGATGGAGTCTCATTCGCGCCGAACGTACCGGAGTTCATGAGACTTCTCCCCTCGTCGCTTGGGACTTTAGGAAATCTATCCGGGTCTAGTTCGCGCCTCCGTCTCCGGAACCCGAAGCCAATCTCTTCATCGTCGTCATCTTCGCCCTCGCCAAATACCAAGTGACCGAGGTTTGATCTTCGGAGGAAATCTAGGACTTGTCGTTGCGATAGTAAGCCAGTACGACGGCCTATTTATTTATCAGCTGTCAGTTCACAATGGATCGATTTCTAATAGCTTGGGACGCACTACTTATTAAGTTGATTAGACGCTGTTGTACAGCAACCCTTTCAGCATCGGATAATTGAGAACCTTCTCCATTACCGCCTTCTTCATCGTCGCCTTCTACCACGAACTGGATACTCCCCTCTTCGGCATCTGGATATGTATTTGTTAGCTAGCTGTAGAATTTTTAACACGTTCGGGAGTCTCGCATACCATGAAACTCATCTTCATCCTCAAATAAGTCGTGTTCCATATCATCTTCATCTACATCCTCCTCCTCTTCGTCTTCTTCATATTCGGGATCACGTTCGTCGTCATCATTTTCGGCGTCGACGAAATACTCTGGGAAGTGCGCCTCCAGATCTTCCGATGTTGATGACCTTGAGCTACTCATCGTGTCTAAACTAGAAGTGTTATAGATACGTCGGGTAGATTGTGTTAGTGTAATTGTCCTTCCGATATCTCTCCGGTATCCCTCCGATTGCTTGGCTGTTGGTGGGATGCTGAATGGAGGGATTTGAAAGAAGGAAGCTCTAAACCAGCAGAAAACTACCTGATGTACCTAAATTAAGAAATTGATAGGTTGGTATTGCTAGAATAAGGTCTAAAGGTAAGGTCCCTGAAACTTATATGACGACACCGAAGTTCCGTAAGCTACACTTATGGCGGGGTGTTCCTTATTATTGACTTATTAGTGCATGGTAACACCCGAGATGTCATCGGCTTTTACCCCGGACTTAAGAAGAATTGTAGCCGGCTACATCTCCGGCACACCATATTATTTTCTACATGACAAACTCGGAATATTATGATTGATGTAACGAATTCGATGAGATAATACACATATTAAATAAGGCGGATAGAAGTAATAATAATAAATATATATCTTGCCCGAAATACTGACTTAAATATATGCTTAAGAACATTTGAGAGAATTATACTTAAAAGAGCTGGATGATGAAAAGAACCTAATAAACCAGTTATAGAAGATAGAAATAGAAAAATAACATAGTCATCGGTAACAATTTAAAATGCATGTCATTCGTTATATATCGTTGATTTTATACTGTGGCTATATCATGTTACCTCTTATTTATTAATCTATTGGTTTCGCAAATTTCTGTATAAGTACCGGAGTTGGGGAGCACAAAATTCTTCCATCTTTTTCTGCTGTCAGTTACGCCTGCACCATCGCCAACTCAATGTTTGCTAAAGCTATTATGACAAATATGCGTTCAATATATAGTCATGGCAGGCAGGGCCGGTTATAGTCTCCTTCATAATCACGTTCTTGTTATCTACCTTCTTTACGAAATCATCTGTTTAAATTCTTTTTCGTAACCTACCCAGATACCTATATAACCATGGAAGCACACGAAGAGCTCCTCGCTTGGGCTATAGAGAAAGGCGTTAAGATTAACGCTATCGAGCCTAAACGTATCCCTGGTAGGGGTATTGGTATAGTTGCAACTCGGGCGATTAAGGTCTATTCCACTGTGCTGAGAGTTGTTCTTAAGGCTGTAAACTAACATAGCCCATAGCCCGAAGAGATCATCCTTGATATTCCTACATCTTGCATTCGTAGCATAGACACGGTTCACAAGCCCATCATTCGCCATCTCCCGAAGGCCATTTCTATCCATGGCCTTCTAGCTGCCGATCTAGCTCTGGATGCATCTTCCAAGTACGCGATCTGGAACGCAGTATGTCCAACTCCCGAAGACTTCGCTGGTATGCCACTGGTATGGCCACAGGGACTACGTGCTCTATTGCCCCCATCGGCACGAGACCTGCTGTTGAAGCAAGAAGCTAAACTCAAGCTTGACTGGGCAGCCGTTTCGGCAGCATTCCCCGAGCAGCTAGACGAAGCGCGGTACAGGTATGCGTGGATGCTGGTTAACACACGAACCTTTTACTACGTCAATAACAAGTTGAAAAAGAGATCCAAAGATGATCACATGTGCCTGCAGCCCGTTGCAGACCTATTCAACCACACCGATATCGGGGGTTGCAACGTAGCGTTTGATGACGAGGGGTTCTCTATCAAGGCCACATGCGCATATGCACAGGGAGATGAGGTTAAGATTTGTTATGGTAGACATAGTGGGGATTTCCTACTTGTCGAATACGGATTCGCCATGGACGAGAATCGATGGGACGAGATTTTACTTGACGAAGTGCTGCTCTCGAGATTGAGCGAACGACAGAAGGAGAGGTTGGAGGAAGTCGGATTTCTAGGAAAGTACATCTTAGACCGGGAGATGGTATGCCATAGGACACAGGTTGCGGCAAGATTGCTATGCTGTGGAGTTAGGGAGTGGAAGAGGTTCGTGGATGGGATCGACGATGGGGAGCGCAGTCAGCATAACGTAGATCGTTTAGTCTTGGAGCTGCTGAAAGAACAGAGGAATATTGCCGAAAAGAGGATATCCGAGGCGCAGTCACTAGATGTTGGTGAGCCGCAGCAAAAGGAGACCCTAATTAAGAGGTGGAAACAGATTCAAGACCTGGTCGACATGAATATTGTACGTCTTATGGTATGTCTTGAAGAATAGAAGTTTACTTAGATAGGCAAATCCGCAAATACTCGGCGTGGTCAAGTTTAGACATTAGCATTTATATTTAAACGAATAAAACATTGATGGGCGTTCATGATCGTATATACAGGTAGAAATACATTGCAAACCGCAAATGACTTGCGCCCGATTTTCGTCCAAACGCCTTGTTATAATGCCTTTTGACCCCCAGCTTTTCCTTTTCAAGATCCTGCCCCAGTATCTTATAATACAACTGTGCTTCGTAAAACATACAGGCGGTATCATTCAACTACTAGAACTAGACGATAGTCCGGACTCCTTCCTCAAGGCCTCTTTTCTCGCCTTTGCTTCTTCGGCTCCTAAGAAGTCTTGTCGCAACATTTCTTCCTTCCGCTTTCGTGCGGCTTCTTCTTGTACCATCCATACTGTCAATATATTAGTACGCGCATGTATAAACCCCGTCTCCCCTCGCAATATCATCTAGACAGCTACGTTGCGCGGGGAAGATTCGACATCGAATCGGGACTGAAAGGATATCGCACGTACTCGGCTTATCTGATTTCGAATATTCCTTGAGCTGGGTCACGAAGTCGTCGAAATCCTTCTGCTTTTCGTACCGCCGCTCTAAGCTCTTCTTCTGCAGCTCCGGGTTATACTTCTTGAAGAGTTCCTCGTCGGTCGGCTGCACCCATATGACGAACGCGGGACCTCCTACGCAAACTGCGCCGCCGCTGTGGATTCGTATAGGTTAGCCATGCGGCGCTTACTTTTGAGATTGGTGGCTGTATAGTTGCTTGAGGTAGATCATGTGGGTAGATGCATTAGAGCGCGCTTACTTACACAGCAAGCATCTTGAGCCATGTCCCGAGCCTTCCTGACCTAACTGCCATCTTGTGAGTTTCGTTGTTGTTTTGTTAGGCTCGTGGCATATAGTTGACGCGGGTAAAGTCTTGGAAAAAGCCCGCGCAAGTTAAAAGTGCTCTTTGCTTGGGTACGGTTTAATAGTTTAATGGTCAATGACGAAAGTTCATTGTTCAGGGTCCTCTCTTACATAATTTGATATGGCTGGTGGGGCATTGTTATCACAAATCCTCTCCCTCCCATTGGATCGCAACCTTTCAAATACATATCTTTAACTTTACATTAAGAATCTTAAGCGCACTTTAGGATATAATTGATATCGTCTAATGAATGGTAACCAGCGCGTATTTGCTATATTATTTTTAACCGCGGCTAAAACATATCGCCTTTCCATTCCAAAGCGCTCACCGGGTCGGATCCTCCCGGCGGCTCGATATGACATACATATAGCATATTATAAGCTGAAGTATTCCATACATAGAAAGCAAACATGAAACAAACATAATCTATGAAAGTAGCATGAGCATTAGGTATGGGTATAAGGTATATTAGGTATACCTATGTAGGTAATGGGCTATTATGGAAGTTAAATCCATTTCTGAAGTATTAGCTATGTTTCAATTTTCGCATTTTAAAATCTGTGGCATTTGAGGGACTTCACCCGGTTCCCGGCATTGCAAGTGGCCAAGTCGGTTCATGCTAACAGGGGGCGGATGAGGCTGGCTTTACTTCTGTAAGGTATCCGATGGGATCAGCAAGCCAATCAAGTGTTGTTATGAATTCAGCCCTAGTTGATTTTGATACTGTAACTTTGCTTGGCATATGACGAAGATATGTGCGTATGTGTACTATACACTATGTAGTAAAGTTATAATGCTGGATTTATTTATCTTTCATGCAGATGAGGTTGAGTTTGATAAATGTCTCTTAGAGTTTTAATCAACACTTTTACGTTGCGGTCGATGAATGTTTGTTACTAGTGCAAGCGCCGTGTGCAGCCTGTGCTGTTGTGTACCCATCCTTGTTTTAACTATAGACAAACCATAAGAAGAGAAGAGCAAAATGGCTGACATTCTTGAAGCCGGCCAAAGTTAAAACACTTGAAGGAGTACATACATAGGTACCTAGGTACATACACCTACTAAAGGTATTCCTTCGATCGGGTACACATACAGGTGGATTAAAAAATAGAGGGATAGAAAGATCGGATAAGATGTGAAGAGGTACGAGGTGGAATTTATTCTCAGGCCTCCAAATCCTATATGTTGTAACTGTAAAGGAAAATAGCTTCAAATACATCTATGCAATCATTCAATATTATGGCTGTGCAAATACAACCTAAAGACAAGTAACTTTACCCAACAAAAACACTACGTTAGGTACATGATCCCATACCTATTAAATAGATGTACCTTTTTAGCGCGAGAACATCCCACTTGGACACGGATATGTTAACCATGCACCTGCCATTCGGCGTAGAGGGGCAGTTGCGACGCTAAAGTTACCAGTGGTTGCAGTGTTACTTTCATAATATTATTAGGATCCTCAAAGTCTCCTTGTACTCCCGATTTGCCGAATCGTCTCGACTTTGAATTTCCGCATTTCTTTAAGGTACCAATCCCCCCAAAAAGGATCGTCCTTATTTTATTCATACATAATTCTTCTTCCACCCTCTGCAGAGCAGAAATAATTAATATTAGGGAACTGGTCTCTCTTGACTCCGTTGGAAAGGGTAATGCTTGTTGTTCTGCGACTTTTTTCGCTGACTCTAAATACATTCCTTTCATCACGACTTATTTTTACCTATTCCTTATTCACATCATCATTAACTTATTAGCGAAAGTTTCGCTGTTCGGATCCCTTTTCTCTGAACCTCTAGACAAAAACTTTATTGACAAGCTACTGACGCCTTATTACCGAGTTGAGATGTGAAGGATATAAGGTTTTGTCGCTCACATTTAAATACATAAACAGTCCCTCAATTCAGACATCGCATTCACTTTATATAATGCGCTAGCTTGTCACCTTTCTTTACCAAATCACGACTTCTCCGAAACGGACCATCCCTTCATTCGAGAGCAGTACTAGAGCAGTACTGGGTATATTAGAGCTTGAGTAATTCACTATTCAATCTTGTATGAGGTGTAAAGACCGTGCCATAGCATCAAAGTTCGAGCTTACAGCGCGTCTCGGACAAAGTTTGCCAACCAATCCCAAGCCAAGACTCGCCGCGTTTTTGCATACGCTGGCCTGCCGAAACCGACGATCATTACTGAGCCGAAACACAACATTCAGGTACCAAATAGACCCACGGCTTAACAACCCCAGCACTTGCGACGGCCCAGAGCCTTGACTTATACTCGATTTTTACGCTGCCGAATACAGCTTCTTACTACATACCAACCTTTTTCGACCATCGCACTCTGTTGCCCCATTGCTATATAGGAAAGGGACAAGGCTGTGCTGAGGAGACGGCTTAGTAGTATATCAAGCGCTAGCTTCTGGAGAATTTGTGGCATCCTACGTTGGCAAGCAGGAAAACGTTGAGCATCGAGTCGCAAATATGGCATACAATGGCGGATATCAAGATCAGCAGCGCCCTTACGCAGGACCGGCAGCACGAGTACCTCGAGGCCCCCCAAGGGATGGATATCCACCGCAACAGCAACAATACAACCAATACCAAGATGACTATGATTACGGATACGATGGATATGACAACGGCTATCAGCAGGACTATGGTCCGCCGCCTCAAGATATGAATTATGGTAGACGGCCACCGCCCAATCAAGGTTACCCTCCGCAAGATATGTACGGTCCTCCCGGTAGAGGCGGTCGTCCTCCCCCACCCGGTGCTGGTGGAAGAGGAGGTCCGATGCGTGGGCCTCCATTTCCGCGTGGCGGTGGCCCTGGAGGTCCCGGAGGTCCCGGCGGCAGAGGTTACCCGCCTCCTAGTCGAGGTGGCCGACCAGGGCCTCCGGGCCGCACTGGTTCTTTGGATCAGAACGGTGAGAAGATGAAATATTATAGGTTTAGATATTATTACTAATTTTTACCGTAGACCGTTACGGCCCGAACGTTGCAAGCCCGAACGAGCAAGATTTCGGTAGTCCATTCCCAGTATTCCCAGGACATAACAGAAGAACGGATCTTGACGAAGAGAATGATGTCCTAAACCGAATGGGTGGAATGGACTTGAACGATGGGAGGCCGGGCATGCCTCCTAAAAGTACTTCAGTGCCAGCCAGAGGACCTGGACCTATGCCGGGACCTAGGCGAGCGCCAACAATGGATGATTATGGACGTCCATCTATGGATAGTCAAAGAGGAGGGAGAGGGCCGCCTCCACAAGGATATCCGGATCCAAGACGAGGCCCACCAGGCGATCAAGGTTATGGCTATCCAGATGATGGCTATGCTCCCCCGATGTCTCCTACTAGGGATGGAGGATTTGGACCGCCTGGAAGGAGTATGACGATGCCCGCAAATAATGATTATATGAGAAACGCCATGCCGCCACCGCCGCCACGTATGGATAGCGCACCTTATAACGGTCCTCCTGGGCGCAACTATCCCCCTCCTCGACCTTCGACCGCTTCGGGAAACAGACCGCCACCCCAGAGGATGTATCCCGACCAAGGCCCCCCAGTGCCTGCCGGGCCTCCAGGACCTTCAGGACCTCCGGGGCCGTACGATAATGGGTCACTACAGCCTCCAGGATGGAACGACCAACCAGATCGAGGTTCCTTTGGTGAATTTTACGACTCATACTACGACCAGAGGGTAAGCGGAGAACAGTATCCTCCCGGCCCTCCTGGCCCACCTGGTCTGCATGGTCCTCATGGTCCTCATGGTCCGCATGGAAATCAATACCACGAAGAAATCCCAGATTTCGATGCGGTTCCTTCCCAGAATCCGCGAGAATCGCTCGATCAGCATATACGTCCTGCCCAACCGGGGATGCACCAGCCTGGACCAGCGCGCCAGCCCGAAGTGTCTAGGGCCAAGTCGCAACCAAACTTACGTGAACCTCAAGCAGCTGTCTTCGAAATGGTTGGTGATATGCCACCGGTACCACCAGGTGGATTTCAAGCATATAAGCCCCCGGGTGCCGGCCCAGGTCTCCCCAGCACCCCAAGCGCTCCGAGACGTAGTTCTCAAGGAACCCCCCAAGGCGGGCCAGGCTCTGGACATCCAGCACCCATTAGGCCTGGGTTGATGCCAAATTCCATGGTGAACCTAAATGACAAGCCTGCCCCAGTTCGTAACTACAGTGCCGATACGCCACCCGCTGCTGCCGGACCGCAAGGCAGGCTCCCCCCACCCCCACAGAATGGGCGGCCAGCCTCCGTTACCGAAAAGACTCCCGTCACACCTGAGGAGCTAGAACGCCTACGGACTATCATCAAGAGTGATCCGAACGATCAACAATCCGCTCTCACACTAGCGAAGAAACTTGTAGAAGCGGCGGATGTCTTAGTACCTAGACTTCCTGACCAGAAAGCAAGGGCTAGATCTCGTGAACGTTACGTGATGGATGCGCATAAAATATTAAAGAAACTTGCCAGTGCTCAAAATCCGGATGCTATGTTCTTTTTTGCGGATTGCATAGGCCGTGGCATGTTTGGCGATTCGGATCATAAGGAAGCATTCACGCTATACCAATCTGCGGCGAAATTGGGAAATGCCGCGGCAGCTTATCGGACAGCCGTCTGCTGCGAGCTCGGCAATGATGAAGGAGGTGGCACACGGAAAGACCCGCTGAAAGCGATCCAGTGGTATAAGCGCGCTGCGACGCTCGGGGATACTCCCGCGATGTATAAGGTTGGAATGATCATGCTAAAGGGACTGCTTGGTCAGCCTAAGAACCCGAGGGAGGCCGTTGGATGGCTGAAGCGAGCAGCAGAGCGCGCAGATCCCGAGAATCCTCATGCACTACACGAATTAGGGTTGCTATATGAGTCGGCGCAACCGAATGATGCAATCGTACGCGATGAAGCATATGCCCTACAACTGTTCGAACAGGCTGCTCAGCTCGGGTATAAGTTCAGCCAGTTTAGGATGGGATGTGCCTATGAATATGGCCTAATGGGATGTCCTGTCGATCCACGATTGTCTATCATGTGGTACAGCCGAGCTGCCACGCAAGAGGAACACCAATCCGAACTGGCTCTTAGCGGATGGTATCTAACAGGGAGCGAGGGTGTCTTGCAGCAAAGTGATACCGAAGCGTACTTATGGGCTAGAAAAGCAGCCCAGGCTGGATTAGCAAAGGCGGAGTACGCAATGGGCTATTTCACCGAGGTTGGCATCGGTGTACCTGCAAATCTTGAGGATGCCAAGCGATGGTACTGGAGAGCAGCAAGTGAGTTTTCTCTCAACTAATTTATTTTATGTCTATACCTGGGGTAAACTAGTGCTAACGATGATATAGGCCAGGATTTTCCCAAGGCTCGTGAGCGCTTAGAAGATCTAAAACGATCTGGCAGGAGCGGACCTCGTCAACGTGAACGCATCTCCCGAAGCAAAATCGGCAAACAGCAAGAGGGCGAGTGTTCCGTGATGTAGAACACTCGGATCACCACTACACCGCCCGAAATTGACGAAAGCGGTGACGAGCAACAGTTCTCGTCCAGAACCTCATCCCTTACCAGCTTAAGGCGACCTCAACGGACCTTGAGAGTGATCAATAGGTCATCTCTTGAAGACCCATTCATTGACGAAGTGGATAAGCCTGCGGAGGCTAGTAATCAGCAATGTGCTAAAGAATAAATCACATTTTGTATCCAGAAACCGGTATATAGAGTAACCTCCCGCAGGCTGGCGTCTCGGTATTATATGGGTTTCTATCGACTAGGCCGTAATATTTAGACGGACAGTCATATTTTCCTCTTTGAAAAAAAAAACTTGCAGAGTAGAAGACAGTGGGCTCGGCATGATTCGATATACCTTGTATTATACCATTAACGCGTGCATTTGCAGCATTTGGCTATTTGATTAGTTGCCATGCGGAGGGCATTTTGTTTTTCTCAAGATACTCAAGATACCTAATTCTACTCGATTGTTATTGTTGATTCATACATTGATTAAACCTCGGTGGTTAGCTGGTCGTAGGTTCGTTTGTAAGCTTTGTGGCGTAGAAGGGGTATGTTATTTTAAATAGTTAGGTGAATACTGGATGTTGTAATTAGGTAAATTGCACTTGTGGCTTTTGTTGTTGTTAAGAGTGCCTACGTCACTAAGATGATTGAGCATCTTTGATAGAAACTCTAGCTCACAGTGTTAACTACCATACATTACTTTCATTTCATACTATACCACCACTAATAGTTTCAAATTATTGTTAATTATTAGCAAGTTTAACATGTTAGTTCATAGCTTAGTTAACTTGACTTAGAACTAACCTGATCTGCTAAAAACCTGCTTTGTTATTGACTTATCATAATATTGTATTCTATTGATGTTGTTATAATGTTTAAGTTACTAACCTGGGAGGAGGATCTAGGTAGTAATGTGCATCTAGGGTACACATGTGGCACAGCCGTTTTTGATTTGAAGCCTCAAATGTACTTCGTACCTAGGTGCGTACCACACTTGGCATGGCAGATTCTTCTTACCATGGATAAGGTAGGTATTACCTGTGTGGGAAACAATTGTAGGATGATTGGGTATCCTGGTCCGTCTCTGGTAGCTAACCCTTAAATCAATTGTTTCTCCACCGACTTCTGCCACTTTTTGATATGTGATGGCCAATCAGGGCAAACGCAAATGAGCTAGCAAATATGTAGGTCAGACGGAGTAAGATCACTATGTATCGTTTTTGCCGACTTACCTATGAATGGACAAAGGTATTTCGGATCTGGGAAGTGATGCAAGTATCATTACATAGCCAGCCATTGCATGTACAATTGGAGTTTGTCTGTAGACTTTATATAAATTCCTCATTTCTTTCGCTGGTAATGATCTAGTTCTTCGTCTCTCCATGTGAGAAAATGCTAGCTTAATATCAATTTGCTATCAGAATACATCAGATACATAATATGGCTTCCAGTAAGTAGTGCCCTCTCGGTTTCTGCATATTACTTGTTATTATCATAATTTGCGGGGTTCAAAATCTATACTCTCCTCCCCCAACCCAACGCCCCTTTCCCCTTTCCCTCCACCCCCCATAAACCTTTTTAATTCTTTTTTATATACTTACCTAATATAATTTAAACCTCACCTTATTTTAAGGTAATGGAACTAATCATTAGGCATTAATTAGTGGCTAGGAATAATACATGCGTTCCTTTACACAATTTCACGAACTGGGCTAATCATCTAATATTAGTAACTAAGGATAAGATTTGCTCTCTTGCTCATGATGCCAAATGCGGCAAGCCTTCGATAGCTGTATGGAGACATGGGGGACCCAGCAGTGACATATACGCGAATCTTTCTCAAAGCCCTCTTGAAGCTGATGAGTTAAACTTAATCACTTCCAGGAACTACAGTCATGGGCCATACCTTTACTTCAACACCATTCATAAGAGTGATGATGGGCAATCAACTCAGCACAGTACGGATATCAAGGTCAAGAACAATGCAATTGATCTCAACGAGGCCTACTTGCAACCTAAATTGAGCGCTTCCAAGGCCTTGGGACATGTTGAACCCTCTTTCAGAAATTCTCTCGGTCTTGCAAAGTGGTCAAATGGCTGTCGATACCGCTGCGAAACAGAGCCAGACCTGATCACAAGCATCTTTGCGCATATCGAACATGGCATGTACATATGTCGATGGAAACCGGAGTCCACGATTACATTCAATGTTAATCGGAGCAGCTTTCTCAACAATTGCGATGCTGAGCATGCGGTTAAGAGTCTCGAAAAGGCAGCTAGTGAGTGGAACAAAGGCAAGATCAGTATACGGTTCGAGAAAGTCACAGACGATAAACCAGCCGTATTCCAACTTGTGTACTCAAGCAAGTACGATCCTGGTCTGCAGGCATATTCTTTCCTCCCAGGCTATCCCCCAGAAAAGCAGCGACTATATGTGTGTGCGCCGTGTTTCAACAAAGAAGAACCATACTATGAGTATCTGGCCAATATCTTCTGCCATGAACTCGGCCACATACTTGGTTTACGACACGAGTTTGCAGACATAAACCGGCATGAGCGGCGTTGTCCGTCATTATTAATTGGCAGACGTAATAGCTCGTCAGTTATGAACTATTTTGAGCACCCAAGCCTGATGTGTATTCAGGAGGATGACTACAGAGGTGTGAGGCAACTTTACAACCCTCAAAACCATGTGTTTGACAAGTATATCATTATCGACAAAGACCCAAGGGAGTTTGAGCATGCTTGTTAGATTTTTTTCGATAAAAGAGGAGGTAAAGTTGAAGAAAATATACAACTTAGGATAAACTTCTGTTAAGGTCCTATGGCCTTATACCTTATTATATCATATCTCTTTGCAAGTCATCCGCTTCTAAAATGCAGTATTTAAACAATTCTCCTGTTGTCTAAAAGAACTGTGCTATTCATATGAAAATTGTTTACGTTGTATTAGTTATACTAGTGTTATAAGTCAGAACAATTCTTCCTTAGTTGAAGAAAAAATTAAAAGTAGTGTGGCATTGTTATTTAACCATCACTAAATACCTTACGGAATTCTATAAGTTTAATTTTAAAATATATTTAATCAAAGTATAGCTAGGAACAAGCGCATTGTCCAAGGTCATAAAGATGGTGTCTCATTGAAAAGGTTTTTATTACATGTGTTTTAAAATAAAATAAGAACACCCAAAAAAAAGAATTATTCGCCGGAACCGGAATATCCACCTTCCGGTCACGCAAGCCACAGTTTGGCCACTTTTCAGCCATTTTACCACTTAAATAGGTGTACGTATAGGTTATATTGTTTGTATGAGATTACGTCAATGTATAAGTACCCAAAAGGTATCTCCGGTTCCGAGCGTACGTGTTTACAGTATTATATATTTAAGAATAATTGAGGTCATCCCGCAAGAACAGGGGTACCTAGCCCTTTAGCATCCTAGTATTTCATCCCGCAAGAACAGGGGTACCTAGCCCTTTAGCATCCTAGTATTTCAGCCCTCAAGAACAGGGGTACTCTAGCGCCTTACAGGGTAGTTCATTAAGGTGGGTCATCCCACCCTGTCATTTACGTGCTGATTCTCGAAGTTGAAGTTACGAATACACTAATAAATACAATTGTTTAACCCGCCATCACACGCATACCCTGCATTGCATCTCTGCCAAATGGCATTGGTTTCTAAGAAAATTGGAACAAAAGGTGCGGGTATATAGATCTATAAATTTCGAAGGTAAACTTCTATATGAATTACGCAGTTCTTTCCTCTTAATATCTTATCTTGCCAGAATTAATATACCACCTACCAATATAGTCGCTTATAGAAGAGATTCCTCGACAAAGGTAGTTATTCGTAAATATTAAACGTCATGACTGGTGAGTAGTCCCTACCTTGCCTCTCAGTTCCTTTATACAGCTTTCCATTTTGAGCCATATCCTTCCATTCGAACAATTGCACTACACTTTTAGTCATGCGAAGGAACTAATCAAGTATTCATAAAGATGAAATTTGCTGTTCTTCATACAATACCATCGAGGCCTCTGGTGAGATTCAAGGAGACGGAAATGCTGCAACTGGCAAGAGTAAATTTTCCGGCCAAATAGAGGCCAGCAGCGAAGATACGAATAAAGGGCAAATAAATGAGAGGGATTTGAGCCCAGTAAGATAATTAAAATCCTCAAACCTGTCTACCTAGGTATATAATTGACCATTGCTTTCGGCCGGCAGCTCATGTTAACCTCTGAGCCTATCATACACGCAAGCCTTCCTACGGAATCTACTGAAGCTGATGGGTCATTCACCCTTAGCTTTAGCTGCAAATCTTCTTCTAGTCTCGACAGGAATGACTGCCAGTCGACACCGAGGACCCCAATCAGTGAAATCCTCATCTATCCTAACAGCGAGGATGTTAGCCCAGAGAAGCATGCCACAAAGAGCAAGCAAACCCAGGACAGTTTTTTACTTGATCTCAGTATATGCAACGATGTTTTATTTGAGCAGGATGTTCCTGCTCAAAATAGCACTGATGTAGGGATTGAAAGCAATGCGATCAACCTTGACAAGGTTGACGCCGAGCCTAGCCCCCAGATCAATCACTCTTTGAAGCAAGTTGATGCCATTTTTGAGAACGTCCTGAGCCCAACTAAAAAGGCAGATTCATCTTCGTATCTTTGCATGACTGAGGCAACGCCCATCAGCAGTATCCGTCTCCATCAAGTATGCGGTAAGAGATGTCACAACACCATTTACCGATGGAAGCGAGGATCCGAAATCACATTCAACGTGGATCGTCACAGTTTTAGATCCAACACCGAGTACGCAAGAATTGCCAACGAAACCCTGGATGCTGCGGTCGAACAATGGAATAAGGGACGGTTCGGTGTACGATTCAAGAGAGTTGAGGACCACAAAGAAGCCGTTTTCCAGCTCATCTACTCAGCGGGCGGTGGAGATGTCCTAGCAACTGCTTTTTTCCCTAACACGACGCCGATTGGGCGACGATTAGTGGTATATGAACAGGCTTTCATAGAGGTCAATGGCCGGTATGATCTGATGACTAACATCTTCTGCCACGAACTGGGACACATCTTAGGATTGCGACATGAGCGCGCTCATGAAAAGGAGGCCGGCTATCCGTCCGTACAATGGGGTGGCTCTAACCCCCTTTCCATCATGAACGACGACTTGACGCCAGACGAGTTTAGTATTCATGAAGACGACTATGTCCAGGTGAAGGATTTTTACGAATCCTGCGCCACTTACAACAAATATACTATCGTAGATGTGGATGCGAAGCCCTGCGCCATTTACTTTTGTCGCTGCCCTCATTGCCGCAATGCTTAATCAGCTTCTTATAGTAAGTCTATATCGCATCTTACCCTAGCTTGGAACGCTCGACTTAATGATCTGCAGGTAGCTTCTGGGCAAACCTGTAATGAAAGTTACATGCGAGCATCGCTGTGGCTTCAAGCGGGGTTATGGGCTGAAATTTGAGCTCTTCTGGTTATTAGAGACAATCTTTGGGATCATTTTATACTAGAAATGATCAACTGATCGTACCTATGGGCTATCAGACGGAGCAATGTTGATATTTTCGGCTTTATGAGTAGATTCTGGGTATATAGAGTCATGATGATGCATGTATAAGCTCTTAAAAATAAAATATTTTGCAAATTTTTTATGACATAGCATAACATATGGTGATACTTTAAGGATTATATCAATATGAGCTAGTGTGTGGTGAAGCAACTGAGACAGACAATGGGTATATTGCGATGATATACGATAGAGAAGTTTATTGCTATCGTTCTGAATAGCCGTAGTTAATCCAATTTGACTTAGGAGAAACTGGCTAAAAAATGCTCTCTATTATATAGGATCTTGCTAGTCCCACTAATAGATCAACCATATCCAGAGTAACTACTATTGGAATAGGCCCACTATTAACTACAGTACGCCCCTTGTAATAATGTTATTCAGCGGACCCCTAGAGCTACTTCGCTGAGATCCTGAAGCGTATATCTACTGCTGCCCTATAAAATGGTTATACATAGCTTTTCGAAAACGTCGTTTCAAGGTATTTAATGCTATAAAACCCTGGTATAATAGTTGAGATGTTTTAAGAGGCGTTGTTCTATTCAGAATTAGAAGCTCTGTTCTATATCGTGCACGTCCGAAAAACTAACATTATTACAAGGGGTGTATTGTAGAGACGTAGTTCTTAGATATTTTTATAGACTGGAATGAAATAGACTGAGGACGATGTGTTATGTTTTTAACGCTCGATCCTAAGCCAATCCCAAGCTTCAGGGGTTCTTCACACGTTGTTGATTTCAAGCAAATACCTAACAAGACGGCACACACTACGACCATGAAACAAAATAAAATAGAAAACTTCCATATTTAACTGATTCTGATGCACCGGGTAGTAAAAGTGGTGGTACAAGCAAGCCCCCCCTTTTCCGACTTTACCATGCTACCTAGGAGAATCAACGAGAGAATACCCTATGTACCTAACCCATCATCTAACCGCCTCTGTTTTCGAGGCAAGATAATCCACAAAGTATCGATAACCCGTAGTCTATAAGTTTTGCGAAACACTTTAAGTCCGGACTCGTCCGAGTCTGCCGGCCAGCATTCCGTCATGCAACCGTCCGCCCTCCCCGATGCATAATGCCCCCCCGTACTTCGGTATCAAAAATACACCACTCCGTAGCCCATGCGCCTGCCGCCGCTCTATCTCCTTAGGCCTTGACAGCCTCCTTGGCTTGGGCGACGCCGTCTTCGGCGGCGGCGGGTAGGTTCTTTTGCGAGCTGCGGTACATGATGATACGGCCGACCTGAATGATGCCGACGCAGCCGAGGAAGAAGTTGACGGTGGCGAGGAGGACGTTCCGGGGCTTGATGACGAAACACCAGCGCGTCCAGATGAGACCGGTAGCCGTTAGGGCGCCGTTCTGTGTTAACGACAGCTTCTCGGCGGGTCGCGCGAAGTCGGAGACACCTGCGATGACAATCGCCCACTTCATCACCGGCGCCCTGCGTCATGCGAACAATCTCGCCGTTAATATATATAGATGCGCTATAGCAGATGGATGGACGAGCGTAGGCGATCCGGAAGGGGGTATTCTTACCAGAAATGCACCGTCTTCAAGCCAATAGGGCTGTTCCACATGCGCTGGAACCAGCTCTGTGCAGCAGCCGCCTCTCCGGTAGTCGCAGTACTGGCAAAGCGGCGGCTGGTCTGGGGCGCAAAGTTACCGCGGAAGGCCGAGCGCAGCGCAGACTGCTGGAACACGGGCCGGGTGGCGCGGAAAAGAGTGGTGGTGGCTGGCATTGTTTTCCTTGGGGATTGGTCGGTTTGAAGGGTTTTAATGTGAGGGAGGGATGGATGATGGATGAATGGGCAGGTTTCTTAGGAATATGCAAATGCGTGTGGTACTAGCGAGAAGGGGGAGGGCAAAAATAAAATAAACAAATATAATACCGTGAGCCTGCTCGCCTTTTTTTTTTCCGCTTTGTCCTCGGGACCTTCGAAGTTGATGAGTTGTTGTCAGAATTAAGAATTTGGAAAGGGTTCTAATTCCTAGGTCCGATATTAGGATAATTTTAGTTGGGGTTCCGAAGATAAGAGATACGTATCTAAACTTAGACCCGTTGTTGGACAGGAATTGATTGAATTGTTACATAGATCCGGCAACCGTTGGGGCATTGGAAGTACCCCTTGCATTTGCATAAAATCTTGCATAAGTGGCGTGTCAGCGTGTGTAGCATCGGAGGTAAATTTTATGCATTTGCCGACGTCAATCGTTAATTCATCGGTTTCTGACTAAAGCTTCGAACTACAGCCCATTTTAAACATTCTACCAACTGAAGCGAACCTCAACCTCCACCATCCCGACCCGACCTGCCATCTTTGATCGCTGAGCGCCAATCGCAAAGATGTCGGGCAAGTATGCTTTTACGAAGGCCCTGAAGGAGGTTCGCTTCTTGTTCTGCCATACTGGAGAGGGTAGTGCTGCGACGAGGTGAGCGCGAATTGAAGTAATCTCCCGATGCTAAGGTGGCTGACAATGTTGTGTTGTAACATATAGGACATTCTTGAACCGAGCATACCCCACGATGAAGAAGAACAATCCATTCACACCTATCCTCATACGAGAAGCTTCCGGCACCTTACCCAAGGTCTATGCGAGATATGGTTCGTTTGCGCTATTCGGTCCTGGGGAAACAATGGAAATACTAACGAGTTATGGTTACAGAGTTTGGAAAGGAGAAGAGTCAGTCATTAGAAGGTACTTCACTGATTCCCGCGAATGTCAAGGAAGTACATGCTGACAATGATACTATAGGACTCACGGATAAACAAATCGAAGACACGGTTGCACAATTAGTCAGAAGCGAGACTGCATAAACACTTTACTTATAATTGGCGTTAGTTATGAGAAATAAGTACCTAGTTATTCGTATTGCTTGCTATGTTACCATAATGAGAACAAGACCCTGTCTAAAATAAAGACTCCTTGTGTACTCCCATTCTGATTCTCGTTTTTGTTTTTGCTACCTATTATTAATGATAGTACAGTATAGATTTAAACACCATAATTCTGCTTAACATGAGGTGTCGGGTCGAAGGTGCATGATAAGACAGTGCAATTTCGGAAAGTAGTCATTTAGTTGAGAAACCGCCCCTATTTTGCACGCCTCTTGTGTGTCCCACGACATTGTAAGGTCTATTATATTTGGACCCCAATAGGCAAATACTATGGTCGGTATGCCTGTCTTGGTATTCTCGACCTGGTGTAAGGCTCAGATTAGGTAGTCGTCATCAGAGGCGACATCCGTATCTGATTCGATTTCGCGGGCGATTAATGTGCTTGTCTCTTATTATCGCTCGGCTAACGTCCAAGATTCGTGATGTATTAAAGTAATGTGTTGGTGTTTTCTTAGTATCTTTGTCTCCATATAAGATGTTTGCCCCCATGGTGGATTCCTTACCAGAAGGATTTGTCTTTACCACCTTCTTCCCTGCTATTAGGAGGTTGAGGAGCCATTTCTACAATGGGAGGTACCAGTTCACCACCAACCCCAACCCCGACCCCCTTCTGAGGTATAATTCCTCCCTGGGTCCAGGTCTGAGTCCAAGTTTGTGTTATGGATGACTAATATGGCCTCCTTAGTATATATCCCCGTAGGAGAGAGTTATCTTTGGTAGTCGGAATTGGTATTAGTGTTAGGGTTGGTACGAAGCCATGTTGAGGAAGAGGATGATATATCGGCTCATGTTCTCCCACCACAGCCGACGGGACCCGTGTAAGAAGGACCAGCATTAGTAAGACCAGGACTTGAATTGGCCAAAGGGGTTTGGACTGGCGTCAGAAATATAGTATGCCGTGAACAGTCGATTCTTGTTGATCGAATCTGTATCAGCAGCAATTTGATAATGCTCTACCAGGATGAGTCTGGTAACGCCCACGAATTGCTCGATAGTGTACGTAGCCACATCATGCTTTAGTTTGTCGGCATGTTCTTAGGGTTCCGTGACGGATTGTGTAGTAAAGGATAAGGCGATAGGATACTCTAAGTTTAGGCTTATTGTAGTGTCGTTATGATAATTGATGGCTAGCCTTATTAGTTTCACCAGTAGTAGTATTGCTTCCATCGGCATTAGGATTGCCGCACTTCTGACTTTGCTGCTCCGTTGTTTAGTGGTGAATTAGGGGTAGGAAATCTCGCGTGGTTGATGAGGATTAATAGGCCGGTTCGATGGCATGATCAAATGAATCTCAAAATTCCAATATATTTGACCCGGCCCACCCAAACCCGACCTTGGGCGGTTTGCGTTGGCCATTTTGTCTGTGAGGTGTATAGAGGTGAGTTGAATAGTTATATAGTAGTAGTCTTTGAAGTTTAAGAGCATTGTGCCGAGAAAAAGAAGGTTGTGTTAATAGTCTGGGCGATAACTCAGCCAGTAACTAAATTGGTGAACTTAGTGAATATGGCGTTAATATGTTTGATCTTAATTTTAGCGTAGGTTTAGTAGGTGATTACATACGTGATAGCATAGAGAGCGTGTGTCAATGGCTTTGTCATTATTAACACAGGCCGTTGGGAGGTTGAGGAGCCAGGGAACTGGGGAAGTGCCTGTGCGGAGACCACTTGTGCTTCAGGCTTGATTTTTGAACACTTGTTAGCGCGACCGTGTAAAAAAAAGAAAAAGTATAAGTCAAAGGTAACAATGTAAAGGTGAAGGGGATACAATCGCCTACGAGTAGGGTAGCTGATAGTGTATGGAGTAGAAGTTGGTATTGGTTGGTATTGGTAATACCTTATGAAGATTGTGTAGGTGTAATAATCATTGATAGTGAAGAAAGAGAAGGGTGATTACTTACCGCTTTGGATTGTTAAGACCAGTTTATAGTCATCTTGAACTCCTTCGGGGCTAGCTTCTTCTGGGCGAAAGAAGGCAGCCAACCATCAGGCCTTAAGGCGACTAGGTAGTTATGAGAGAAGTAGTTGTAGATTAATAAATGTAGGTGCTTCTTGAAGCATGAGAATATGAGGGTAGAATATTATGGGATAAATGTAGGTGCTTCTTGAAGCATTAGGATATGAGGATGGAATGTTGTAGGATAGGTATTAGGATAGGGTTGTTTATTATTAATGTTAATGTAATGTTAAGAAGAGGTGGATGATAGGATAGTAAGAACGTAGTGTGGTAATGTAAGGTAAGAGGGTTGATGTGAGAGTAGGATTGAAGTAGGATTATTATGAAGAAGAGAATTAATTGGAATGGATTCCTTGTGGGAAAGGGTAATGTTTAAATAGGGCGGTGAATGTGAATGTAAAGAAGAAAGAAAACAGACGGAAGGAAGGTCGAAGAACTTTGGAGGGTTACGACGGACTTGTTGCTTAGGATAGAGACGCGTTGTAGCGCCGTTACTTCCTTAACCAAGCTATTTTGGCAAATGGATACCTTAGATCTGATGTTCTCATGAGATACATCGCTACTATGAAGGAAGGTGGTAGGCCGTAACTAGCAGTTGCGGCTGTTGCAATGGTCACTTGATGGTCCGTGATGACTATGTTTTTGTGCACGGACATAGCACGGACCTAGATACGAAAGAGAACATTTACTTTACAGCTGGGCAACTACCTGTTAACATATCATACTGGGCAGGCACTTGTTAGGTAGGTACCGAAGCCCTCTTTGTACATGGTAACTTAGATACCTAAGGTATGTACCGAGGCTCTAGCCAATGGCTTAGCAGTTTAAGTCTGTGATTAGGAGTGATTTCCCCTTTTCAGACTTTGGGCATATAGCTGTCTTCCTCTGATATTTCTGGTAGGACCCTAAAGAGTAACCAATAGAAGGATATTTCTTATATTGCATTGAATTCAAATAAAGACCACTAGTAATTGTTCTATAATCTGTTTTGACATAATGGATTTAAGTGTTGGAGTTAATGATGGGACGTGGTTTTATTCTTTACCTGGGATTTAAAACTCCTCTATGGAACATACCTAGGTAAAGGTCAAAATAAGGGGTATATATGGATATGTACATGGCTAAGAAAAATAATTCTATACATTTACAAACAAGCTATCATGGGAATAAGATAAAAAGTGTGGACTATGGGAGTAGAGTCTGTATATTGTAGTCTAAATTATATACCTCTTTTACTAGCTAGCTAAAGAACTAATTAACTATAGCAGGCTGGAACTAGGGCTGAGTATTAATTAAGCTGGCAAAGGGTTCATAGAGCGTAGCCAATACCAGCACAAGACATATGACTACTTTTGTTGTGTACAACGCCTAAGAATTACTCCTTGCTACTCTCCTGCTCTAACATCTTGAGTATCTCTGACTCCTTGTCGCTAGCAACAGCCTTTCCATTGTTCCAGTCGACAATCTATTCCAAAGTTAGCATGTTACTTAACTAGACAAATAGGAGAAGGGGGTATGATCATGAGTGGGCAAAGAAAAGGAGACATACTACAGGCCATTTGAAGTTCTCCTTGCTCTCTCTGAACTTCTTCAGGGCCTCATTCTCTGTCGAGGCGCCTTGAACGATAGAGCCGATCTTATTTTTGCCGACGTACTCTAGAATAGTCTTGAGTTGGTCGACAGTGGGAGGATCCTCAGTGATGTTCAATTCAAATTCCTGACGAGAGCGCTTGGGATGCGTCTGGTGAGAATGATCACTGGCTTGATCTTCAGTTGCTGTCTCTGTGGCATTGGCTGAAACCTGCTTTAGGAGAGTTGCCGCTCTTGTGGAGGCCGGTGAGCCTGCCTTATGGAAGAGGGTAATGATATCAAGAGTTTTGTGCTATTCACGCATTAGCATTTATTACTTATTAATTAGCTAGTTTAAAGCTTCAAACCTACAAAGCGGAACATTGTGGCTATGGTTTCTTGTGGCTTATTTGTGAATCAACTAATAGATGCAAGATTAAAGAAGAGGAAGTCGTGTTTGAAACCGGTGATGTAGTTGGATTTACTTTTTTGGGACAGCTTTTGACTTGGCGTTGGAAGCTGTGATAGCTTCCGGGAATTCGGTGACGTCGGCCTATCAATTGCCTGTCAGCCACATGTAGCTCAGGAACAAAGTTGGTTCGATAATTTTTATCAATCTACGCTAGCCCTCTTAGGGATCTTTAGTGTCTACGGTACAAAGTACATAACATTAGAATGTTAATCTAGCCAAGTTCGAATGTGACCCGTGCACGATTTTTATCTGAAGGGTTGGGGAAGTTACATCCATACATCTACGGAGGTACCTAGGTACTGTACGTACCCTATAGGCCCGTTGCTAGGTGGGTATGGCGGTTTCCACAATAATGTACCTAACACACTGGAGCCCACATACAAAGTATACATAGTACATATTTGGAAGCGCGTTGCAGCTATGATTTTTTTCTTGATGACATCTCAGCATTGCCAGCAACATCCGAATTTAATTAAATCTCCCTCCAATCATTTTAACCCATTTCAACCCATTTCTCGTAACTACCCACCAGTTTGTGCCTTTTACAATCCAAGAATTCATCCTTGATTAGGTATCCGTGTTTGCCTATCCACCTTGTGTGTCCTAAACATTGTATCTCATTCCTCGAATTTCTATTCACCGAATAACCGGAGAGGACAATGAGACCATTGATCGTGCATAACGTCCCGGACGAGGAACTTTATACCGGAGACGATGGGATTCAGCGTCCATATGCTATGTATTTCCCCGAGTATGTAACCGTTTCTCCCTTTCAAAGAAGTCATTATTTTGAATCAAATCTGCTTACCACTATGTCCCATGATAGAGGCGAACGTCAACGTACCCTCCCACGTACGCGTGCGCGAGAGGTAACAGAATCGGGTTCCTTCGGTAAATCAACTAGACGATCTCGCTCTAGAACGGGAAGCGCGCCGCCGAAACGTGAAGATGCTACGATGCATAATGCCGATAAAATATTTTCGAATTACATAGCAAGCCGACAGCAAGCCCCTAACGCAACGACAACAGCGACAACAAATACCGCCGCTACCCAACGAAAGACGGGTTATCTAGGGCAGACCGCTGCGCAGTCGCAAGAGGATTCTGCTTCTGCCACTCAAGCTTCGACGTATCGCAAGGAACCTGTTGAAGTTATCCTGAGAGGTTATTCATCGCCATCACAGCAGTATGCGGCCATCAACCATTACGAGCAGCTGGCAGGGAGGATATGCGAGGACTACTCTAGAGAGCCGCCCGCCGAGGCGCGACGCTACAAATCAGACCTGCGAGATCCCGCGCTTACGAGGCGACAACCCTTGTCGGCCCCTGAGCGGGCTAAGGTTAGCAGGGTGGCCAGCGGTGAACACTGGGTGAAGATTACGTTTGAATCATCGGAAGCAGCTGAAGCCGCGACGTACGCCTCTCCGCAAAATATATTAGGTCATCTTGTCTACGCCGAACCCTATCGTGGTCTGCCTCCTAAGGAAGATGCTGCAGTACTCGATGTGATCGGCGATGGTGGCATGATCGATCCGTTTAGGTCTAACACATTCCGAAGCGTGCCGAAAAGGCCATCGCAGCCCCGCATAGATAAGGGCACGACATTCCCTAAGGCTCTCTTAACACGGGCAATCGAGCGGACTACAAACCTACAAGACTCTCCCCCAGGATCTCAAGGCTCAACCCAGACTATGGATACCACTACGGCATCGACAGCAACGGTGACGGGTGCGGTCCCAGAACTGCAGAATACAGAGCCAGTGGATAATACGTACTGCCGGCGCATTCCAGAAGCTAAACGGGCTAGGATCCTACCGGCCGACCAAGCCCTAGCCCCTCAACTGACTTGGCAGCAGAAGCTGCTGATCTACATTCCGCTGATAGGATGGTTTGGAGGCTCAATGATCGGGAACGAGGTGCCCCGTAACGAGCTCGGCGAGTTTGACTTCAACAAAGCTAGTTTGTACTGGCAACTGATGTTTTACCTGGATCTCTGGTTCGGTCTCTTCGGTCGCGAGCTCGTTAGTGGCGATAAGGAAGACTAAGAGACTTTAACCGCACATACCAACCTCTTACATCATCAAATTTTTTATACTACTTCGTAATGCTATGAAAAGTACCTAGGGACACGAGGGCAAAGCGGGTTTTGGTAATACGCCCCCCTGGAGTTGAGGTTCACATTTGGAAGCCCTACGATAAAGTGCCTAAGGACAGATAGTTAAGTGGAAAAGTGAAGAATAAGGAGCTTTGCTATGCTTGATCTCGTTGTCATTACTATAGACGAGCTGCACGTGGATAGGGGGCATCGGGCTGGGTTAGCGGCATACTGCGCATAGGTAGTTGTTACCACGAGGAGTTTGCTTTTTTTTTTTTCGTGTACGATGAAATTACATAGGTCACTCGAGACCGACGGGAACAATAATGCATTCCAAGTCATAATATGTTTGCTCCCTTTCGTATGAATGCTGGCTAAGTGTAATGTGTAATGTCATACATGTATACAGCTGTGGAACTACCTATCTACATGTATGTATGTAATACTTGAGACGCAGACCGAATGCTGGCTGTACTAATGTAATAATATGTAGGCAAGAGGTAGTCATGAAGCGAAGGTACAAAGCGGGAGATGCCATCCATTCTAATGTCGAAGATATGACTCCGTTCATCTATTCGTGTGCCGTGAAATGTAATACAGTACTCAATCAATCAATATTTCGCCGCCGTACCCGCCGTTAGAATCATCCTATCCTATCCTATCCTATAGGTTAGGCACCTTTCCGCCTTCTCATCCTTGTGCAATACCTCCTCATACCAGTATGAGGGGGGGATGTGTGCACTTTGTGCTATGTAACTATAATCAAGCAAACTGCCTATCTATCTCTCTATCGTCTACCTCATTCTTCCCCGTTGGCGGCGAGGATGGTAACGAGACTGGGTCACTGCTACTACTGACTTGTCTCTGCCGTGTTTCGTCGTCTCTCCATTGGAACGCAGGGTTTTCGTTTAGCTCATCCTCGTCATCTTGCAGACCTGAATCTCCTTCTCCTAGTTCCATTTCCAGTGCTCGGCCCGGGGAGCTACTAGCGCCTCTAACCGTCACAGCATCATACCCGTCGTCGTCGTCTACATCCGATACGAGGTCATTGTTGATTTCTTCCTCGCCGCCACCGCCAAATAATAATTCCTCCGGATCCATGACCACGTCCGTAGTTCGTCGGCGGATAGGCTGTGGACTGAACGGCCTTAACCCCCGGCTCATGTTGGACTCTGAGAATATGCTCTCCGTGTCTTCTCTATCTCTCTTGCGGTCTTGCGGTTGTTCTACGGCCCCTGTCAGGCTTTGAAACTGATCTTCCTCCGGATCGACTACTAAGCTATCGGCGCGCCCACCCGCACGTGCTGTTAGTACCGAATCCGAGACGGAAGTCGAGGCTGCGTCGTTCGCCAGGATGCTCTTGGGCGGGAGTATACTAAACAGCTTCGCCCCTCCTTCTCCGACGGCACTATTGGCGGCCATTATTGTGACTCCAGCCCCCGTTGCAGCTCCCGGCAGCCCATCCTCGTCGCTCGCAAACAAGTCCTGGCCCTTTTCTAGCAAATCCTCAAGCCCACCACCCGTCCACCCTTTCCGCGCCAAGCCCTCGAAAATGTCGACCTCGGCACGTACGAGCGAACAGCTTGCATCGAGAATCTTAGCCGAAGCCTCCTGTGAGTCGCGTAGTAGGGTACGGGCATGATCGGCATGCAATCCTGTTAGGCCGTCGAGTTTACTAGTTAGGGTAACCAGGTGCTCTCGGAACTTGGCTACATCTCGACGGCGACTCTGGCGGTGCAGCTTCAACCCTTCCTTCTCGAGGCGGCGGATCTCGCGACTGCGCGCGGCAACTTCGCGTTTATACGTCTCATCCTCGTCGTCAATATTGCGTCGCCACTGATCTAACTCGTGTAGTAGCGGCACCTCGAATGACTTGTATACTGTCTCACTTAAGATCTGCTGATGGTTTGCGATTAAGTGGTGCACACCACTTGCGCTTAATAGTAGCTCTGCGGTACATGATCCCTTTGTGGTAAAACTATTGGTTAGGCTAGTACCGCTAGGGGGGCCGAGGGTGTCGGCTCGGGCTTCTTTTAGCCTCGCGCAGGACTCGAGGGCGGATCCGAATGCGGAGGCGGCGGTAGAAAGGGATGCGAGTGCTATCCGGTACGATTTGGCTGTAGCTAACAAGTCCGAGTATGCTAGCTGCGATTGCTCGAGGTCGTTTTTAGAGAGGACGGCGTGGGCTGGACGAGGCGGAGGCGGGAGTGGTAGATTATATTGAGAGAGCGGATTGGCTGTGGAGGCATACGAGTATGTTGGCGACGCGGGAAGAGGGACTTGAGAAGGAGATGGCGATGGCGGCCTACCAGATGCTGGTGCTCGTGCTGCTGACGGCATTATTGTTTTTTTTTTGCCCAGTGAGCCTCCTCTCTTTTAATATCGGTATGATGATTTTGGTTGGCGGGGCTTGTTTACTTCTGCCGTGTCGACCTGGATATTATACCTACCAGGTAGTAATCCTAGGCTTAAACGATCCGATAGCGTAGCAACGGTTGGTGTGGATTCGGGTTAAAGTAGCAATAGATAATAATACCTAATGAATTAATTATCGGGCTAATCGCGGAAGAGACGACATAATCCAACAGCAATGATGTAGCTACAAACGTGTGTAGTCTACCTATAAAACTGTTATACAAATAGGAAAGATTAGGAGAATTGTTGAGGACGAAGGCTACAAGATGCACAGAATAATCTAGAGACAAAGTTGAACACTCGATGGAAGAATAAATCTTGTTTTTGGAACTTTGTTAAATAAAAGCTTGGGTTAGGTAAGGTAAGGTATCTATCTTTGCTGCCCCTAGTTAAGCTTACGCCGTTATGCCGCCATCTTGTGATCAGACTCCACTACCTCCAACTATACGATAAGATAAGGCACTATTCCCCCTATCAAGATTCTCTCTATCCCTATGTACATGTATAGACTTCTCAACAATACGAATACGTATACCTCCGCGCACCTGATATGCTACTGATTATTTCACGAATTTATCAAAGATTATTTATATATGTAACCTGGGTAATTATATTTATACATTGAAGTTTATGAGTAATTTTATAAATTCGACTATGATCTTTAATGAAGTCCAGCGTGTCAGATGAATTTAGACTTCTAAGACATCCACCCATAATCGGCAGACCATTAGGTACATATATCTCGACTCTGGCGTCTAAGTAGTAAAAAAGGCCAACGTCAAATCATATTTATCATACTGTGGACTCCAACTATTCTGATTTGCACTGTAAAGCGTTTCTATCGTCCAATACGCAACAGACACCATCTATACTTGCACGTCATACGAACCACCTCGTAGAATTAGTGCCGTAATAGTCTCTAATGCTCTAACATGCCTCTATCGCATTGTATATCCACTTCCCATGTCCTATCGAATTTATAGTTCCGTCTTCTTGTTGTCTTGAGGTGGGAGACGAGCATTCAGGAAAGACTCAACCTCATCAAGTTCCTCTATACAGGCCGAATGAGGTAAACCCCTATTTTATATTAGCTAAATATTAAATGAAAGAGCGGATCCACAAGGAGGAAATCAGAAAGGAGCTGCTCACGGATATATCTTCATCGTCACATCGAAACCACGGTTCTTCAGTGATTCGTAAGACATCTTGCCCAAGTTCGTCGGTACAACTGCATCCTCATCTCCATGACACATTAAGATTGGTGTTTGGTGGTTGTGATCGTTCTCTTTGAGAAGATCGTCAATCTTTGAGTCTAGGGGTAGATAACCCGAAAGCGAGACTATGCCAGCCAACTTAAACTTAGCCGTCAAGCCAGTAAAGAGGGACATGGCGGCGCCTTGTGAGAAGCCGCCGAGTACGATGCGGTTAGGGAGTATCCCAGAGTCGATCTCAGCTTGGATCAGCCCGTGGAAGTACTCCCTGCTCTGCATGATACCATTTTCGTCTTGATGCCTCTTGATATCGTCTATTTTGCCAGTGAGTGCAAACTTGGGTAATCATTAGACACGATAGCAGACATATAAGGAGGAAGGAGGCGACTTACAATATCGTACCATCCAGGCATAGACATTCCGCCCGACTGTCCAGTTAGGGTGAGTCCCACCGACGCATCTCAAACTCTAGTGAGAGTAACTTACAGCTGTAACCGGGATGCGCGGGGCATGTGGCAGGATGAATTTGACCTCATCCAATCTCTGCCTCCGTCTCCAGTTCTCTACTGCCGATGCCCATCCATACCCGTTATCACCCAATCCGTGGATGAAAATGACAGTAGCTGTGTGCTTGGCGGCAGCTGGGAACAGCAGCGGTGGAGCTCGGCGCATCGCCATAGTGGGATCGGAATTCGGTTTTGCGAATGTGGCCGTTAAGAAAGACAACAATAATACTATGAACGAAAAGAATGTTTTATTCGCGATAGAGAAAGTGAGCATCCGCTAGATGGAAAATGAGCTAGGAAGGTCGGGATTGAGGCCAAAGGTAATGAGTTACGTGATGGTTGATTCCAGTTGTAGTTTTCATTCTTTCCTGTTGCGCATTGGAAGACTTCAACTTGCATGGTGGGGTAATTGGGGTTATTCCGCCATCTCTTTGTTAAGTATAACGCGTTTGTAATTCCTGCCTTAATTGGTTGCATTAATGGGGGCATTACCATAATGAAACGCGGATGATTACCATAGCGGCAAAGGGTGGTTTTGAGAAACGGTTATTCATACTTAACATTATTTACCTGAAAAAAATCGTTTTTGTCTAGATTATCATTTTCTTATAAAACATCATTTTCGGGTAGAAAATCGTTTCCCAACTTAAAATTAAGATTTTTTTTGATTAGATAAAGTATATAATGCTGAATAATAAGCCATTCTCGCGTGCATGTGTTAAATAAACCCCAATTGGCCTAGTAGTAAAACCCGCAACCCGTAAATCCCGTGACATGTCCAAAGTCCAAAGTCCACTGTTCGAATCAGCTCGAGTGTAAAAAAAAAAAAAAAAAATTAAAAAAAATTAAAAAAAATAAAAGAATTGGAAATTTTGTTTTTTTTTCGAGAAACGATTATTCGTCGAGAAATAATGTTCTGAGAAATAACGTTGCCTCTCTAATGAATAATGCATATGGGAGGTACGGTACTCGGTCGAGGAATCGTTTCTCAAAACCACCCTTTGCCGCTATGGTACCTTATGTATCGCCTAAGCTAATGCAACGAACCCACTACAACACCTAGCACCATAGCGGCTGAAAGTTAACGCTAGGGGGTATGCTGACTGATCCTTGGTAATTGCTGAAGAATCGGTCAATACGGCTCCCTTAGTGGCCTCTTTAGTGACTTACACCGGGATTTCCGGTGTACCTACGGCAGGGGACGAATTACAAATGGTTTCAACGGCCTCCCGTTCTTTCTTCTATATAGACCTTAAGTTTTCATAGCAATGGCTTCTCCAACATTAATTACTAGAACAATCCTAATTGTATCACTCTTTGTCGTAGCCGTGGCTTTCTTATTCTCATCATCACTATCTCGCGTCGTGCTACCCCTTTCCATCTGGAAACCCGTTTCCTCCATCATAGCTCAATATCAAACATTAACAAACTCAACCTCACCACCAATGACGACTAAAAAAACCCCGGTTTACTTCTTCAGCCATGGCGGCGTGAGTTTTGATAAATCTGACCAGACTTAGATTCATTAATCTAATTTGGAGACAGCCGGACGTGCAATATAGAACGGACCATCCCGCCTATCCAATTCTCCAGAACATAGGAAAGGAAATTACCGAGAAAGTGAAGCCTAAAGCTGTCGTCGTCTTTTCTGGCCATTGGGAGGCTGAACCTGATATCATTGAGGTCAACACTGCTGAGCATACAGACTTGATTTATGAGTACGATTATATCTATGAGAGTTCTCCATGAGACTGATGCTAATATGTCTGAGTAGCTTCTATGGATTCCCGCCCGAGTTCTACAAGGCACAATATCCCAATAGGGGAAGCCCCGAGCTAGCCTCCAAGGTCATTGACCTCCTAACAAAAGCTGGTATTAAGGCTAAAGGCGTGACCAGAGGGCTGGACCATGGAGTGTGGTCGGGATTTCATGTCGGTATGGTTCTACTTAGCCACGCTTGCTCATATGCCATGTGTCTTGGCTTAACTGACATCCTATAGCATTCAACCCCGAAGAAAACCCCCTTAATGTTCCCTTAGTTCAAGTAAGCTTATACGCCAACCAGAACGTGGATATGCATTATCAATTGGGACAAGCTGTTGCCTCTCTGCGTGACGAGAACATCGTCATAATCGGTGCAGGAATGTCAGTGCACAATCTTAGGGATTTATACACCACTCGAGGTGACCCGAGGCCATTGCCTTACACGGTATCCTTTGACGAGGCATTGAAAGACGCCGTCGAGTCCCCGCCAAATGAGCGACGGGCTCATATGAAAGAAGTTGCTAAGCGGCCAGACGCTAGACAAGCCCATCCGGTGAGTTTAAAGAATCCTAAGCTAAAAGGGACTTGCTAATCATTCTCAGCGGTTCGATCACGTGATGCCGGTATACGTAGCGGCTGGTGCGGCTGGTGATGATGAGGGGAAGAGGACATGGACATTGCACGAGGGTAGTGTGGCGTGGGCTCAATATAGATTTGGACAGGTCCCTTAATTACGAAAAGGGGAGTACAATGTCCACATGAAGTACTTTTCTATATATATGAATCTAAGTAACAGTTCATACAACTTATATCTTAAACTGGGAAAGTTTCCTGGTTGATCTCCCGAGTATGTTCCCACTAAGTAAGGTAAAATATGGAACAAAGGTAAAGATGGAGGACTTTAGTAGTGAGAATATCTACCTTCCTACCTATGTTAAAGGTATAGACTATTATCCATTACTTAGAAGAACAAAAAACCAGACATAGCCCTACTAATTTATCAATGATCACACTACTACTTAACGGCATTGATATCCGGCTAATTTATATATTTCCCCCATTTTTCCCATTCTAGACGTTCAGATAAATGTATATCGGATAATGGCGCCATACACATACATCCCCCCAGACATAGATGAGTTCTGTCTCTAACGCTCTATAAAATATATCCCAAGCCTCTAATGCTACAGGACCTCGGGTGTGCGATAATATATAGGATGGATTTGTGGAACGATAACTCGGGATAGATGCATATCGTGGAACGAACTATAATTAATTGTCTCGCCCGAGCAACGTGGCTCGAAAAGCTCGGGCTTCCTTACTCGGTAGCAAACAAAACGTTGAGTTGGTATTTAAAAGCCCAAGAGGATTGGAATGATACCTAGCGTATTTCCTCTCGGTTGTCAGTTACTGTCAGTTCACCTGGGTTCCAATATATATTTCACCCTACCAGCTATGGCCTCTATTAATATTGATATTGAAGCCGGATTACCATCAGATAGGCCACCTGATGGACAACCTGTTCCATCACAGTCAGGTCATAGTGCGTATTACTCACCTATTGGAGACTAGGGAAAATAATTATAGCTAATATCTAACGTGGGCTATTAGAAGAGACTAACCAAAATATTCCCATCTTGCAATTGAAATATGGGATCCTTAAGCGATTAAAACAGCTTGCAAATATCTTTAAGAGAAATCCAAACAGTCCGGGAAGTGCAGCCACGAGATATATTGATAGAAGTAGTAAGCTAGCCCAGACAATAATATTTCCTTTAGGCACTTATACCTGACCGCAAAATATCTACTCTAGTTGATGACTACCCGAACGGCTACCCACGACTCGGGGCTTTTCTAACGACAGATCCGAGCCACCTAATATTTCGTCGGTTTAATTACTTGCAAGCAAGGGTTCTACTTAATCTCCAGAATCAGCTCCGGGGATATGAGTCCCAACTAGATTCCCTAGATCAACTCAGCCTGAATCCGCCATCAAGAGAGGCTGGTATCGAAGTATTTGAAACTCGTGCAAGAGTTTTGAAGGACATCGAAGCTAAATTTGAGACATATAGTAAGCCTCATTAGTCTTGCTTCTCGAGTATCAGGGGCATTCCTAACTTAAATATAACCTAGTCAAACTCTTGAACCACGTTTCATTTTGTGCTCATCGTTCCCAGCCACCGCCAACGGACTTCAAGAGCCTGGAGAATTTCTTCCAAAATCACAACCCATTAGTAGAAAAAGAGATGTACTACCTCCATAAATTTGATCTATTGTCGCTTAGACCACAAGAAGATACAGCAAGAGTAGATACACGTCTACTACAGTTCCTACTAGACGCACCCAATAAGCTAACGCAGGTAAGTATTTGCCACGGGAGAAAACGCCTATAAAGAATGAAGGGAAAAGGAAAAGGGAGATTTCTGGACTGAGCTAATGACCATTTAGAAAATCTTCAAGCACAAGGTACGTTTATACACTGTCTAGACTCTTCTTAAATACTGAAATAACTCATGTGGATTTAAGGAGGGGAGCGGCCGAGACAGATTCATGCTTGTCTACAGTACCCGAAAGGTCACGATGGCGAGGGCCGTAGTCTTAGGCATCCCCCTACTTGTGCTACTTGTAGGACCGATTTACCCCCTTTATCATTTGAGTCAAAGAGAAATGACCGAGGGAACTCTGGTCGGCATTATGGCCATTCAAATCGCTTTTACTTGTATCTTTGCCATCAGCCTTAAGTACCTGACGCGACCAAAGAGGCATGAGCTATTTGCTTGTAGTGTAGCGTCAGTATCTATTTCATATTCCTGCGCTGTCTAAATGATTCTAAGAGCTGACCAATTGATCAATATACAGGTACATGGGCGTGCTGCTCGTATTTATGAGCCAAACACTACAGAGCTCACGATGAACGGATCATGGATCATGGATAGTCTAATAGACTGATATTTTAAGTAGTATTTGTTGTACCTTGTTCAGCTGTCGGATCCCAGATATATTACGTAGATGAGAGTAGTCTAAATTAAAAGAACAAGTTGTGTTGAATAACGTACCTAATATAAAGAATTCTGCTAAAGGCCCTCGTGCACCAAAATATAATAGAATGTTAACTTTAGATTTAGATCTTATAAGAGATACTAGTTTAAAGGCTTCAAAATATAGTCAGGTATTATTTGAGATTTTCAAAGAGTTTTAGGAAACCCCATCCGAGGTTCTTGATGTGTAGGGGTGCTAAACTTTCTCCTCATAAACCAAGTATCGAGTAGTAGTAGAAATATACTAGCAGCGAACAAAACAAGAATACCCGTACACAGAAATGCATAAGCAACTCAAGCCACTATATAAGAGGATAAGAAACAGACTACCCGGTAAAGGTTATTCAATTATTTACAGGGGATCATAGAGACTGTCTTGTCAAGTATGAGTAGGATTTCTAGTCTTATTCTTCTCAAATTAGAACATCGAGATAACTATCCGTAGTCTCTAGAAATAATGTAATTTCAGCTGCTAATTGTAATTCTATCCTGTCCTTTTCCTCATCTATTCAATTTATTTCATCCAATACTAATACGCAACAGAGTTGCCAATTATACTTGCCAGCTTAACTACCACCCTTTTACAAATCTAGCTCAGTGTCGCCAGATGCTGTAAATTGGAATATTTCTCCGAGAGGAACGATTAGATTTGCCACTACCAACCGTAGGATTCGTCGTCATAAATCAATATCGTTTCAGCCTGTAGGGTTACAATCCTCCAGGGTCCTAACCAAGACCCAATCTATGTTATTGTGAGTAGCACCCAGACGATCTTATCTTGGGGTTATGCGTTTACATCATTGTTGGTTTGGCCATCGTTCCATCTTGATAGCCCCCAGCAAGGTTTGCTATCCCGGATGTCCAAGAAGTAGTTATGCTTAAACATTTATATCACAAGTATAACTGCGTAGGTAGATTGTCAGGATTCTAAATGAGACATCCAGAATAAAGGACATGTTCATTATGTATAGACGTAGACCCTCATAGCTAGGTCATAGTTCCTCTCAGAATAAAGAAGTTATTTCCATTCTGTTTGGTTCCACCTAGTGGCATAGTTATGCGAGCCTGTCAGTTCCAGGAGGGTTACCATGGATAATTGTTCTACTGTGACCCCTGAACATCATATCTGACCAAAAAATCCCTCCTCTCCTTCAAATAGGCGCTAATCACACTTAACCATTCACCTCATAGGGAGACGATTATACTCTACGAGGCTCTTATGGCGCTTCGATTCCCCTGTCTTGACTTTACTGACATCATGTATATACCCTCATGTTTTATGTATTGTTCTCAAACACATCAGATCCATCCTCGCTGCTCCAGATCTTTTTTTCGCTGGATTAACTTGGCTTAGGGGACGGGGATGGATTTATATTCTGGACAGGATCCAGCGCGGTTATCTTTGGGGTGGCAATATACTTCCAGGTATCGCCACTGCGCGCTATGTAGTTTTGAAGATGATAATCGGTTGGCAGAAATGGAGGAGAACTTGGATCGAACCCCTGGGTAATCGGATCGTCGGAGCGATCCATCCTCTTTATCATATCAGGACAAGTAAACGGACCTAAAAGGTGTCAGATAAATCCTAGTACTCGCCCATGATATTAAAATACTGACATTCACACACCCCGTTATTTTCAAAGACCTCCTTAGGAGTATCAGACATATTATTCTGCCGTTTTCGCAAGCTATCTTACGATTTGCGGTTGCAGTAGGTTGATTGAGAAATAGGGTAGCAAATGGTTTAGACGCAATGAGAAAACAGAAATGATCCTCCATAGTACCCAGATTAAATAAGGAGAAGAAGGTAGATGCATCATGTCCCTACAGTCATAGATGTCAAAGTCACTCCATAAGCTTTTATCTTATTTCTTAAAATTCAGATTCTAAACTAAATGCAACATGGGTGTATCACTGAGACATGACGATGAACCTGTTAAGATTCCAAATGAGATGTATGGAGTCGAACATGACAGAACCTTATATATTCACTAACTTCCATAGCTTTCAGACGAAACTGCCTCCACATCTTCTAGGTCTACCCTGACCTTTAGTTGTTACATGCTTTCCTATAAGTTCTCAAATAAATAAATAAAACAATATAGCTATACTTAGTAAACGGTATAAAATAGTTTATGTAGTTTATATATCGCTAAATTAAGCTATGAACGTGTTTTGTCGGGGATAGACTAGTAAGGTTGATTGAAATTTAACTGCTAGACTTACCTACCTAGCTAATCTCCCAGGTAAAGGCTAACCCTGAAACAAGCTCGCCAAAAGTTCAGAGGCCAATCAGCATATAGGATAAAAAAAATCAATCCAAGTTGACATATCCTAAGAGCTATATACCTATTAGTGTAGAAAGCTAGTAGTAGATAAGTAATTATCTAAAATTATGACTCAAGTTAGTGACTGGGATACAATTAATGATCCTATCATGACGAAAAGTATGCTCAACTATTGATATATCATGTCCCTATATGAGCACATGTGTAAATCTAGAAGTAAAAATAACCTAGTACCTATGGTATAGTTGTGAATGAGTACAATATAAACGTGTAGAAAATTATATTCACTTTACGGCACCTTTAATCATTAGATTATTCGCGATGAAAATTTTACTATTTGTAATGAAATGTATCATGGTAAAGTCACAATATTTGTTATCTAAAGCAGGTAATCATGCCCCAAAAATAAAGTAAATCACTCAAGTAACCATGGGAATAACTTTTATAAAAGACTAGAATATTTGATAAACATTTATATATTACACACCAATTACTGATCCCTATTTAAAATACCAAATTTCTCGTTGCACACGTTGGTTACCTATCATATAGAAATAGATTATGAACTTTATTTTACTTCATTATAAAAACATCCATGTACCAACGTCACGAAAGGTCTTGATAACTTAAAGGTATATATAAATAATAATTTAATAAGATATTAGGGTATAAGTGGGTAGGGGTATTTATAAAGGATTATTTATTATATGAAAGCGTATAGCGTGTTTGGGAGAAAATAGAAGCCAGGCGTTATTAGATCAATATACTATACCTTTTAGTCTACCTATCCTAGACACTCATTCTATGCATGATATCAATCACCTAGGTATAAATTATCTAATAGATGTTATGATGTTAGGGCAGAACATAGAGATGTCTTACTTGCTACGAACTTTACAGTGACCTGCTCATTCACCGTGATACCCCCTTAAAAGAAATACGCAGTACCAATCTACCCTACTTTGTCTGGCGGACGAATACCAGCGGCCTCGGCCGACCCCACCAGTCGCAAGGGTTGAACCTCCAGGCGCCGTTACCAGCACCAAACCAATACTTGACAAGGTAAGGCATGATCCATGGTAGAGGAGGGAACGGATGTCCGCATTCATAGGTCTTATCGGCGCATCCAAGCACAACTGGAAACACATCATACTAAAGCAAGGAACTCAGCATAGTACAATTACCAGGCGCTTTTAAACTTACCAACATCCCAATATTCCCTGCCTGCTTAGCAATTTCTTCGCTCTGGTCCCAAGTCTTCCTCAGAGCCGCACTATCTATAGTTTTCAGTCCCAAGAAGACGTCGATCTCGTCGTAAAGGTGTCCTGTCAACTCCTTACTGAATGAATCGATTATCTCTTTCATGCCGCTAGGTCCGCTCCATCGATAGTCCTCAGGCTTCGTAGCTTGGGAATATGCTAATAACTTTTCCATGCCACCGTGGAATAGTTCGTGCTGGTGATGAGGGTTGTCCATCAGCCCTGGCTGGCCCGCAACCTTTTCAATCTCGGGGAAAATAAACGACTCTTCAACCCAATGGTGATGTCCAACCATCTTACACCATGAGTGAACATAGAAGAGGAGGTCTTTTACGTCTTTCGCATTATATATCTTTTCCGTCGAGGTAGGGACGTATGGAGCCTGTTGGATAATAGTATTGAGTCCTCGTATAATGACATTGTGGGCATGTGCCATGTCAGAAGCAACATGGACGTAAGAATGGGAATCCTAGGGGCTAATTAGCTGACTATGTTTATTACTTCCTCATCGTTGTCGGCATTTACGCTAAGGTATGTTAAGGGAGTTGTAATCAGATGAAAGGGTTCATCCACCCAGGGCGCAGACGATGGTTTCGTGGTCATGCTGCGATATTGAATGACTGCTGGAAACCAAAACACTGAAGTGAAAGCGAAGTCAGAATTGGAGAAGTATAGTTTACGACTCTATTGAAAAATGATCGTTGTTGAAGTGAAAGAAACTGTCTTATCTGAGAAACTCACCCTGGTTTAGTATTGATTTAAAAGCTACTTGGTTTTTTTATATCCCTTCGACTGGCAACTAGTTTTGTATAGTACATCAGCCTCGCTGTCGCCCAATGACATCGCGAGGGAAACTAACTTAATACGCTATTGCCGTACTTACAATTGGCTTGGCAAACACCACACGAATTGTGTTACGTACATGAAGGTACTGTACATATTGCAAGGGATTGTCATTTCTCGTAATTTGTATATCTTCTTTATATAACTCACCAACAACTTACTGCTATCAGCTCCCTTGCTTCATATCTGTAGCATGTTACCTTATATAAAATTAGCCGTTCCTCATATAAACCTGTCTTTCCTTATGGGAATGATCACAATGAATTTTATATTAGACAGATTCTTATATAAAAAGAGTCAATCGTGTATAGACTTAATATGTTACATGTATGACAGTGGTCTTGACTGGCATATAACGATTTTAAGGATTAAATGGCAAATTTAAAGCTTCCAATACCTGGAAAATATTTTTATATAAATCCTTTAATTCAACTTCACATCCATGAATAATTACTATACGATACTAAATAAGCTTTAAATCAAATTTCGTAGTTAATATAACTAACTAAATATTCAAAATGTTCTCCTTATTTCAGTAACCGCGTATAAATACCTAGGTATATTAAAAACCCCTACAACCTCTTTTATAACCGTGATGGTCTCTTATGAGAATTATCAAAGTCCATATCATCTGTGCGTTGTTGGATGATATGGTTCTAAATCCAGAAATACCTTTTTGCAGCATCCGGTTAGACTAGATGGCCGGCGCAATGATGAAATAATATTTTGAACAGCTCCGCCTTGATCGACTTGCATTTGATATTTAGATTTCATACCAGGTAACTATCCTAGGGGGATCTAAGTGGCGGGGTCAGTTGAGATTACTATCTAGTGTACATAGTCGAAGCAAGGGGTGATTGATGTTACCTAGGCTTAGTGCGCAAACCATCCTCCGAGTGTTTAAATCAACAGTAATAGGTCAACTTCAATCCATGGACTTCTATAACTAGAAGTCACCGGCCGCACGGCACAAATACTCGGCAGTAAATCCAGCCATCAGAGTGCCACCGACGATCCAGAACTGGTCATGGAACCAAGCTCCACAGCTCTGCGGATTCCCTAGATCTACGCTATAGATATACCACGACATGGCGGCGGCAACGCCCCCCACGGTCCCGACGTAGTAGAGCGTGCCGCTACCCGTCCACACGCCGCATAGCGCGAGCAAAGCAACCATGGCCACAGCCAAACTGCTTGCCAGGAATTTAGTATTATTCCTGAAGCGCAAAGCCATGCTCTTGACACCAGCCTTCTCGTCGTCCTTGACGTCCTGGTGCGCGTAGATGGTGTCGTAGATGATAGTCCACAAGACGTTGGCGCCAAAAAGAGCCGAAGTCGGGGCGGCGTGTGCGCCGAACGGGTCTACGTCTAGTGCGGCGGCGCAGAAGAAAATAGCCCAGGCGAAGGGGAAACCGAGGAAGACCTGAGGGTAGTACGTCACGCGCTTCATGAGTGCGTAGACGAAAAACAGCACGACGCTAATTGCCATGTGCAGTTTACACCCCGACGGAAATAGGGTCAAGATGGGGTAGATGGCTGCCAGCAGCGCTAGAGTGAAGACATGCGCTGATGTAGTTGAGACAGCGCCGCGTGCCACGGGACGGTGGCGACAGCGCTCCACCTGTCTATCGAAGTCCTGATCGACGGTGTCGTTCCAACAGCAAGCAGCGCCACGCAGGAGGATATTCATGGGCAAGAATATCGCCGCTAGTTGTAGCACGACAAGGGGCTCAGGAGCAGCAGGCGCAATACAAGCAGCGTACACGAGTCCGATTAGGTAGGGGAAGTAGAAGGCATACAGGCCTGCCGGTCGCTCCAGACGCATAAGCTGGGCATAGGGGATCCATGACCGCGGAAGACATGACACGAATCCTGTTGTGGGATCTGAGTACGGCGGGAGGTCAGCGAAGAGGACGGCTTGTTTCTCCTTGGTGTGCCCGGGCACGAGAGGAGTCTTGGAGGAGGTAGTAGCCATAGACAACTTCTAAACCTTGGTCGAGTTTGATTTGTTGGGGCGGAAATAGTAGCTTTACGGATCCCCTAATAAGTTACTGGGGAGTGATAGCAAAGAAACGTTTATCACCCTCAGGTTTAGAAAAGCTAACATGCTATATATAAACCGAAAATGAAGAAACAAAAGACCGGCGATCGATAGAGTCACCGCTTTTGTCGATACGATCTAGTTTCGACGTAGTATAAGTCGTACAGATATGAACACCAGATCCTGCATCTTGTTGAGTAGCCAATGGAAGGGACCCTGCACGTATTTATCTTACATAGTACATTGCAGGCTCTGTAAAATATCATGACGAATGGAGCCGGTACTTGGGTAGGTAGGTAGCTAGTAGTGTTGGTATATGTTGACCATCGAAGGATCGGCGCTTACGGGTTGCATTGCATAATATCACCTTGGATTATGGCATATTACCGCCAGTTCGGACTATTCGAATCTATTGGCCGTAATAGGATAGAAGGGCTAGTCCTTTTGGACGGCTGCGTCTAACCGACTTTATGAATATCATCATGTGAGCACTACGTAGAATGTCCGAGGATCCATTATTATTATCTTTCCTATCATAGCATAGCTGCATGTTGGTTTTGTGGGGGAACGAAGAGGCCTATAGGAACTGGGTCGATGAGTACCTAGTTATGTTGCGTCCTCCTAAGTAAGATCTTAATAATTTTATCATTAATAATATACACACAAGACACCATCCCACATTGGGTACATGAAGCTATCATATTAGTTATTTCCTACTTGCTATTGCTACCATGGGTACTATTGGAATCCCATATACTGTCTACTACGGGCTTGGCCTCGTTATATGTGCCATCTGTCTAGTTCTTGTAGAGTCCTTGAGACCTGTTGACTCGAAACTCCTACTCCGCACAAAACGATGGAGAATGCCTCCGGGGCCGCCAGGCCAACCAATAGTAGGAAATCTATTGCAAATGTTTCAAGCTCGACGCAATCCTCGTGCTTTCAATGAATGGGTAAGTACGGCCATTGCTAGGCCATAACGATATCCTTCCTAAATATCTAATTATCTCGCTAGCTTGCTTCCTTGAGACCTTATGGCGAGATGGCGACGCTTCACATGGGCTCTCAGACGTGGGTTGTTCTCAACTCGGAACGCGTGGTCTCCGAGCTCATAGCTAAGCGCGGAAAGATCACAAATGAGAGGCCCCATATGCCTGTTGCTAGCGACCTCGTTAGCAATGGGAAACGTACCGTGATCAGACAAGAAGCAGAGTGGAAGGAGGGGCGCCGAGTGATGCACCAATTGCTCAGCGGTTCAAACCTCAAGGTATACGCGAGCATGCAAGAGCTCGAAAGCATTAACCTCCTTCGCCTCTATCTTAGACAGCCAGACCTATGGTTTGCTCATAACTTTCGCTATTCCACATCAGTGCTGTATAGGATCGTCATGGGCTATCCTCTGAACAAACCGAAGGCTCAGCTCGATGACTACCAGAGGGTAACGATAGAGTTCGTGAGGAGTATCAACCAGAGCTTTGTGGACTTCTTCCCATCCTTTAGCAAACTTCCTCGTTTCCTTCAGCCATGGCGAAAATACTGGGCTGATATGGGCGCATTTCACCGCCACGTCTTCCAAGAATGGTGGGAGCCCATTCGAACTGCCGTGGGCAATGGTTCTGCACCAGCGTCTTTTGTCCGCGACGTCCTCCTCCATCCAGATATCAAATTTGCCGGCAGTGATGAAGAGGCCATGTACCTGGCCACATCTGTCATGGCAGCAGGTGGAGATAACACCCGCATGAGCATCAACACGTTTGTCATGGCTATGATATCGCGGCCCGGGGCGCAGAAACGTGCACAGGCAGAAGTAGACCGGGTCTGCACGGACGGCAAGACGCTCAGACTTCCCCAGATGACAGATCTACCCGAGATGCCATATATAGCAGCAATGATCAAGGAAGTTCTACGCTGGCGACCGACTGTTCCGGTTATCCCACCCCACCAACTTACGGAGGATCTCGACTTTGACGGATATCGCATTCCTGCCGGCACCAGCTTCTTGATCAACTCAATCGCGCTATCCAATGAGTTTGAGGACCCGAACGAGTTCCAACCGGAAAGATGGATTGACGGCTCAGAATCGAACGCTACAGCTAACTTCTGGGGATTTGGCGGAGGTCGCCGAATATGCGTAGGCTGGAAAGTAGCTCAGCAAGCTCTGTTTCTTGCATTTGCCCGTTTGATATACTGTTTTGACTTGGCTCCAGTTCGTATACACCCCCCTTAGCACTAAAACCAAATACTGCCTGTTCTGTTCACTAACATGCAAACCTCCTAGAATAGTCCCGTCGACGATAGGAAACTTAACCACCAAACCGTCGACGAGCCGTTCCCTGTTAAAGCTACGATCCGCAGTGCCGAACATGCTTTGCTCATTGAGAAGGAAGCATCTAAATACGAGACGCAATTTTCTACATTTTAGTCGCTTCTCAATAGAACCTCATTAAGAGGTACCTAATATAGAATCAAGTTAGCAATCCTTAGATACCTCTTACCTTACCTAAGACTCTTGTGATTATGCATCTTCACCCCTCCCCTCCGCTTCAAAACAGCGCTCAAACACGCCCCAGTGATCTCCGCGGTAAGAAAAACACCCCATCGCCGCGATATAAAAATACCTACCTATTGCGCGTCAGCAGCGCTAACCGTATGATCTTTTTCTAAATGCGTACGTTGAGATGTAGTCGAAGACTGGATGTGGCTTGAAGGATTAAGTTGCATGAACCTCACATCAACCAACCAGGTTAGTTTGCGGAATGTTACCTACCTACCACATGTGATACCTGGGTAAGAGGTACTAGGGTATTTGCGCATAGGCCAGACCTACCTACCTCCCGACGACTCTGATGAAGAATTGATCTGCGTGTACCTGTCGCTTCCCGCCGTTGCTCGTGGGTACGATGTATAATATATACAGGATTGATATCCTCGAACGTGTATCCTAAGGAGGCTAAGTTAAGTCCAAAACAAAATATATTTTGGTTCACGTGTTAGCGAGTGGAGATATTTCGCAGTTTGAATGCAACAAAAACTTTTACAAGATTACGTGTTGATGTGATTTGAATTTTCTTGTCAGAGTTTGAATAAGTTTGCTAATCTTCCCCAAGTGTAAAGTATCCCAGCCAATAGGATATACCCGATTCTTGGCATATACCCAATGAGGAAGGCTGGTCTGGATTTGGGCCAATCAGAGTCTTGATGGACTAAAGGGGATTTCCTTTTATGTGCAGGTACTGAAGACTTCCTTGTTGGTATTGATCACCGCGAGGCCTTCTGTTGGTTGATTTATACGCTGTTCGGACCGTACCTAGGGCATATTTCCTTGCATCACTGCCTAATGTTCCTTGCAGCCGCATCCCGTTCCTCGTACCAAACAACACGTTTTAATGGATGGTAAGGGTTTTTTGTTAGGTATATGCAGGTCATCAATATTGTCAGAACTTGACTTACAAACGGAAGAAAGGACATTTACCAAGCTAAACAATATTTCGCTTAACCCGACTTTTGGAGATATTTCTTAACCTTCATTACTTGGGCTGGGAAAAACATGTGGATGTGAATTTAACTTATGCAAGCATCTTTTATGTAAACTTGTAGTATTACATAGTGAGTCCTTGGTATAGATTCGAAGATCTAAAGCCGTGGAAATACCCCTTAACTAGTTGCTGCTCCTTCTATGTAGCTGTCCTCCAATTAATACCGCTATATTTACATTGTTTATCCCACCTAGTAGGCTATAAGGAATTACTCAGAACCTTAGGTGTCTTACTAAATAACCAGCCAAGTATTGCAGTCAATTTAAAAATGGTTTCAAACGGTCATATTAAATCTATGCCTTAGGTACCTTACTTCAATTTGAGTAAATGCTGTCGTTTGAATAGAGTTGATCGATGCCCTATGTGCAGGAGAAATGCACCTGTGAGCCCAACCATGGTAGACATCATTGCACAAGTAGATAATATACTTGCCACCGCGATCTCGGCCGGTATTACTGATGTATCACCTTATCCTTCGATCGGGCCACTATTGTTCAGCTATAGGCAGCCCCTTTTCTACCTCCGAGTTTTCATAGCGTTGTCACATCTAGCTCCGCTTCAACCAAACTCTCCTGACCAGATTCATAGCTGTAGATCTTGACAATATTGAACCCTGCTTTCTTCAGTAACTCGGTCAAGTGTGCTTCAGTCCGCTCCTGTATAGCAGCAAGCACAAACATTAGCTGATCCATGGACGTGATCGGCCACGTGGGGTTCTGGCGAGGCACCACGATCTCGTTGAGAAGTAATCTAGAGTAACCCGGCTTCATAGCAGGTTTTAACTGCTGTAAGATCTTTATGCAGTCATCGTCTCCCCAATTATGAAGAATAGAGTGGAGATAATACGCACGGGCGTGCTCGATCGGTTGGGCAGTGAAGAAATCGTGGGAGACCGCTTCAAAGCTGTCATCGGAAATGGTGGAGATGACTGCCGGCCGATCCTGCAAGATAAGCTTGCCGGGAATTTGGGGATATTTCGCCTTCAACTCATGCAAGTCATGGCCCTTACCCCCACCAACGTCCACGAGGAAAACATCGCTGTAGTCAGAGTTGAAACCCTCGATGAGCCGATCAGACACGGGATAAAATCCGGGGTCAACCCATGATGGCTTTCCGAACCTGTAAGCTGACATGTAGTTATTGAACGCCTGGAGGTAGGGGGGAGTTTTGTCCAACCAAGCGAAGGCTGATAACTCTGTTTTATGTGCTGCTTGAAATGGTCCATCTGTTACACTTATTGGTAGTGTATAGCCGGTGTTCTTGAGATACTCGGGTAAGTGGCGAAACGATACGCCGGCAACATCGTAGCTATAGAAAATACTTAGAATACGGTGAATGGTACAAACGGCTATTCACCATGAAGCAAAAAAGGTTAATGTGGTATTTGAGTGTTACTAACAGGAATAGAATGCCATCCCTATATCTAGACTCTGAAAGAGCTTCGGCTAATGATGTAGCAGAGTACGTATTCTCACTTTTCTCACTGACTACATTCATAGCAGCAAGATGCCTCATTGTCCGTGCTAATAAGTTGTTCAGAGTTAGCTGTTTTTGTTCCTTACATGGGATGATACGGCCTGGTTTACAAATTAAGACTTCGTCTGCACTACACTTTGCTGCGAGCTCCTTGGCAGTAATGCCAGCTTCGCCACTTTGTTTCAAGTGTTCGAATATCTTGAGATCAATTGCAGTGCGGCAATTGGCCGCTCTAGCTGGCTAGGACTTAGATTAGTAACGCTCGACCTGGTTCTAGACAAAATGTACAAGGGAAAAAAATAAGCATTATCCCGAACTTACTTCAGCCCATCCCATTCGCATTATCGCCTCGCTAGGCAATTCTAAACTTGAAATTAGATCATAACTAAGACTCATGAGCTTCTCGCGGGCTCCTGGGGTCTTCGATTTGTACGATGCGCCAGCTGTTTGAAGCTGGGAGAGGATAGCCTCAACCTGGGACGTATCTTGAGTCATGTTCATTATGGTGAAATATGATAAGTCCCGTTATTGATGACAAAATGCATATTATGTGGTGATATAGAAATTATCTATTACGTATAACGGGCCAACAAGGTTACACAAGAGTTCCAGCCCCCATTAAAGAAACCCCGAAAAGCGCTGCATACCTTATGTAGGTTCCAATAGTACCAAGACAGGGACGGGTTGCACCTGTTGGTGTGATGCTATGCATGTTAGAATATGATAAACGTTTTAGCCACAGTAACTAGGGAAAGGGTTCGCGAAGGATCGATGTCACCTTCATCTTTATGCATGTCAGATATAATGTTCTACATAACTACCTGATATTCATAAACGGTTACTCGATTTTTATAACTATAGATGCACATGAGACGTAGTATAAGATAACGCCGAAGGATAATCGGCTTAAAGCTTACCTAGGTTACTACGGTATTTAAGAAGTATCCACTCTAAAAGAATCCATGAATTCTTGGCTATTATTGGCGTAGCAGTTAAGCTGACAGGGTGAGCCTGGCCCCTCCACGTAAGCTTGTTTTCACGTTCTTATTCATCTTTCTCTTTAGTTTCTCGGCCTGTGTATTGAGTAGAGAAGTCGCTGCTGTAGTAGAATAGACACATGTTTATAATACCAAATGGTAACTGTTGGGTATAGTGTTCATTAATCTGTGCACCGGGTATCCTATATTTACATGTGTGCTAATATTTTACATATGTGCTTATCAATTACAAGGGGAACCCTCCTCCTGCTCGGAATCTGCCTCCAATCACATAGCCCTAAATAGCTAAATAGCTTCGCCCCAATGTCTTGGCATTTTGATTCGAGCAGTCATCGGGTCTCCCAACTTCCAACTTCCAAATCATAACTCTTTAATCCGCTATCCGAACCCAATCCCCGTTTCTAAGCTCATGTCGAGTAAGCTCGATCTCGTCGGTGATATGAACCCCGGGGCCACTGATGATACCGGCTCTATTGGCCGATATGTTGGCACTATGGGGGTGAGATGATATATGACCTTTACTATTACGACCAGATTGCTGGGAACTTTTCATCGTAGTGCCCGAAATGTAGCGCCGGTAAAGAGGTCCATACGTTGGAATCGAGGCTGCTAGAATCCCAACCAGGAGCTCAGTAGCAGATACGAACCCCGGAGGGACGTTGTCCCCTTAAGAAGAATTAGACATGAACGATTTAAGATGATTTGACGTTAAACTTACAGCTAACATCCGACGTTGAGCTGACGACGAGACTATACGCCAACCTGATAATACTGACGATGCAAGCACTATGATAGAGACAGGGAATTAGAACAATTGTATCGGAAGGGTGCATGAAGCAAACAAGAGTATCTCACCTGCTACCCGCGGCAAATATGAAAACCAACTGGGTCCTTTTTTGCTTCGAGACCTTGAGTCGCAAGATCATAGGGATAGGTAGCGCAAGAATGACAAAGTCGGTTATAACGTTGATTACGCCAGCAATAAGTACCAGCAAGCCGTAGTTGATACAAAATCCGCCTGGGATAGTCGTGTCCCAAGCAAATTCGATTGGCGTGCACTGAAATATCGATACAACTGCTGATGAGATGAACCAAGCGGCGACGAATGCTGCAATCATCCATATATAGATATGAAAGCGTCTGGAAGCAAATATTGCGCCATAGAAACTCAAGATGCTGAATTTTATGAAGCCAATAGCGAAATAGTAAAAGACTTCGAGAATGATCCCCCACTGAAATAAGTTAGTTGATTCGGATACTAAATAGGTAAATAGGTAAGTAGGTACCTATTCATCCAAGACTTACAATCCGGAGATTTCTCGCGTCCGTGACGAAGATGATGTGTTTCCCCAATCCATATACTGCTGATAGCGAAAAGCTGACAAGGGCGGCGATAAAACAGACCTTTAGTATAATACGGAGTCAGTTTGCCAGAGTTACTGAAGTTAAGCCCTTTGGAAAAGATGGGGTTATACGTACCCAGGCTACCATGAGTAGCCAGTCACTCGTGTTTAATACTATTCGACCGTGGGCGACACGTCGTGCCCAGATCCTGATGAGTACAACGACAACAGATGCGACTCCTGTTGCAATACTGCATGCGTATATGTTAGGCACAAGCGTGTCATCTTCATGCGCCAACATATACGCTATCTCCTCCGGCGTTAATGGGTTCGCCATTGTCGAAGAGAAAGACGAAGTTAAGCGACCTTTAAGTCTTGTTGGCGACGATATTGAAGTAAGACAATTTCTTCATGATAAATTGCTCGGGGACGGGATGGTTACAAAAGAAGAGTTCTCGAAAAGAACACAGAGGACTGGACTAGACCAGTGAGATCAGCTTATGGCTAGCTGAGTGACATAACGGGATGGTATCACAGCCAGGTTTCATGCCGCATGGCAAGGCAGGGTTATTTAGGTGAGAAGCCATATTCAATAAAGTGAATTTAGCCATGTAACGGATTTTACAATGTAACCCAAGTATAATCCTTCGTATCCATAACCATTGTTGGTGTTGTTGGAGTGGATAAAATAAAATAAATAATAAGCCGAATAAGGTAATACTTGCTGGTGCGTATAAGTGGCATGTAAAAAAAGTGGCATGTGAAGTAACTTTTACACTTTTGAGCTTCCATTTACAACCAATCGTGTGTTTCATGCAACTTGTATTCCAACAGCCCCCTTTGTCTCTACATATACGGGTAACTTGTGTAACTAGCTAAGGTAAGAAGCACGTAAGGACTTAAAAGTCCTTAGCTCCGTATTCCATTCTTAAAATCCTCGATCCTACCCGCAACTTTTAATGTTTGATCTATCTTATAACTACTAGTCTTATAACTATCACCAGGTGCGGAATCAGTGGTTAAGACGTGAAGACGATCATTGCTTCATATTACCTAAGGGCATTTCCCCTCCCTCTAATCCTAGGTACCTTATCTATTATTAGGGATACTTCCAAATCACTTCTAACAAATCGCAAGGCTCGCTATGGGGTTATACACTCAACTTCCTGATGCCATCCAAGAGGTGGATGTAATCATTGCGGGAGGTACGATGAAGCCATTCTCTATTAATAATAATAATAAACTTAAGCTAATTGGTAAATATAGGTGGTACTGCTGGCTGTATAATTGCGTCCAGACTTGCTGATGCGGACCCGAATTTGAGTGTCTTGGTCATTGAAGGCGGACCAAACAACTACAATGAGCCTCTTATCGTGCACCCGGCCTTTTTCTTTAGCAACTTAGCACCTGGCACAAAAACTATCGCATTCAAAGTGGGCAATAAGTCAGAGCATCTCGCCAACCGAGAGCTTGTAGTCCCTACCGCCAACGTCCTTGGTGGGGGTTCTTCTGTGAACTTCTCACTATACAGTCGAGCCCAGCGAACTGACCTCGATGCCTGGCAAACGCCAGGATGGTCTGCAGACGAACTGTTGCCGTACATGAAAAAGGTATGTTTATCCATCTCCCTCGACTTTTCCAGATACTAAATGTTGCAGATTGAAACATATCATGGCGCAGATTCGAAAGGCCTACATGGAACCGACGGTCCAATCATCGTTTCCAGTGGCTCGTATCGTGCTACTCGAATCGAAGATGACTTTCTTAACGCACTCAAGACAGTAGGCTACCCTGAAGTTGAGGACATGAATGATCTAGACAGCTGCAACGGTGCGCAGCGCGCTATGCGTTACGTAGCCCCAGACGGATTGAGACAAGACGTGGCCCATTCATACCTTCACCCCAGGCTTAGGGATGGGAAGCATCCAAACCTTCACGTTCTCGTCGAGTCTAAAGTAATACGTCTTGTACTTGACAACAACCGCGCCGTCGGCGTCGTCTACAGGCCCAACTCCGCCTCGTCTGCCGCCGAAGATCGAACTGTCAAAGCCAAGAAACAGGTCATCCTCTCTGCTGGAGCGTTTGGAACTCCAGCCATACTAGAAAGATCCGGTGTTGGCAATCCGGAAATATTAAAGAAGGCCGGTGTGCAACCCGTTGTGGATCTCCCTGGTGTCGGCCACGGATATGAAGATCACCATATTATCGGATACCCGTACCGGTCGAGCCTAAACCCGGACGAGTCTCACGATTCGATTAACGGAGGCCGCTTCAATATGGATGACCCCGAGACCCGCAAACTTCTAGGTTGGAATGCCGCGGATATCACTTGCAAGCTTCGACCGACGGAGAGCGACGTTGCCGCTTTAGGTCTCGAGTTCCAAAAGGTATGGGAGAAGGAATGGAAGCACAATGCGAACAAGCCCATGGCAGTCATGGCAGCCTATAACGCGTAAGACAACCCCCCTCCCCTGATCTATGGTTTCGTAGCTATAGTTCTAACAGAGATAACTACCTAGCTTCCCCGGAGTACCCATCGGCCTCCCCATCGCACAGTACTTCGGCCACAACATATTCTCTCCCTACCCCGCCTCCCGCGGCCACGTCCACATCACCGGCCCGGATCTAGACGACAAGCTAGACTTCGAGTCGGGCTTTTTCGCAGACGCAGGTGGCAACGACATCAAGAAGTGCCGGTGGGCATACAAAGTCCAGCGGGAGATCGCGCGCCGCAGAACCGTATACCGGGGAGAAGTACCCCGCGGACACCCCGCGTTCGCCGCCGACTCCAAAGCGGCCTGCATCGAGACGGAGGAGCCGCTGCCAGCACCACTCGCCAACATCGAGTACACGCCCGAAGACGACGCCGTCATCGACCAGTTCTTACGTGAGAATGTCCAGACGACGTGGCACTCGCTCGGCACGTGCAAGTTGGGCAAGCGCGAAAACTTGGGCGTTGTAGATGCGGACCTGAATGTGTATGGTGTCGAGGCGCTGAAGATCGCTGATCTTAGTATTATGCCTCATAATATTGGAGCGCATGCTGCTAACATGGCTATGGTGATCGGCGAGAAGACTGCGGACACCATTGTTCGTGAGCTAGGACTTGCGCATTGATAGGGGCGGCTTACGATATGCGCTTAGGTAGATAGTTGCTGCTTCTAATCAATGCCTGCGTGATGATGTATCTACTGTCCTGACTATAGTTGCGCAATACTTCAATGTTGCTTCAATATCGGATATTAAAATCCTAGTGCTACCTTTGTGTTGCTTTGCATAATTGACCTGACATCCCGACTCCTTTGCCGAGGACAACTGCCATGAAACCCCAACGGATACTTCCGAGCATGTGGAAGTTAAAGGGGTTTGAATATGTACCTAGGTAGGTTTTAGGGGTCTCTATAACATGTGTCTGTACTCCTCCAACCTCTCAGGTTAAATCTTTGGGGGATATGTAAGTGAGATTATCTCTGACTTCGATAGTGTGCTTATATACATACATACCTACATACAGTTCTTATTCGCTCATAACTAACCAGACCATCTCATAAGTTTGCTACGATGATATGTTGTATCTGTATTCTCATCCCAGGACTAGCGGTGTGATAACCATTATTCGATCGAACGTCTCAACTCCTCAGCCGACGACATCATCATCATGTACAACCGAAATACCCAACGCAACCACATCATTCGTCGAGTTAGTTGCCTTCTAGAAAATTGCACCGTTGCATTGTACCGCTTAACTCGATATCCCGCTGCTCTGCCGTGCAACCACACCCCGCAGATCCATCAGCCAATAGGGGTGTCTCTTCGAGAGACGGCGGGCTTAGGTGAGTGCGGTGTTGTATCGAAGGATCAATAATACTATGGAAATGCATGGTGTGTGTGGTCATGTTATATGCAACCCGAACCAACCGATTCCTGCAGAATATTCGATGTTTTCTACCTAGACGGAAGTGTATTTATGTACCTAATCTAATGACTAACGTAAGGGATGATTGCAGAGAAAACCGCTTCTTGCATTTATAAAATTACCTCATCTAGGGCTCGATTGGCAGACAGTTAAAGCTGTTGGCTTCACATGTTCCATATTTTTCAACGGCGCCATGATAGCCGATGAGTCCTACATTAGGTACCTACTCAGCTGTACATAAGAATATTAACAAGAGGGAAAAGATCAGCTAGGACACGCGTGTACTTTATCGATGCCACCGACGAACCCACTTCTCCATGTCCTGACGGCCGATGCTGACGCTCTGTTGTAACACGACGCTCGCAGAGACGGCATTCGCCATTTCAAACTGGGGAAATTCTTTTCCCGCAAGCTGCTCTTCGTAGAAGTCAAGTAGTCCCAATGCTGGATTAACACCATCCGGGTCCTGTCCAGCCTGTAGGGCTTCGAGATTGTTGGCGGATTCGCGAAGTCTTCTCAGCCATTCCTCGCGGGAGACGACAGCCAGTGGGGCTTTGCTGACGTTCTCACGTTGATCTACACCTAACGTAAGATCCTTAGAGACTTCTAAAATAGCAGGGAGGAGGTTGGACCAGCTTGTGAGCTTTGGATTCATCAAGTGATAGACCTGGGGACGACTTGGTTGGTCGCGGTTTGAAGTAGCCCCTTTGAGTAGAATTTCGATAATGACGTCTGCAAGTATATCGACTGGAATCCAATCTACATCTTCTGTATCCGTACCATACGCGCCCAATGAATCGGGGATGGCGCCCAGGTGCATAGAACCGGAAATGAGGCGCGGAATCCATTCCTTAGGATTCCATCGCCCTGGACTGCGAGTCGCACCGCATACTTGACCGATGCGCGCCACCATGACAGGTATATGTAGCTTTTCAGCAGCATGATATAACACGCGCTCGGCTACATACTTGCTTTCGCCGTAGCCAGCCGCAGCCGGGACTGATAAATCATTGAAGATCTCTTCGGGGACCGGTTTGCCAGAGCTGAGAGCTAAATCCATGACGGCGCTGATAGAAGACAGGAACATAATTGCCGGGCGATGAGAGCTTTGAAAAGAGAACTTGCACAAGTTTTCAACGCCTGCGAGGTGCTTCGCGAACGCTGGCAAAGGAAGATTAAAGTCGACAGCCCAGGCATTGTGGATAATGAGCGTAACTGACGAAGACAGGGCTTTGAAGAGCTCTGGGTCGAGATTGAACGTATCATGGGATAGGTCTGCTTCGATGAAATGAACAGTCTTTGGGAATGTTGTGGGTAGTTGAGGGTCGACTTGTCCGTTGTTGCTGCGCTGCCTTGCGGCAGAGTCGGGACCACGGTTTAGACAGTAGATAGTACCGATGTGCTCATTCTCCATAAGCGCCCTAAGAATGTACGCCCCTATAGAGCCTGTAGTTCCCGTTACAATGCAGACATTTGAAGTAGCTTTACCTTGCTCCCTGCCTGCTGTCTGGGACTGGATCTCGGCTAGTTCGTCGATACGGCGCGTGAACAACGTCAGAGTTTCTTCGAGGCTTGACCTGCGCGTATCTTGCTCATTTGAAGACTGCTCATGTCCTTTAGCTGCTTTCTGGATTGCTTTGGCAAGCCTAATAGGCGTAGGATTCGAGTAGATCGTGATAGGCTTTAAATCTTCCACGTTGGTTTTCGACCTAAGATTCCGACACAGTCGCAAGATCTGAAGTGAATCAATCCCACGAGCTAGTAAGTCGTCATTTACCCCTATTTTCTGAAGCGTTGTTGATTCTTCACAGGCTGTTCGGACCGCAGTGAGTAGGGCCTCCAAGTCATCTAGGTCGACTTGGTTCTCCGCGTTGGTAGAAGACTCGACGCCAGTAGATTCGACTTCTTTGTACAATTTGTTTATTTCTTCGGCGTATCTGTCTAGCGTAGCTTTTCTCATAACAGTGCCCTTAGGGGTCCGTAGGAATGGCTTCTCTGGCGTCGAAAATAGAATATGAGATGTCGCTATTCTAGCGTGTGTCGGTGCTTCCTGGTTGGCTTGTTCTATGGTCGGCCAGAGCTTCTTGACCCAGTCTTCTATATCTTCGGATGACAGTGTGCTTTTATCCTTAAGCTCTATAAGGACTCCGGCCTCAAATCGTTGATTTCCGAATACTACCGCTCCTTCGATATCCAGGTGCTTGCTCAGATGGTTCTCAAATGAAACAGGATTTGTCTTCTCGCCGTTGAGAAAGACAATAATGTCATCGGCTCGTGATGCGTGTGCCCACATATCAGGTCTCGTAGGATGTTTCTTGAACAAATCACCGGTATTGAACTTCTCTAGCTCTGGAAATCTGTCAAAGACTGGCTGATAGGGAAGGGTGGACACCGATTTCTCTAGGACAAGTTCGAAGCTATCCTCAGTTCGGGGCTCAAGCACGGCGTTGATTTTAGGATGAAATGCCATATATTCCCAGTCATTAGCTGTGTCAAAGTCTTCCGGGTATATAATTGGAAGCCCTGCGGTTTCACTCGATCCCAAGAAAGTCACCAGTCGGATCTTCTTTGCAATGATGTCTCCTAGCATCTTTGGAAGAGCACCTCCAGCAAATACAATCATCTTCAGTCTAGAGGCAACCTGGTCCAGCATTGTCTCATCTTTGGCAAGCGCTTCTAAAGTAAAAGGAGCCGTCATTACCCAATCAGCTTCCACATTACGTGAAATGGCAAGGAGGCTCTCAACAGAAGGAGGACCTAGCCATGATGGCAGGATCACAACACAGCGGTTATAAATGGCGTTAATGATGGCAAGCTGGACACCAGCAGGGTGGAAGAGAGGAAGCAAGAGGATGTGAGTGTTGTGACCCAAATGAGATTGTAATAGCGTATAACCATTCGGGGGCGAGAGGGATAAGGTCCTGGCTGTCCGGAGGATAAATTCGTGCGTGTATATGCACGGTTTGGGAATCCCAGTAGTACCAGAAGTATGACAGACGAATGATCCATCCCTTTTAGCTTTTTCCAGTGTTGTTTGGTAGAGATATGGCTCATAAGTATGGTTAAGGAGATGCTCAATTTCTCCCATCTTTAACAGCCGCATCTCCCTCTTCTGTAATATTTCATCTACAGAGGAAGGGACCGGCCCGGATACGATGATCTCGCTGCATTTTAGATTCTCTAGTAGAGACAAATGAGCCGCAACAGTGTTACGAGGGCTGGTGAGGAATATCTACAAATATATTAGCATCGAAACAAGATTTTTTAAGTGTTGTGGTAAATCTAGCCTTATATCCCGCCTTTATAGCACCTACGAAGGCGAAGACATAACGAAAGTCATTAGGCCCGATATACGCGATGGTAGGAGTGCGCTCCGGATCCCCGCGTCCAATTTCGCTCTCTAGCCATTGAGCAACTCCATTTATAGCATTGGCTAATTGGCGATACGTGACATCTTTAAACCCGGCATCGTAGTTTGACGGATCAGCTGGATATTTCCCATAGAGCGATTCCGGCTCCGTTCCAGCAATTTCGTCTATAACGTCAGGCAGAAGTTTGGGATCCTCTTGGTGAGCCATCGTTGATCTTGTTTCTTCTTTGTTCAGGTTCAAGTGGGGGAAATGCAAATAGTGAAATAAGTATATCTCGAATTTGAAAACATGTCTCAAAGAACAGGGTTAATGCCGATATGATATGCAGTCAGCATCTTTCTTCCAATCCTCCCTTTCCTCCCGGATCATATCATATACCGAATCCGGGCATAAAAGTATACACCTGCACCTAACCGCCAAACACATACGTACACATACTCCAAATTACACGATAAATCAGATGCTAGCAGTGCCACTGAATCTGCCACTGAATCCTTCTTGTGCACCCATACATCCATAATAAGTATAGTTATTTTCAGTTAAGCCACGCATCACACTGCTACGATGCTCTTTTCCTCTCCCTTCACAATACAAGGCCGATGTCTCTCCATGAGATGTTATAGTAGGTGTGATCAGCCCCTACTTTTCGCATCGCGATGTCAAACCCGGATAATTCAGGTCCTCTATTCGAGCGTATAAATATCGCTTTCTTCACAATAGCGGGCACTTCCTTTGCATTGAGGGTTTATGTACGCGCTATTCTGATAAATGCATTTGGAAAAGATGATTATTGGATGACAGCTGCAATGGTGCGTCCTCCAACAAGTCATGAAGAATGGCCATAAACAGATAAGACGTTTCTAAACTGAAAAGCAACAGGCGGCGTATATAGCCAATACCACAATCGCCATTCTGAGTGTGAAGTATGGCGTGGGGCAGCATATATGGCTTATAAAGCCAGAAGATATCACGATGGCCTTGAAGGTTAATAAAGATACCTATCTAATGTTCCGAATAACTAGGCACTGACGACTAAATAGCTCACGTATGCAAGCGAGATAACATACGGAACGACGATGATACTTACAAAAATGTCCATCGCAGCGTTTCTATTGCGAGTGACGCCGCATAAAATCCACCGACATATCATATATACTGCCGCAGCACTAACCTGCGCTGCCGGCTTGACTTTAGTCTTCATCGTCATGTTCCAATGTAAACCAGTGTCACTATTCTGGTATAGAGATCAGCCCGGATCATGTTTGCCGATAGGCGCAATTACTACCAGTCTATACTGTTATAGCGCTTTCGCTATCTTAACCGATTTCACCTTTACATTGCTACCATTATATCTCATCTGGAAACTTCAAATGGACATGAAATCCAAGATAGTCCTCGGCCCGGTCATGTGTATGGCATTCATGTGAGTATACGAGACGCAACACTCTAGAATCATCGTTAACGATAGAAAGGGCAAGCCTTGCCGTTATCATTCGGCTTCCTTACGTTAGCGAATTCAAGAAAGACGATGTTCTATGTAAGTTCACGTTACCAATATCTTGAACACGCTGCTAACTTGAGACAGACGCCACTATTGATTTTGCTATATGGTCAGCAGTTGAGCAAAGTCTGGCAATCACAGCGGGCAGTTTAGCTACGCTTCGTCCGTTGCTCCGTAGGGTATCGAGTCGGTTCAAGTCTTTAAGAGCGTCGTTGTGGAATAGTGCAGATAGCACAACTGCCCATAGCAATGACTCTGCCACGGCGCAACTCACTACACACCGACCGGATGAGTTCAAACTTCAAACTCGAAATCCATAACTTGATCAACTGTCTTCTTCCTCCGGGTAGTTTCGCGATTCATATTCGTGGTCCCATACTTATCAAAGCAATAGTTAAACCGAATAGACGCTGATCTTCTGTCACCAAAAATGTGACAATGTTGATACGGGCTTCGTAGGACTAAAAAAGTCAGGAACAAGCCATTGTGACGATAGAAACATATCGTCGATCGCACGATTATGCCTAATGCGGTACGGAGAGCAGACTGCGTCAAGCGTCATAACTTCCTACATGATTGTAGTATTTGGAGGCGAAGTCAAGTAACGTTGGATTAGGGTAACTGGATATCCGTATTACTTATTGCATTAAATTATTAATAGTGTGAGAAACAGTCTTAATCGCGGCCGTGCAAAATGATCCCGTACACACGGATCCAGGGGGGCATTCAATGCGGATGTTAGATCCTTTCTAATGCTGACAAGGTCCCTGGTCTTGAATACCTAACGCCGAACAACCCGGGAGCATATATCGCATTAACACGTAAGCGGATATTAAAAAAAGATGACGGAGAATATCATTTGCGGATGATGCCCTTTTTTTTTTTCCCACGCCAACATCTGCCACAACAAACGCGACGTATTCTTCACCAATCATCGTCACACACGGGCCTACAACATCGGGTCTTCGTCGGTGTGGCTTTGGCTAATTTGGACACACGGTTGGCGTCTACCATCCCATGCTATCCCTTTCCAATGAACGCGCTTAACGCGACTGTAAGGGTACGTAAAGCGGTGAGGCTTAGACTTTCATGCTTCCCAATAAGCTCCCGTCATGCTGCTGCTACGATGGACGGGTACGTACGAGCGAACATCGGCCCGGTACATGCTTGAATCCGGGGATGTAAGAATCGTAACGGGCTTTTGCCGGCCTCTCGGGGACAGGGGGAAATTCCGGCGCCTATATTACCAAACGGCGGCTCGGACCCCATCATCCTGCATGGCATACAGCTGGGCATGGGCGGGCGAATATCCACACTACATACCACGCCATGCCATGCCATGCCATGCTATGCCATGAATGGTGACATGGATGATCTTACCTCGCAGGATTTCGCCTAGAATAAAGATCTTACTCTAGAAGCTATGGAGCCATTCTTTGCTAGGATAGCCGATTAACTAAGCCCAAGATGCTCGTCGCCGAGACGTCCAACCTAAGTTAACCGCGAAATGCCACGGGATTGGTGGAGAGAGAGGTATTTATGAACTTCATAGGATCTAATGAATCGTGATGAATACGAACTTAAACAACGGTAAATGTTTCTCGAAATAGAGTCTTAGTCAATATGATGTACTTCATATAGGACTAAAACAAAGCTTAATCTAGAAATTCCCCGACTTATTTTAGAAATGGGCTCCCTCTTTTGAGCACCTAGAAGGGATATGTGGTATATCTGGGTTATAGACACACCATAGAAACCCTTGGCTAGTGTAATTGGTAATTGTAAGATACATTGCTAAACTAAGTAACTAATGAGAGATACGATTAGGATTGCATATGAACCCAAGATGGAAGTTGTAATGAGAGGTAGTAGACATATTACTCCACTCAGTACACCATCATCATCGTCCTTGTCGACGTTGGTACAATGTAGTACAAACACACTTCTTCTGGTCTACTTAGGTAGCTACAATCTCAGACTCGTTGGCTAAGAGGTACCTATCGAGTTTAATCTCACCGTCATTTCAACCCTAGTGCAGGTTTCAACATGAGATAAAACACCGATGCTGCATATTTGTGGGTTAACTATACAATAGTGCGGAATACGTATCTGTGAATAGCCTATTCCATCAACCAGTTTGAGGTTGCCCCTTTTGCATTCTGGCGCCAGTTCGCCAGCTTCACTGTCGTGTATCAACGTAATAGGAAGCAGTACCGGGGCACTTCCCCGTAATCAGGAGTAAGGAATGCAGTTGGATACTCTAATGTTGTATGGGCAGTCCAATTATGTTCACTGAAGCCCTAAACACACCATACCCAATTACAAAGGAGGCATCCAACTGCAACTGCCGGTCAGGGGAATACCTAGCAACGGGACGCAACCAAATCCCATACGGATAGCATTAGCCTTCAGGACAAGCGGTAACCAAAGGCCTTGGCAATACTAGTTCGCCCCTATTGTCCTTGACTACAACGAAAAAGATTTAGATTGTATGAAGCCATATCCATCCGACCGATGACAAAGGCCGAGGAGACTCCCGCGGCTGAGCGTGCTGTATGTATGTAGGAATGCCCGATTCGACAAGGCAAGCCTTATGACCTGCCATGCCATGCCATGCCCAGCTCTACCCCAGGTTTTAGGGAAAAGAAGGGTCCTTCCCGAATCACGTCCATCTACTCGGGATTTGTCTGTATGTATAAAGCGGTGAGAGGTGATACAAAATTCGCCATCGTGACACTTCTGTCTGACAGTCATGATATTCTTACCTCAGCTGGGTGCACAAAAAACGCGAGCCCGGGAAGAGATCGAATATCATAATGAATCATGAAATCTTGATTAAGAAAAATTTTGCATATTTCGATCGACACGGTATGCTCGACACGTGTAGATCCATGGTTCTAGGATAAGTAGTAGTATAATATACCTTAGCAAGTACATACCTTTATAGTAGGCTATCTCAAATAGACGCCAAGAGTACCTCCGTTAGACATCGGTGGTTATCGTACCGAAGGATACAACGCTCCAGTAGATATATTGTCACGTCGTATGTGCGGTGCGGTATGAATGGTATCGACGCGTTAGTAAGGGCCTAGTAGCTGGAATAACATTGCATGTCTCCTGACCAGCTTGCCCTGCCGGGCGACGGTATTATTGGTTTCACGACCAACTCAGCTCTTCTGCATGAATGCGATAATAGTAGGAAATTTAAGGATTGCCAGCTGTGATCGAGAAGGCAATATTCAGAAGCAACTAGCCGTGGCCAGATCGGCCACCGGGTGTTGCGAAATGCTGGACGACCACCCTAATTTTCCCCTTTCCTTGTTTTCTGGGCCTAAGGAGGCAATGTATTGAGGAAATTTCACCTGGTACAGCATGCTAGCTTCGTCATCGCGGCCAGCCAGGAATCATATTGCCGTCGTAGGACTAAAAAGTATTATGCCAGGCACATCTTTTTTTTTCTCTCCGGTGACAGTGTAGTTCAATCAAGAATGCTTGACTAATTGTAACGTTTACCAGACGATTAAGAGGCTCAAGAAATTCCGAAGCAAAAAAAAAACAACTAAATGTTTAAAGTACCGGAGATGTCCGTTTATGCGGGACTGGTAATCCGAATTGTATCTGCTAGAAGGGTCCTTCTGCGAAGCTATCGTGACTACTGTCGAAATACGTCGGAGTGATACCCTTGTACTAGCCTCCGAAAGACTGGAAAAGCCTTAACTATATGGGGAACTTGGGCCCTATAAGGCACTAATATGTTAATATTTTATGTACATGCCCAGTGCCGGCCCCAGGTAATTCCTGCTTATTGATGGAGATGTCAGCCCTTTGGTGTGGGTTTTAAACCTTGATATTCCCACTTAGTCTCAAACTATACTAATCCTACCGGGGACTAAACTACTTTTGGTATTAATGCGTGGTTATTATGTATAATAGTATGTAACTTCAGGGCTATTATGCATGACATACCCAAGTACCTTGTAAATTTGGATTTGTTGTCATATCTTTCTCCTAGCCTATTTAAGACGTATTTTGACTTAGTAACGTCACTTGACTTTTACTGGTGGAATAATGAGTTAAAGGTATGAAAAAAAGTAGTTGAAGAAGCTGTTGAGTTAAACGTTTTAAGATGAACGGGTCCCGCGGATCTAAAAGGTAGATTTCCGTTCCATGGGAAGCGAATATGGCGTTCTCTCCTCCAATTGAAAATCGAATATAAAACTCCCTCCTAAGGTACTATCAATATCAGATGCCATGAATGTGGTAGACATGCAGGTGAAGTGGAGGATGATTGAATTATTAGGTGGTTCCAGTGGTTCCAGTGGTTCCAGGCTTGAGTCCACTACATAGTACACTGGGTGGTGCCGTGTAAAGACCCAAGCGTTTTTTGGTTCCGAAATGGGTTTAAAGCCGTGGTGGGAATAGTAAGGGACCAGACCAGTGGCCAGCAACAGAACCACAGTAGAAAAATTAAAGGAAAAAGGAAAATGAGGATACCCGTAGATTGGTGACGCTAAAAGTAGGTAAATGTATCTAAGTATATGCACTATACATACCTATACATATGTAGGCTGATATAGGCGAATCTAAATATAGTCATGCCGAGGTCAACTAGCGAATCGGCTGCTTGCGCTGGTGTCGTCATGGCAGGTCAGAGGACGGACTTGGAGCAAAGCGAATTCGACGATGCATAATTTTTTTTGATCTTTCTAGTCTTTCTAGTCTTTCTTCAAACCTTCTACGCCTTCTCCACTTCGGTCCCACTACGGCCAAGTGGATATGATCTGATGAAGTTTGGGGAGTTTAGTTTATCGATGCATTCCAGACTGACCCCTCACGTGGGAATATTATATCTAAAATTTATTTTTGTGTCTTTTTTCTTTCTTTCTCGGTCCCCTCAGTTATTGGTATTAGTGATTTGAAGTAGGCTTCAAAGCAAACACCCCCCCTCTTCCCTTTTCACAGTATGAATATGTACGCGACCCCCAAAAAATAGACTGCTGAGGGATTGGGGGAATGCATATACCTATGTAGGTATGTACAGCGTAAAAGTATGGAGACGGAATATGTAATTGTCATTGGGCTGTGAATGTAAAAGTAAGGCATGCAGAAGAACTCCTCGGGTAGTGTACGACTTGTAGACAAGATAAGAAAAAAAAAAAAAATGCGACTGCATTTGCTAGACTTGCGTCTGTGGCTGGACCCCCAACGCGATCAAAGCAAGCTGCAATTGATAATTGTCCTGCAGGTAATTAATTACTCACCGCTTCTCGCGTTTCTTACTGGTCGACGGCGCGCAGCATCTTCCAATCCCCTCAAGATG